AAGAGCATTCAAGAGCATTCAAGAGCATTCAAGAGCATTCAAGAGCATTCAAGAGCATTCAAGAGTATTCAAGAGCATTCAAGACCATGCATCGTCAAACCCGAGCGTCCAGTGGTGGCTATCTTCCGATAATCTCCCAGAGCCTCAGCTCAAAATGTAGCCTAGTTCAAATGGTGGCGGTCAGACTGGATTCCGAACCGCTGGAAGCAAATAAGGAGACCAAAGAATCACACCAATATTCTTGTGGTGACGAACGACAGTGGGATGGAAGACGTGCATCATACATATGTTTCTCGCCTAGTGCTGAAGAGTTGGTCCCGACTGAGGGTGACCAAGGTCGGCACGCGTCTTGGTGGTGGCTGTCGCTTGCGGTATACAGTCTTCCGCTGCAAAGGGCTGATCAAGAGTTGTATACAGTGCCGAAATGTTTTGTTGCCTTTAAACGCATCGTGTTACCTTACCAACCCAAGTCCGGCGATTCTGTTCAACTACCTTTGCGGGAACGTCAACCACTTGAGCACTGCCTTTTCTGTTGTGCTGCACCTAGTCTGGGTTGACTGCTCAGATCGAAGGCGCTTGGAAAGAACTCTCAAACCACGACAAACAAGCCATGCATTCGGGTCATGGCTTCGAAGCAAAAGGCACGAAAGAAGTCGGCTGCGGCATTTGAGGGTAATTTTGCTTGATCGTCCCGTCGCGAAACCTCTTGATCGACCACCGGCGGGAGACAATTTGTCCAACGTACGGCGAAAAGACCGGCCTGTCAACAAATGACAAGAGAATATCATCTCGTGCGCTCACTGTCACGACTTAGGACATGATCTTCGATGGCGGTGTACTGGGTACCTGCCTCTCAATCATCTTTTCCCTCTTCTCTCTTCATCCCTCTTCTGCCTCTTCCTTGATTCTGTCGCAATCATCTCGGACAAATCTTCCTGGAAATCCCAGTTTGGATTCTGCTCCCCTCTACGACCCTGCTCGTACGCTCGGCGGAGTTCTTCTTTATCCATTCCATCGTGCGCAGCAAGAGCATCCGGGTCCATTGACACCTCCACATCGCCAGGCTTCTTGCGTTTCCGAGAGGTATCATCTTGCCCGAGGATAGGGATGTTGGCTTCAGCTTGCTGTTTAGCGGCCTTTAAATCGTAGACGCGGTCGCCACCGAAGAAACCCTCGACGCGAGACTGGCGTTCCGGAATGACTTGATATGCGGACCGTGGGTGAGATGACTCTTCGGTTTCCGTGCCACGACGTTTGCGTAAGTCGAACTCGGAGACGGTTTCCGTGCCACCAATCTCAGTGGGCACGGCAGAGGTCATGCCGCTGGGTGTTTCCAGGCCAGTTGAAGCCTCTAACCCAGCATCGAATTCTTCTTCGCTTTCCTCCTCCTCCTCTTCCTCCTCCTCCTCTGATTCTTCTTGTTCTTGCAACTCACCCCACAGTTCTTTCTCGACGGGTTCGCCTTGCTGAGCGTTCTGTTGCTGTTGTAGCACGCCGAAGATGTCGCCACCGTATAGAGGTCTGTTGGTCGCTTCATCAACGGGTGGTTTGCCCCATTGTCCAGGTGCGAACCCCCAACTTGCGCCGGGTGGAGGAGGAGCATTCACTCCGGGGACTTTAAGGGCAGGATACGAAGGGGGGGGGCCGTATCTCTGCATATTGATCAGCCATGGAGGAGGCGCACCAGGGGGCATGTTGAGTGCCTCCTGCAATTCATCGGACAGTTCCCCGGGTCGTAGGTGTCGTAGATTCGTTTCAAACTCCTTGCCCTCGTAATAGACCTCGCCATACCTAGTCAACTCTGGTTTGGTCTGGAACCTGAAGAACGCGTCGTATAGTTTCTGGTAATCAATATCAAGTTTGCCTGTCTTTCCCTGTACTCGCTCACGTTGTTTCTGTTTCAAAGTGGCGTTTTCCTGCTTCTCCAAAATCGCGTCTCGCATTTCTGCGATACCGGTTTCTTGGATAAATTTCGGTAGCGCGAAAGGCGGCTTTTCGATACCTCGTTTTGAAGACAGATACTCTCTCTTAAGAGACCAATGGTTCGGCACAGGAACAACGTTTCGATATGACTTGATGTGGACCAACAACTTCGGATCGGGTGCTGAGGTGTCTGTCCATTCCACCATCTCAGGCTTTTTGACAAGAGCCTTCAGTTCTGCCACAGACAGCTTTGTCATCTCTTTCTTCTTTTTCTTTGAGATTTTTGGCACCGAATTCTCTTCATCTTCATCTGGAATATCATCGTCGTCGTCATAATACACTTCAGGCTTCTCTGGCTCCTTTAGCGTGGGACCTTCCTTATCCACCTCTTCGAATTTTCCCATGACGTCTTTGTACATGTCGAACAGAGGATTCTCCTCATCGACGATGAGAGGCTCACTGATGGGGCCGCCATTGCGCGCTTCTTCAGATCTAGTCTTTCCGCCATTCGGCGCTTCGGGTGGCTCTTCTTCTGGCTCAGGTTTGGTGGCAATTCCATCGGTGTCTGGGGTTTGTTCGTTGCCAGCCTGCATGTTGTTAATCTTGCGTACAGGTTTGCAAGAGAACAAGCATACCTTTTTCTTCTCCTTCTCGGCCTTCTTCTTTGCTCGCTTCAGCTGATTCTTTGTCGGCTTCACAGCGGCAGCCATGATGAAAGTTGTTGTCTCGAAGACTATTTCTGCAAAATGAACACGTGGCACACTGAGTAGCGCAGATTTTATTACTTCGATTTACCCTGATAAAGGTGCAACGGCAGTGAGAACATCATCAGTAGGTGATCGCAGGAACAATATCGAAATGGTGATCATCATGGGATCACGGGAAAACGAAGTAGGAGACCAACGCTGCAAAAATGCCAAGCATTCGCAAAATTTATCTGACAGTTTACCAAGTACATACTCCCTGCCCATTTGGCCATACCCAAGGCCAAGGCCAGCCTCCCTAGCCTCACCTCTCAGTTGTAGTCCGCAAGGCTGAGGATCAACATATTATCTCCATTCTTCGCACAATTCGCATTAATTGTCTACCCCATACCTCTCACTGATGATTGTCATTACGCCTCAAACACTAACATATATGCGTGTACGGAGGATCATTTGCAGACTTATTTCCTAAGCCAGGCCTCTACTAACGCCTCATCAACTGCCTCATCCCTCTTGCTCACAATCTCCCTATCCCAATCCAACCACTCCCCAGCCATTGTATTCCCCATCTTCGACCTCAAAACACCAACACTCAGATCAATGATATATGGTCTCTCAAAACTTTGGTAGAAGATTGTCGCCCCGCATACAGAGCAGAAACTCCGTACCACAAACTCCGAGGATTGATAGTGGCTGAGCTTGTCAATCTGTCTCGTTTCTTTGGTCAGGGGCCCGAATACGATTGGCTCATTGTCCACGGTGAAGAATTGGGACGGAGGTATGTAGGTCCATGGCTGCAGGGTGAAGCCTAATGTTAGGCGGCAAGACCGACAGCAGCAGAGGCGAGCGTAGTATTTGCCGTGGTCCGCTTTAGGTACAAACCACCCTTCACTGGTGGAATTATATGGCGGTGGCGCAATGAGGAGTTGACACCCACCGCAGTAGCAAGAGACTTCGAGCATTCGGCCTCTACCGGGCGATGAGGACGGCTGAGTCAGGGATGTCTCTTGGAGTTGCAGAAGGTCGCCTTCCTTTAAGGGACCATTGTCTTCGATGCTTGGCTCGGTCCTATAGCAGGGGACATTGCGGCCGCCGAGCTTCGTGAGGAATGGCGCGATGCCACCATCCACTGCGTCGTCGAGGTACCAGTGGCACGTGATATTTGTGACATTTCCTTTTGCTTTCACATGACTCCCTTCGCCTTTACTCTCCTCGCTTCTCTCTAAGATGCCAGCACAAGCCAACCACCTCCCATCCCGTTCAGAACGAACGAAGACGTTGCAGCCGCATTTCTTGCAGAAATACCGGGTATATTTCTCGGAAGACTTGTAGGCAGTGGTGCATGTGAGTGACTTCTCACTGGGCGCGCCGTTGAGTGTCACATACCATGCGCCTAGCGATCCCGTGGTATGTCGGCATACGTTGCAGTGGCACATAATGGATTCATTGGGCATAGATGAATTGGCGAGTAGCGAAGAGGGTTCGTAGACGAGGCCGCAGTGGCATGCCAGATGGGATGGCACTGACATTGTCGTTGTTAAGAGGGTACCAGACGAAGGCTTTCGAAATGCGCTCGATTCGAACAGAGGATAGTCAGCCAAACCTCACACTAAGGCGGCCACCTACTATATCATATCCCGATGCGTTTCCCCAGAGAACAGTATCGATCAGCAACACCTCGCGCCCTACGGCTCCTGTGGCTTACTTTTACGCCCTTGTAGTCAACTTACATGTCGATCGAGCAGCGTCAAAAAGCGCCAAGATAGAGAGTGACCCCAGGATCCGGATGGGGCTGATAGTCATCGGTGCAGGAACTGGCTGTGGGGCTTTTCGGTGTGGGAGACCAGTCAAAAGATTGACTCTTGACCACCGAGATGGCTGGAGGTGCCCTCGGGTAGCGTTGTTGATTAGATGGGGCGTAGAGATTGGCGGACTTGTTGTATCTACTCGTAATGTTGCAGTCAGAGACCAGACGTGGTGGGCAAAGGAATGACGGAAACATTAGCCTTAATAGATTTTATTTCTAACCGGTGCTCATTTTTGCCAATTGGCTCTAGCATTACACACACGGCTGTGCTTCCCAGTGTGGTGGGTATCTCCCCCCCCCCCCTAAACCAACGCCGTGCTGGGTCCTGTTGGCATTACAAATGCCCATAAGGAAAGCATGATAACAGTAACAATAAATCATGGAGCACCAAATCCACCCATTCGTCCATGCCGACGCCCCTGCCGCAGTTACAATGACACCTGACTTTTTGTTATCCATCCAACTGTCCAACATCGAGCGCTATGCCATTGTGGTGGAGCACATCAAGCACCAGGGAGATTCTTCAGGTCGCCGAACCCGCCGGCGTTTCCTTGCTCACCAAGCCAGCTGGGCTCAACCAAGGAGTCCTTTGCCTGAAGAAGATATCTGTAGGCGTGCTTAATAGTGGCATCACTCACACCAGCAACTTCGCTGATTTGTTTCGTGGATTTCCCAAACCCCAGCAAGTGACTAGCAAAATAGGTGCATGCAGCAGCATTGGATAACGGACTGCGCCCAGCCAAACCTTCAATAGTAGGTATCTTCTGAGCAAGCTCTCGTGCAATAGTCGACACTCGAAAAGGCAGACCGACCATATTGCAATACCGATCACAGAGGTCTTCAGGCTTGGTTGACTGGGTGCTCTTGAAACCCAGCAGATTACGATTCGCAATCCCGCCGCTTTCCTCAATGGCCTGGATACTCTCATTGGACGACTTGGTGAGGAACTTCTCCAGGTTTTTGTATGCTCGTCCGATCTCCTTCTTGGGGACTGATGTCAAACCGAAGATCTCACTGAAGGACCGCGGCGCCTGATGTTGACGACACGCAATGAAGAGGCATCCAGCAAGAATGACCTCTGTCTGCTTACCACGGAGGGCATTCGCTTCGTAGACCCGCTTGAAGTACATTTTTGCGGTAGTCTTGATGGTAGCCGTGAGCTTGGCCTTCTCGCCCCAAGCCTCGATTTGGGCATAGGCGGTCTGTAGAGCCTTGTCCGCCTTGTTCTCCTGTTGCAAGGCCTGCGCCTTCTTGAGCTTCCGTGTCTCCTTCGATACGTTAGGTCCGCCGCCACCAATCATCGTGCCGGCATTGTTGGTGAGGAATAACTCATTGTCAGCTTCACCGACACGGTTGGGATCCTCGCCCTTGCCTTCGTCAGAGTTGAAGGTACGCCACTCGGACTCGTAGCTGACCAAGCGCTCAGCAAGGACCATTCCACAATTGGCACAAATGGTATCGGCATTTTCTTCAATCAAATCAGGAGGCACCTGCTTGCAATCGGGACAGATGAGATGAGTATTGAGGTTTTCGCGCCATGCTGGCACTTCTGGCGGTTGGTTCTCGACGCCCGCGGTCGACATCTTGTCTGGCTTGGGCCCGGGCGGTTTCGGAATACTCTTTATCACACGCCCAACGAGTCTCCCTTGCAGGCGTTGAGTTTGACGTCGCTTGATCCCTTTGTAAGTTGTCCGCAAGTTGTGGTTATTTGCGAAGGTCTTGACAAACAGCGGCGAATACAGTTTGGCGGTAATCAAGGATAAGGCCGGTGGGGCCGAATTCTGTCCCAACAGGCTGTAGGACTCCCTTCACCTAGCCGGGTGCTGTCACAGATGGAAGGTAGGGAATGCGGTCATGAAACCGATAGGAATGGACTTTGAAAATATTATTGTATTAGAACGAGCGGATAGGTAGTGTAGACGCAGACTTGGAGGTCGTGGATCGTCGTACACTGGATGAGGCCGGTGTCAGTCAGGTCATCAACAAGTGAATGAGACAACCCAAACGCTGAAGCCAAATGATACTCTTGTCAACTATCTAAAGTGATGTACCTTTCTCGCGCAAAGTCGATGACGGGGAGGAGGTTATCGCAGTGTATTTGGATACAGCGCAGGCGTCAACGAAACGTGGATCTGACTTTGACCGTTCAACCAGCGAAGGTCTCGTGAGTCAAGGAAAGCCGAGGGGTTTTTGAACACGAAGAGTCGTCGTCAGCGGATCGTTAAAGTTGCGCAAGAGCGTCAAAAATGCGTTCTGTGATGAAGCGACGATAACAGAGGCGAATTCTTGACGGTCTCTGCGATATGTAGATGGCGGGATGGTGGAGAGAAGGTGGTAGAAATCTCTGAGTGAGGCGCATGTTGGGAATCAGAAGGTCAAGTCAGCGCCTAAATTTGATCACGTGATTGAGCCACAGAATGTGCTGGTGCTTAACCAAATACAGTTAGTCCTTCTTGAGAAGCTACTCTTCGAATCGTTGATGAGAGCTTCTTGACACAGACAGAGGATTTCGTTGTACCTTTGTCAAATCTCAGCAATGGCGCAAACTCTCAGGACCAGTGTAAGTGTCTTATTCAGGTGTTCCTGCTGCTACTGACCGGTGATTTAGACCCGTCTCTTTGCTCGGATGAGCTCTAGAACGGTGCCAGCTTCTCGCCGAAGCTTTATCGTTGCCCCCGTCTCGAGGATGCGTCAGTACACCTTCTCCTTGCTTCAAGAAACCTACTCATAAGCCACAGCGGACTTGATTCAAGACATGTACCTGAAAGAACTACGAGCGTACAAGCCCCCGCCACAAAAAGCTTCGGATGCCGAGGGACACGTTCAAAAATTCACACCTCCCGCCGTACCCAAGTCACCAGAAGAGACCAATCTTGCAAGCGAAATGAAGGAATACGAAGACCAAGTTGTTGAGATTGAAGGCCAGGCTGCACCAGGAGAGACACAGCCTGAAGAAGACTTTTTCGAGGACATTGAGGAGGAAGATGAACCTGCACACCATTGATGTCGTCGGAAAGGGTCTTGATAAAATCGTTTGTAAAATCAGTCAGGACATGACATAAAACATTGGGAGCTACTCGGTTTTCAGGGAGTGGTCAATTCAGTTCTCCTGCACAACGGAATCCAGACGCTACGCAGCATCCAGCCCATTTTCACACCGCGTTTCAATAAGAGTTTTTCACTTGGAGAAGTTTGAACGTGAGCCCGACTATCGAGAGGATTTGGCAAATGTGAAAGAGCAGGGTCACAGTGGGACCATGCACTTTTCTGTGAGATCGATTGTTCCGTCCCAGTTTCCGCTCCCAACCATCCAGAATGACTCGATCTCTGTCATGCTTCATGTTGGTCGGAGAGGGCAGCAGAGCAAGGGCCTAACTTCCATGATGGATTGCTAACGTCCGCAGCGCAACTTATTGCCAGCATAGAATCCGTGTCCCTTCCACCATCTCTCTCCCGAAGCCAATCACGTTCATGTCCGACGGGCAATGTTCCAAGGCATCCCAAAAGTTTTTGTACCCCACAAAATCTGACACTCCAGCCTCAAGACCACTCACAGCGAATAGAGGTTGCAGTAGCGGCCGGGCAAGGTGCCTGAGATCTACGTAATCCGTGGTGACGATAAGGTAGACTGACTGACAGCTGCGGTGTTCCAAGTAAGCATTTCCGTGATTGAGATCTGCGCCAATGGGCAACCTAGATGTATTAGATATGGCAGAGCGGCGGCGGAAATGTACGGAGGATCACCACCTGGGCTGGTACCAAGGGTATATTCTATGGGGTGGTCCATTCGGCCAGACGGGGATAAGGCCCGGACCTCGTTAATGCTGCTATCATAGAGTGGATAATATGCATCAGACGGAAGAAGAAAAGGGATTATCTTCCTACGATGATGCGATGCGATAGGGCACGGTTGGCGTCAACCTCAACGATAACCCAGTTTTTGTCGAGCTGATTGTGGGCGGGTGTCAAGCAAGCGAAAACAGGCTATGCAAGAGGCATCCAAGAGGCACCCAAGAGGCACCATAGCCGCTAGCGATGGCGGGCTGGGGGGCTGCAGTCCAGGCCCATCGGGGTTTGATGACGCCGACTGTCTCTCTTCAGGCTCCTCGCCGGACCATTCATGACACTCCAAAGGGCCAAGGCGCTCCACCACCACTGATCCTAATCCTCCGCCTGCGACCTCCAAACATGCAGCTTGCGGCGTGTGCGCCCTGAGCCTGAAAGACTGGGACACTCTTGATTTCCACTGTTCCAACTGATACGTACTGCTCCTTGTTTGCTTCGTTGTCCCATCGTTTGTCCTTCACTCTGCCCATATTGCTCATATTGTCCTTCGTTCATGTCCTTCCCAATCTTCTGATTCTTGCCATTATTAATTCTTAGATCTTTGACCCTTGTATATTGAATACCACACTGTTCCTCCGACTTCCAGCCCCTTCAATAGCGTCTACCGATCCGCTCCTCCCGGCTGGCTGAACCAGTTGTCCATCTCGTCTCATATCGATGCTCTTCCTCTGTTGTGTCGAACCTGATGGCGAGGACTAGGAAAAAGTTCACATCTTTCGCTTTGGCGTAACCGCAGCGACACGAGTGCCTAGAGTCGGTTCAGCTTTGGCACGCCGCCATCATGGCCATGGCAGCACATGTCGAAGGGCAGATTCTTCCCGCCCTTCCTGTTCACGCTCTGGCTCCTCTGCCCATTCATCCGACCGCTGCCATGTCTTCTTCGGAGTCCTTTGAACCTGGACCTCCCAGGGACTTAGTGCGCTCAGCCAGCTTCACCTACTTGCCAGCGTTGGGAACCGAGCACTCCGATTCTTCCACAATCAAACGTACCTTCTCCGAACACATCATTTCTCTCCCCTCCGATCCTAAAGTCAAGGTTAATGAAAGCATGCATTCAGCAAACTTGGAACTGTTCCGCCGGGTTTCCAGAAAAGCAAAGAGGAAAATGTTGGCCAGTGCTCGCTTCTCCTTGTCGCCAGATGATGATGAGCCTCAGCCGCGCGAGCCGAGTACCACGAACACCGATAAGGATGGACAACCAAGAAGTCTCAGCCGCTCTGTTGCAGGAACGCTTCGGACTATCGCCCGAAAATCATGGGCTGCCTCCTCATCGAGATCTTCATCTCCTGCTCGCCAAGGAGATAGGACTCCAGAGAGAAAGCGAAGTTGGTCACCCAGCAAGCGGAAACTTATCATCGCTGCAAACTCAGTCGCAATCCCGGAACCGGCGGCGTCAAGTCCTCCCCTGCGGACGTCTCCTGAAGAGAGCGAATCTTTGCTAGAAAATGCCATACAAATTCCAACCGGTGACAGACGTGCTCCAACCCCTACGCCCGTGCAGAGACCACTCTCCGTCATACAAACTAGGAATAAGAGCGACCTGAACCTCAAACGGATGTCGCGAAACTCTTCAGCAACTTCTCTGCGGAGTTTTGTGTCGAATGAAAGATCTCAATCGAGGCTGTCGCTTAACAAAGTCCCCCCTCTGCCGTCTTCCCTTTCCTCCGATCGCCTAGCGGCTCTCAGCGCCGAAGTACCACGGAGGAAAGACCCTTTATGGACTGCCTTTAGGACCCTCGACGGGGAGTACAGCGGTTTCCAAGCGAAGACGAGCCTGCAGAAGGCTAAAGTGCTTCGATTAACCCTGATCCCGTTTCTTGTCAAGTACGAACACAATCCGTCTCATAAATCTCTTCGAGCCGAGGATCTAGATCGACGAGTAGTTATTCTGAACAAGTGGTGGACCGGATTATTGGAGATGCTTCATGGAGCGAATAACCAGTCGATCTCTGGCACGGACAGGCCTGCATTTTTGGAATCCGCTACCAGAATCATGGTTCGGCCAGAGTGGAGGATACCGGGCTTCGCTTCAATCCCAGGCGAAAGCCCGCAACGCCATTCGATTCCCAAGTCCAAGTCGACGAATTCCCTCGAATCGGAAGAGGCAGACTTTCTGGTCGATTCGGTTCACCAGAATGTGCGTAACATCTTCGTCCAGAACTTACTCTCTCAAATGGAGTTTGTGACCGGCATTTTGTCGTTACGTACTGCTCCTCAAAGCCTGGTCACGTTTGCGGGAAAAGCGTGTGCCTATGCCTTCTTCTTTTGTCCTGGCGTGGCAGATATGCTGGTTAGGTTGTGGTGCCTCCCCTCGAGCGCTTTACGACGGCTGTTCAGGCAATTCGGTGTCGAAAATGGAGAGAAGCTTGATTTGATCTCGAATGCACTAGCAAGGAATTTTCCGCCGCCAGTCCGCAGCCTCTGTGTTGGATCCCAAGCATCCTTTTCGCGCCGGCTTCAGCAACGAGGTCCGATTCCGCCCGGTTCTGAAAGGATTAATTGGTTTCAACCTTGGGTCACGAGATGGTCTGGCCACAACAGCGATTTGTTCTTCGTCTTCACCAAGCAATATCACATTCTGGTCTCTGAGTTTCTGACTGAAGAGATCTCATTGAAGGATCGCGCGAGTATTCCTGGTCTGGTCCCAGTGTGCGCGCAAATGTTGGTTATTTTGGAGACAACGATCTATCGGCAAGCTGGTCAGTTTGGAATCGAAAGCTATGCACCTGGTACTGGATCTCATATGGACAACCCAGATGCCTTGGCTCCGATGCCTATGACAATTGCGAATGCAACTCGTTCAATTGCTGAAAACCGATTGATTATGTTGCTGAGAGATGTCATGGGAGACCTCGATCCTGAACACTCGCTTCTACGAAACTTGTTCTTGACCTCCTTCGACAGTGTCACCAAGGCTGCCACTGTCAAAATTTCGCTGTACAATAACGACGCATGTTTTGTGATTTGTGATTTTATGGAAGAGGTTCTTCCCATCATGTTCCGTTACCACCAGACATACATTGATACCCCAGTGCTCGACTGGCCTTTCTGGCTAGACGTCTGCAAGCAGATGTTGCAGAGTCAAACCACTCTAACCCAGATACGATCGATCGCATTCTTGTATAGTACTTGGTCCATTCTAATACATAATGAAGGACGAAAGCGTCAATTGGTTCTGGAGTGGCTATTGGATGAGAACATATTCGAAAAGCTCTTTTGCCACTGGTCGCCCATGGTTCGGCATTACTTCTACCGCCTGCTGTGCTGGAGGGTCGCGCGATACGATGGGCAGGTGTTAGACCTGGACTTGTAAGTCGGAATCTGGGATTTTCTTCGAGGGGGGCACTGACAATGCAGCAGGGAAATCTTGCAGACGTTGGCAGCTAGGTTGAATAAATGCTGGGCGCATTACCAATACCTGATTGCGGAAGCCGAGATGCGAGGGGTTGTACCACCATCATCAGCCCCTTGTTCACCTGCACCTAGCCGTGTCCTCGTCATCATCCGCACGGACAGTCAACCGATCATGACACCCTCAAAGACACATTTCGAGAGGTATCTGCCGACCTCGATCGTCACTCAGAGTTCACCCTATCAAAACCACTCTTCGGTTCTCAGCACAATCCCAGCGGCAGATTCACCTGCTCAAGGAAACAGGAAACGGTGGAGTTTGTTCCGTGGTCTGAATGTATTTGGCAGCCCTGGAAACAATCGGCCAGGAGAGGTCACACCGCCGGGAAGCCCTGACGATAATGGCGTCTCGACTTCTGGTGACGGTCCGGGCCCGAATAGTGCTATTACCACCCAAAAGAGACCGACTACTCCTCCACATCAGGCATTCTCATTCAAGTTCTCCCTGGAATTCTTGCAGGGCCGAACGAATTTAGAGAACAAGAACCGGATGCTGGCAGCACCCCAACTTCCGCCTAACGCACAAAGCATACTCATGGCGCGACGGAGCTCAGAGAGTGGGGGCAGTAGTAGTAGCAGCAACAGCAGCGATGGTGGTGGCGGTGGCGGCAGCAGCAGCAGCAGCAGCAGCAGAAGAAGCAGAGGAAGCGCGAACAGCAACGATCCTCGAGCTCGAGGCAGAGTAGCAGAGGTGAAGCCATTGAAACCCAAAGAGCATGAAATGGGCACAGCACGATATAGTGGACGATCACTAGCGGAATGGGCTCAGGTGTTGAATGAATGTCGCAGCTTCTACAGCAGACGGAAGCAGGAGGGAGTCCCGCGAGACAGCCTCGTCGAGACGCCGACCATGGGTGTGGAGAATTTTCGCTTGATGGGTGGTTGATGATGTGGATGGAGATGAAGTTGCATCATCGACAACAGTTTTTGCTTCGCTTCCTTTGGGGAAACGACTACGAGTGAAAAGCATTTGCTTAGGGATCAAGGCCTTGACGGAAGGACACTTTTAGAGAGATCTTTGGAGGACAGATTACTACGGGCGGCGCCTTGGATATGAAGCCAAACCGAATAACTAGGAGGGCGGGTCGACATGGGTTTTGTACAGAGCTTGGATCTGGAATCGGCGCACACATGTTTCCTGATGGTGGATATACTCGGTACAGTCAACAGAGACGAATATGAACCATGGACTTTTTCACAGCCAGACCTCGGTCTCTACCTACTGCCCAAGTGCCAAGCCCTTGCTACTCACGTGTTCGGACCCTTTTCCCTTCAGCCTTTTATTGCCGGCCTCGCCCCCACTCTTCGGCTTTCCGTTTATGGTTAATCTCGAATACTACCGGGAGCGGAACTTCTCGTGTTTCTCCGCACTTGGATAACAGCCGAGGACGTATCTCGCTTCCCTCCGAGGCTGCGATGTCTTGATCCTCGAGTCAGTGAATGCAGTTGGGACTAGGTAAGGGTGCTGTAACTCAGATAGGGAGCTCTGTCTCCCACTAATCAATCCCTGTTGAATATTTGTCTCCAAGTCAACCATCTGTCTGGCTTTTATTTTTGCTTGCGCTGGTTTGCTGAACCTTCCAGATCACCATTCCCCTCTCCCTTTCATTCCACCCGACTCAGTTGACAGCCAACGGTCCTAGCCGTTCTTGACAGAGGTGCTTGCAGAGGGAGTCAAGATGCCTATCTTCAGGTCGTTGCAGCCACCGATTGAGAGTTTGTCATCTCCAAGTCTCTCCCATCTCTTCTCCTCCTTGCTTGACCTTGAAGCTAACTGCCATGTCTCTCTGCGCTCAGTGCCATGGCATCTGCCGGTATGGACCTGGCTTTTCGATTCTGAATATAGTCCGATGCGACACCATAAACCTGAAGATATCCAGGGCTTCACTAATGCGGTGACCAAAGAGGTAATGGGCGTTGATTTCCTCCTTTTTACAGTACCGTCCAAGGATGTTAGATAAATGCTGACCCTGTGGGCTCGGTGACCCCTGCAGCATCTCAGTTATGTCGACCTTAGACAGCACACCACCCACCTCTCCACCGCCCTCGTGAAAAACTACGGCCTTCTCCAGGGCCAGACCGTTGCTCTCTTCTCCCCTAACACCGTATGGTACCCGTGCGCCATGTTCGGCATTTTGCGCGCCGGGGGGGTCGTGAGCGGTGCCTCGCCCGCATACAACATCGAGGAAATGACCTACGCGTTGAAAACCGCCGAGGCCAAGTTCCTATTCACAGTACCGAGTTCCATGGAGGTGGCTGCCGCGGCGGCCAAGAATGCGGGAATCCCACAGAGTAGGGTGTTTTTGTTAGAGGGTCAGATGGAAGGATTCACAACGATGAAGGACTTGCTTGAGATGGGCCGCTCACACGGAGACCGAGGACAGATTGAACAGTTCCGCCTCCCCCCTGGCAAGAAGAACAAGGACGTCTGTGGTTTCCTCTCCTTCAGCTCCGGGACGACGGGCTTGCCGAAAGCCGTCATGATCGCGCACTCGAATGTGATCGCTCAATGTCTTCAAATCAAACAGATCTCGCCAGCCACTTTACGTCGCATTCTTGCGGTATTGCCGCTCTTCCACATCACGGGTTTGGTGCACCAAATGCACCTGCCCATCCTCCTCAACGCCAACGTCTACATGCTGCCAGCATTCACCATGGACAGCATGCTACAAACCGTCCAAGACTACAAACTCGAAGAAATGCTCCTGGTCCCGCCGATTCTCATCCGCTTGGTGCGCGACGAAAAGACCCTGTCAAAGTACGATCTTAGCTCTCTGCGCCGCTTCAGCTCGGGCGCCGCTCCTTTGAGCGCAGAGATCCTGGAACTCCTCAAAAAACGATTCCCCGGGACGGGATTCAAACAGGGCTATGGCATGACCGAGTCATGTTCGTGCATTACTGCCCATCCGCCCGAGAAATATGACTATAAATACGCCTTCCGGGTAGGCACGATCGTCGCGTCCACGGAGGTGAAGATCGTTGATCCGGACACGGGAAGAGAATGTGGGTTGAATGAACCGGGAGAGATATGGGCGCGAGGCCCCCAGGTTGTCATGGGCTATCTTAACAATCCGAAAGCCACGAGGGAGACGTTTGATACGGATGGGTTTTTGCATACCGGCGACATTGGCAGTATCGATGAAGAAGGGTTGATTACAATCACAGTAAGTCTCAGGCTCGCCTTTCTCCTTGGATCTGTATCTCGCTTGGTGCAGGCTGACGGATGGTGTCGCAGGATCGGTTGAAGGAGATGATCAAGGTAAAAGGAATCGGTGTAGCCCCCGCCGAACTTGAAGATCTTCTCCTCGGACATGACGATGTCGAAGATGTCGCTGTGCTCGGAATTGCGGATGATTACTCGGGCGAGCGCCCCAAAGCCTACATCGTCCTCAAAGCATCCAAGAGATCTGGCGACCTGCAGGCAACAGGCAAAAAGCTCATCAAATACGTGCAGGACAAGAAGGTGCGGCATAAATGGGTAACCGAGATCGAGTTCGTCGACGAGATCCCAAAGAGCCCGAGCGGAAAGATCCTCAGGAGAATGTTACGGGACATGGCCAAGAGCGGGAAGAAAGGTGTCGTCGTTAGAGACGAGAGAGAAAGAGCAAGGCTGTAAGAGCAAGAGAATCAACAACGCCAGAATCGCACAGAAGCGGCGCCACCAAATACATATGAATAGAGTGTCTCAAGCAATTGGCCGAGGGGTGACAACGAGGAAAGCCAGTGGTGAAGAAGCATTGCTGTGAAAGTAAAAGTTGTGAGGAAGACTGCGTTGTACCTGAAACAGCTCGAGAGGTCGAGAAAAGTTACTGAGAAACCGAAAGAGCCCTTTGCCAGTGAAAGCCCAGACGTCCAGGAACGAGACTGGGACCAGAAAACAGGCTCATCGAAACACCGGCGCGAGGGATCTGGACAAAAGATGGGGCTCGTGCGGTGGCAAGGAGCGACATCTCCCCTGCGACCCTTGACCATTGTATGAATCAGGACTGTGCGTCTATCTACATCGATGGGTTCTCGAATGCTTGGGATGACTCTTGAGTTTGGGAACAACGCTGCGGGACAGGCTTCTTCCAGCAGAGAGACAGAGGTAGAAGCAGATACAACAGGGAGGAAAGCTGTAATCGATAAGCATGCTATTTGGGATTGTCCAAATCATACTTGCAGTCTATCATACAATACAAGAGAGTTTTTTTTTTTTTAAAAAAAAAAAAAGGCCCGTCACCTTTTGTTTCGTCGTCCCTAGCTTCTCCGTGCTAGGCTGCTATGCTCCTCCGGCCCCTGGAGGAAGAGAATCGCTGAAGGTCGAGCCAACAAACATCGCCATTCGCCCTTCATAACAGTACCAATTTGTCAACTTAGGATGTATTCATCATTTGTGCTCGTCGCCGTCTCATTGCATTTTGTCATTGACATGAGCTTGTCGTCTTCCAGCATGCACTTGATTTTGCTAGCCACACAAAACCGCTCGCAGCACTCAGCAATCATACCGTCATGCTACTGCAATTGGGCCGCTTTTCAGGAACCGATGGGTTCGGCCTCACCGTGTAGCAAATCGTCCGAAGTGTTCGGGAGGTCAGTCTTGGGCGCCGAGGGGAAATCACCCTCCTTGACTGGAGCCTTGCCGGTGGTGGGAGAAGGGATCCTCTGGCGAGCGCTTCCGACCATCTCTTGAGCCTTGGCAGCATATGTCCCAGTGTATTGCTTCATCGTGTCCAGGCCCTTGCTGGTATGTTGAGCGGTCAAATCACGGATCTGGGTAGTCTGTTGCCCGATGACATTTCCGGCGTGCTCAAGTTGGGAGTCGATGAACTCCTTGTTCTCGATGTAGATCAAGGGGCCGAGGAAGACGACGCAGTTGGCAATCAAGGCCATTCCCCAAAATGGGACGATTTTGATAAGGTAGTAGGTCATGAAGGCAGTCAGGAAAGCCTGTCACAGTCAGTCTCGGATCACAATTGTTCTATCGAGGCCACCTACAGCCGCAGTTACTGGGACGTTCTCGGCGAAAATAATCCGTTGCATCTCAATGACGAAAAAGTTGATCAGGTTTTCTAAGTCGTCAAGAGAAGCTTCCAGAGTCTCTTTGGGGATCTTGTAGTATCGTCGAGGTCGAAGCGAGCTGGCTACACTAGAGCCCATCAACGCCTTGCTCGAAGCCTCCGCAAGCGTGACCACTGTTCCCATTTGTCAAAGGTCATCCCTCAAATTGCTCGAATCTTTCACACATACCACCAAGGGTCATCCAAGTGACCTTGATCACATATCGAATGATAGGAAGGTAGCGACAAGCAAAGATGAAGGCAACGACGGAAGCAAAGGTGATGCCGGTAGCTCGCTTGTTCTTCCACTGGAAATGCGGTCAGCCAGAATTGCCACTTGGGTGATCATCCCGAGACTTACGCTCAACAAGGTGTAGAAGAAGGAATGGTAGTCTGCCCCAAAATCAGAAGAGAACCCTTTCAGGGAGGGGGGGGGAATTTTGGCCTACGTGTCAAAGTAGTATCGTTGGCAGCAGTGTACGAAGGAGGTTGACGAGAGCTGGCCAGATCGCTGAACTCGGATTTGGTGGACGCAGCATGGTCCTTGACGGAGGTTGCAACAGGGCCTGTGAGAGGTATCAACAACGGGCCTGGTGTGCGGTATTCAGGAGCAGGAGCCGTACCATTGACGATGTTTTGGGTGATAGGGTGTTCAGTCACGGTGTTGACCGCCGAAGCCGCGTCTGGAAACCTGTCAGTGGAAGTAAGAGGAGTACCGGTTCAGATCTGGCCACTGGTATTAGCGATGATGGTTATTCCTTGACTTGGACTGTGACGTAGAGCATGGAGCTTGCGCACCTTACTGTTGACGAAGGCCTCTTTCAAGGTGGGCTCGCTGGTCCCGTTGGTGATAGGAGGAGAAGTAGAGTCGTCGGCGGCAGACATGTCGGTATGCGTAGGCAGCTCTGCTGATGAATCGTAGCCTTCAGAAGACATCTATTAGGGAGGAGTATGGGATGGAAGAAGTCGGAAGTAACAATCAAGGATGGCGACCAGGAGTAGCAGTAGTGCAAACAGGGGGCGTCGACTGACTTTTTGGTAACCAGGGGATAAGAATTGGATCCTGGAACGGACTGATGAAATGGCAGATGGATGCTTGATGAAATGAGGGGGAAGAAGGCGGTTTGGAGCTTAGAAGAGGACGAGGTGTTGGGTTTGTAAGAGTTGAAAGTTGAGGACAGAGAGCAGAGAGCAGATGGCAGATGGATGTGTGTGTGTGTGCGCGCGCGCATGTGTGGGACGTCAGTTGCGGTCATCTGTGATCTCAGCCAAACAACCTGCGGGAGCTGCAGGCGGTTTCATTTTTGATTGACGGAATCCCTGGCACCTGCATCACTGTCGCCCGGCATCACCTGCATCACCTGCATCACCGGCATCACCCACAGACGCCTCGCCAGTCCCTTACTTGCTAGAAGGGCGCCCCCCTTCCCAACACTCGCTCTTCCCTCTGACGCAATTGTCCTCGCTCCCTGGTGCTGAGGTCAAGGGTGCCTGCTGGCCCTTGGGAATCGGGATATTATTGATCCCCTATCCAGTACTTTCTGCTGTCTTCCATTATCCTCGCCAAAATGGTCGCGTGCTCTACCATCAGCCCACCGCTCGCATTCGTCCCCTACTTGTTCGTTGTATCTAACAGTACAGTACATATTTCTCTTGCATCCAAATGAACACGCTGGCCCAAAGCTGCCTGTCGGTCTCCGACGAAGTCCATCTCGTCTTTATGGCCTGTGGTTCTCAAAACAACCCCTGATTTGGCCATTCTGGGCGGAAGCCTACTGTAGGTTAATGCCAATCCACCGCGGGTTTCATCTATTGGAGGGGGGTGCAAGTACGGAGCACGGAGTAACGGTGGTACCTTTTTGACATGTGATAATAATGCTCCAAGTCCCTTGGCATCGTTTCTACTTGGCCTTCAGCCTTCAGCCTTCACCTTCGAGCCTCGCGTCGGGCCCCAGTTGCCACTAATGGGAGCCAACCTGGCGAGCTGGTTATGCACTGTGTCTCTACAAGTCTTTATTACACTGGGGTTGATTTCTCCAGGAGAGGGAAATGATAACCCAACTCCTCTTCATTCCCCCAACTTGCCCGTCTAGGGTGAGTCTTTAAACCATGTCCTCTAACATCAACCTCTATCCGGACCTTCCTCTCCGTCGCTGAGCCCGTCGTCCTCGGCGCTCATTGAATCTGAAGTCATCGGCGCTCCCTCTTCGCCCTTTATCTTTCTGCCCCGCGGGCCGTAGGAGATCACTTTCCACCCATTGGCTTTGGTTGGGTCTTTGACATACTCGGACATGGGGAACTATTCAGGCGGTCTTGTCAGTATCCATCACACTGCCATTGCATCGCGACAACTTACGTAATGATCGTTCTTTTTCATCGTCACCACCCACGGCACGTTGTCGAAGGTCATTGCCCTCAGCCGAAAGTACGTGTTGTCCTCAATCTTGTTGACTTCTTTGACGAATGCGTCCAAGTCAGGAGTCTTCACCCCATTGACATGGGTAACAAAATTTGTAGGTGCCAGCCCGTATTGATAGGCCGGCGACCCTCGACTCCTAGCACTGACATAGATCTCCGAATGAAGCTTGCTGATCTGCTGTCTGACCGCATGGTGTGGCTTTTGGAGAACAGCTCCGCAGAAGATCACTGCCCGCGACGTCTCCAGGTCTTCTGTAGGTACAGTGGGCACCCGGAGGCGAATCTCCTTGCCTTTCCGGACAACGAGCGCATCGAGCCATTCCTTGTCATACATGATATCGAAGTCACTGACCCGGGTAATAAGTTGCCCATTCAGCGTGAGGATGATGTCCCCCTCTTGCAGGAGTTGTCCATCACTAGGTCCGTTGGCTGGACCGCAGTCCACTTTCCTCACAATGAACAATTGATGCCGCGACGGGTTGGCTTTGGCCACTTTAGAGATCCATTCTTCCGAGACCCCCATGATCCGACACTGTGACATCTGGACCACGTAGGACTCCATGTTCAAAATCCGAAGCTTCGGTATAATGCCAGACCGTATTTGATCAACCACCGGTTTGATCATGCTTGTAGCTAAGCCTAGATGGTATTCCGTGTCTCTATGGCTGCCTTGGCTTCTCTCACCCATGTAGGTGAGCCAGAGAGCTTGCACCACGCCATCCGCGCTCATCAGCACACCAGATGCACACTGGGAAGATAAACCCGTGTCGATGGTAATCGCATCAAGGTTGACCGCCCGGTATCTCGGAGCGGCTGCATTGGCAGGAATACCAACCGCTGTAATATCCGTGACCGTGGTCTTTGCAACCACGGCCCTATGGTTTTGGTTGAACCCCACAAAGATCGTGTCGGCGCCTTGCTTAATCATCTCGGTGGATAGCTTCGCGGTCTGGACTGGCGCGTGCACCAACGACGGATCATATTGGATCACCGTATAGTTGGTCAGCGGGTGGAGAAACACCACCTTGCCCTCGATCTGGATCGAATCTGCAACAGTCACGGTAATGTCACAGAGGTCGTACGGAACGGTGGCTCGGGATACCACCACCAGGCCTTTCTCGGCGTCGATCACCAATCCAAAACCTGTTCTTCGTGCTTGAGGGTATCCATCAATCTTAACGGGCATGTAACAGGTGATCTTAAGAAACGAACGGATAATTTCGGCCGCGGCAGGCAGATTGACGCCATCGAGCTGAATAAAATCTGCCGACTTTGGCACTTGTGGTACAGCGGGCAGCGCCTGACCCAGGTCTTTGAAATCCCACAGACCTGTTTGATCATTTCTCACCGACAACCTCATCTTCGGATGCCAATGCCGATCGATATGTACGATCGTAGTGGCCCGAGTGTGAAGATCCCTAATATGGCGGTATGAAATGACGATTCGAGACCGGTCAGGTATGGTTTTCATGACTTCGATGAAGGCGTCGAGGTCCGGGGTGGGTTTCTGATCTACTGTGTCAATGATCCATCCAGAAAGAGCACTATCCAACTTAAATGAGCCGGCAGCCTCACACACATACAACCCTTTGCAGGCGATGGCGTATAATCGAGACTGCTGATAGGACAAGTTGTGAAAGCTCCCGCCAGCCACAGTGACAAATCGATCCGGGGTGATTGCATGAAGGTCTCCCACTTCCAGTGTCACTTCGTGATCCTCTCCTCCACGCTGGAATAAGAGATGCACCTTCCCTCCCACACTGGAGTCAAGAATGGCATCCAGTTTGACAAAGGATGTCAACAACTCCCCATTGACTTTGATCAACACATCTCCTTCCTGGATCTTGTTGTCTGCAGGTCCTTCGGGCAGTACAATCTCGGCAACGAGCATGCTGTTCTCCTTCGGATGGACCTTTCGAACCGCTGATTCCCAGTTTGGCGTTAAACCCAACCTCCGACAGTCGTCAAACGGTTTTAGCATCCACTGTGTCTGGATTGTCCCTCGGGTGATTGGCTCTCCTCGTTGAAGGCACTGCAGTGCACGCAATGGACGGTCCAGAGGTAAGAAGTAATCAGTGGCGGCGCCGTCGATACGACCGCCCGCTTGCAGAGCAACCGCATGCCCGCTTAGATTTACCACCGGACTACCGGAGCTTCCACCCGTGGCCGCAGCAGCAGCTTGGATATAATTTGTGTTGAAGTCACTGTAGCCTTCACCATACTCTGGAGCATTGCGATCCAACCGACTAATCACACCGGAGAGAATGCTGAGCTTCTCACCGGCGTCGTTGCCCACCACTCTGATTTCCACACCCACTTTTGCAGACTCCGGTTGGAGTTTGAGTGCCTGGACATTCATGTATTTGATAGCTTTGGGGTCGAATTGCAGGATACCGAAATCGTGGACAGGGTCGCGATAGACAGGTTTCACGTCGCACTACATTGTTGTCAGCAATCTGTCAAAATAGTAGGCCCATGGGGCAGGCAAACGGCAACCCACTTCTTCATGGTTGTCAAACACACAATAACCCCAGAAGGGACCGGCGCAAACGACGTGGCGATTGGTCATGATGTAGCCATTTTCGGCGTCAACCACAAATCCGGTAGCTTGGGAGGAAAGGGACAAGTCGGTATCAAAAGAACATGTCTGGCAGAAGTGAATAGACACCACACTCTTAATCACTCGTTCTATAGTAGCCTGCCATTCCGGAGAGTCGCCTGCAGCGGGAACGGGGTTGATGATGGGGACTGAGCTCGAGTTGGCCTCGATGTCGTACACGGAGCCATTTTGAGGAGTAGCGTCGCCGGGGGTTGGCACTCCATTTTCTGGCTTTAACTGTTTTTTGGGTCTTTCTACGGCTGAGGTCGGGCTTGTCCTTCGCTTGAGTCGAAGCTCGCCGTTGGCAGACATGGTGGGAGCGGGAAAGGTAGAAAAAAGGCGAGGATGTGGTGAGGTTTCTCGAGGGCGTTGGAGGCGGTTATGCAGAAAGGAGGATGAAGATCGGAAGCATGCACTGGTACGCCTCGGTAGTAATTTACAGTGAGCAAGCGGACTGGGTCTGGATATCAAGAGTTGTCTGGAGGTCTTCGGATGACGGGCGCGTAAGAGGGCTGTGAGCCAAAAACTGGTAGAAAACTTCGATTTCGAAGGATCACAAAAGGGTATACAAGTAGAAGATGCCCTGGAGAAGTTGGGGCAAATACTGGATATCATCCAGAGGCGCAACCAAAGTCCCCAAGGAATGAGGGAGAGGCTCAGAGGCAGCAAGCACTTTCACGTCCCTAGTAAGGCAGTTGCAAGGTTGCGTGTAGACCACGACAAGGCTGAGCTGCGCTGAAACTGCGTTGAAGCCTAGGGCAGTGACACATAGGGCGGCGAGGCGGTTAGGGCGGCTCTCCCCTCCGCCATCACTTCTTGGCGGTTTGTAGCCGCAGCCTGACTCTTGAGTTCTACCGAATGAGCCAAGTGAAGACCAAGTGGCACAGTCTATCACCGAATGGACGCTGTATCTAATGTTGTGGAAGAGTACTCAACCACGACGAAGTGGCCGCTGTGTTAAATAAAGCTAACAGTGTTGATAAAGGATGAAAGACCAATATCTCCTGGGGTAGACGAAATACATAGCCACTTGTAAAATGAAGATTCCCTTCCAACATCGAAGGACTTAGTGTTTACCGCTGTCTGGCAGTCTGACCGTGCCATTTATTTTTCATTCCGGCTCGCTACTACAAGCAGGTATGTACTACTATAGGGGCTGGCAAGCATGGCTAACAGGGAATTGTAAATTTTCATTTCCAACCTACGGGATATCTCAACCCTCCAGTCAGTCTGGCTTGGGTCGTTATGGCCCTTGGGGCCCACCTTCAGACACCAAAATAATAAGTTTGACATGTAGATGGTACACTATTCCCGCTCGCCTCATCTAGCGGCTTTTCCCTCTTGCCCACTGTGTGTTACAATTGTCGCCACAAGGCTATTCTTGTGGTATAGATCGAGAGACTTGCCGTACGCATCCGCCTTCTGTTGGCTGAGATTTGCTGAGATTGAGCCGAAACCTCGCCATATCTCCACAAACAACCGGGTATTGAAATATTTGATGGCCAGTGGAATTGGTGGTCAATCCTCAAGTGGACCATCTTGACCGCTCAGGAGTGCAATCGCGCGACTCCAATGTTCAGCAATTCGATCCTATCTTCTAGGAATCAGGCTGTTATCCATGAGCTCATTCGGAATGACCTGCTCGACAGTGATCCGTTCCGCAACAGGCAGGTGTCCGGGAGAACTCTCAAGGCAAGCCGTGCGAGGCGCCACCGCTTTCATCGAACGGCATGTAAAACCTCCGATGACATCTTCTACATTGAACTGTGCTCGTTCACCCTTGCGCAGAGTTAAAAGATGGTGGAGGTTTCGAGCTCGCGTTCTGATTTTGAGCAGCCGCTTGCGCCATTGCCTTGTTGATCGCCGATTGACTTGCCTCGGGAAACAAAGCATTCAATTTTTTATACAACTCAATTACCTGTGGCAGGTTGGGCGGAGGAATCATGATGGCTGGTCCCGAGGGCAACGCTCCATTGGCCTTCTTTTTTGCATCTGCAATCGCGGCTAAATATGACAAATTGGCCTGTAGGCGTCGCATGCACTCGGCATACTCTTGTGATGGCGGCTTCGACTGAGGTGTTCCCCCTGCTGATTTTGGCGGTTCTCCTGGGCTGTTGGTAATCACATTGGCTGGATCTGTCGTTGAAGTGGGTGAAGTAGGTGATTGTTGTCCCTGATTCGCTGTGGTTCCCGCCTTTCCCTGAGCCTGTAATGAAACAACCTCTTGCAGCAAATGGGTATTGATCTCCAATAACACAGTGACTCGCGCTCGCTCCCTCGCAGCCGACTGCGGTGAAAGCGCAGGACCCGCGCTGATTTGTTGTTGTTGCTGCTGCTGGTGGGGAGCAGCCCGGGCCACTTGTGAGGCATTTTGTATCTGCGCTTGTTGAGCCAATGTGGAACTCGATTGCGCTTGAAGTGCCATATTTGCCGCCAGGTTCATATCTGATGGCGTTGGCGCAGACGTAGACGGTAGGGACTGGACAGAAGTGGCCACAGACTGTAAATGGGCAGGGCTCGAGGCGGGATTGGTTCCTTGGGTCACTGGGACTGGGATAGGAGGTTGCCCATTGGAGGGATGGCCTGCTGGGTACATGGAGTGAGCACTCTGACAAGTCCATAGTCCTCCTTACGAGAATCGGTGCATAATCACTGAGAGATTCTGACTAACCTTTGGATTGTGGGCTATAGCTGGATCGACTTTCCGGCCGCGGACCCGTAGCAATCTGGCCGAGTTGTTGTTGATAGAGATGCTGAGACAGAGGTTGCTGGGCCTGATGAAGGTGGGATAAGGGCCGTTGGATGTGGTTTGGGATCATGCCCGGCTGAAATGGAGTCTGGGCATGGTCAAAGGGAGTCCCAGGAGGGATGGCGTAGGCGACATTGGGCTGGGGATTGCTGAAAGCGTACGGTCCTGGATTCTGGGAAGCATATATGGGTAAGGCGGGGTTGTTCATGGCTGTTCTGGATGTGCTAGCAGTCGTTTGATTGGGCCTTGGAGCTAACTAATGAATTTCGTGAAGATGCGAAGCGTAGCGTAGCCTTGAAGCAAACGTGGGTTGATGCGGTGTGTTGGGTTTTGACTAACGACGTCTCGGGCAGGAAAGGAAGAGTGGCGCTACAGCGGGTAGCGGCTGGTCGCCGCCAACGACGCCAAAAATCTCAAGCCAAAACAAGCCGAAGACCAGCGCCAGGCGTCACTCGGTCTGTGGCCAAGAGGGGCCTTGACAGGGATCAGGGCACGGGGAATCGCAGGGAAAGGGACTGGATGACGGGAGCCTGATGCACGGTTGGCCAGATGGCAGAGATGGATGACCCAGAGAGCCGGATGGCTTGCGCAAGAAACAAGAAGGAGAAAAGGGATCGAGGTCAAGATGGAAAGAAGCGAGAGAATAGGCCCTTGTGAGTCGCTCGGCCCTCAGCGGCCACATACCACATGGGCTGCTGCACCCTTGCCTTACCGACGAGCCGAGTACTTGTGTGGCTCTGTACTGGGTGGCGGCCGTGAAAAGGGCAATTGGGTCATTTGCTGTACCGTATCAGCAAGTACATACTCGATGCGACAAGAATCAAAGACTGTGCCAGTTGAAGAATCTATTTGCCTCTTTTCTGCTTCATCTCTGCTATCCATTGAGGTGCCAATGGCCCTGGCACCACATAAATCCTCACCAGCCCGTCCACCACTTCGATCTTCCCGTTCGAGAGCGCCTCCAACAAAGTCAACTTCTTACCAACCTTCATCAGCCCGCCGCTGATTGTATCCATGTAACAGTCTACCGTCGACAATTTGTACTCGTTCTTACTGTCCCACGGCAGGGGCAGAATGTAGCTCAAATGATGGGTGATGGCATCTTTCTCAGCCCAGGCCTTGATCAGATCTGTCTGGTTATGCATCGGATAGAGCAGCATGACCGGGAACTCTAGCAGGCTGGTCGGCGATAGAGGGTCTGGCGACAATCGAATAGTTGCGTCTTCCAGATTTGGAGGCTGTTTGGAACCACGCACGGTAACCTTTCGTGCCTTCAACGCCGCCTCTAAAACCATCCTCTCCTGCTGTTTCCTTCTCAGCTCCGCCAGGCGCCGGCGGTCTTCTGTCTCTTTAGTTTTCATCCTGCCTCTGATCTGATCCAGCAATTTCTTCAACGCTGTATTGTCTGGGTCGAGCTTAACGCCGCGGGATGCCACATCTAGCGCTTCGAGCACTTTGTCCAGGGCGAACAAGGCCGAGGCTGACCTGTAGTGCGCTTTGATGTTCGAAGGATTGATACGCAGTGCAACAGCACAGTCCGCAGTGGTCGACCGGTAGTTTTCTGCATTGTCAGCATGCCTTCTGCGGTCAAGATCAGACCGCCATACTCAGCTCTAGATTGCAGCGAGCTCGATTGACATGGAGCTGTTCATTAAGCAAGACCCGGAGCTTCTCCTCGGCCGTCTGATCCTCGGCCTTGTCCCATCTCTCCTCGTCGTTGTCTGCCAGGACTGCAATCCCTTTGGTATAGAACTCTTTAGCATCCTTCCACTTCTTCTCCGCGACCATTTCGTTTCCACGCTCTTTAAATCCCTGGGCCACGTCCGCCTTTGTACCCTCGTGCTGCAAGGCTTTGATGGCCTCGAGCATTATATTCTCTCCATCTGCGCACCGTTGCTCAGCCAAATGCCTGAGCAGCCGTAGATTTGGGCGTACCGTCGTTAGCTGCTGCGTCGAGACTGTTCATGAAGAGCGGGGTTTTGCTCATGTCCTGCGCGATCTCCTCGAAGCTTTTGGAAGACATTTGGTTTGGTTCAGGACCGAATGCCGAGATGTGCTGATCGTACAGCTCCTCGATCGAGGTTTCTTTGGGGGCATCATTGAGATTGACGCGCTCGTCAAAATCATCGGGAAGTTCTTCTATCCGCGACATGATCGATCGGGCAGAGTGCCAAAGGGCTTGTCACAAAGCAGGAAACAAGATGTGCCACAACTGATCAGAAATATTGGTGCGGGGAAACCGAGCGTAGAATATCAGAACTAAAATCAATTTACTCTGACCACCCTGCTGTACTCTTGCTGGAAGAGAAGATCTAAGACTACCAGTAGGCAAAAGATGTGTCTGAAACAAATATTCGTAGATTTAGGTGTACATGGTCTCAGTAGCTCCTCGGCAGCTCGAGTACTTTTTCGCTCACAAAGTTCAGAATCATCTCTCGACTGATCGGGGCGATTCTGGGGACGAAGATTTCCCTCATGTATCTCTCCACATCATATTCCATGGCATAACCCATACCGCCATGGCTCATGACTGCTCTTTCACAAGCTTTGAATGCTGCCTCCGCTGCCAGATATTTGGCACTGTTGCATGCCACTCCCACCGCATGTGGGCTGATGGTGGTGTCCGTCTTGCTTCGATCATACAAACGAGCTGCATGGTAGGCAGCTAACTTGGCGGCTTCCAGATTCATGTAGGCGTCAGCGAGGGGATGTGCAATAGCTTGGTTCTTCCCAATGGATCTGCCAAAGACGACCCTCTCCTTGGCGTACTGTGCAGCCTTCTCGACCGCTGCATAGCCGAGTCCGAGCGCTTCTCCCGCTAGGAGACATCTCTCAGCGTTCATCCCATGCAAGATGATCTTGAAGCCTTGCCCCTCTTCTCCAACGAGGGTGTTCTCTGGCACCTCATAGTGATCAAAGAAAACTTCGTTGGCGTCGACCGCCCTTCCGCCCATCTTCTTAATCCGTTTGAGTTCCAAGGCAGGGTTGGATCTGTCAATGTCGATACAGAACATAGAAAGTCCTTCACTTGGCTTTTTCACGTTTTCCAGAGGCGCCGTTCGAGCCAGGAGAATCATCTTCGAGGCAACCTGTGCGCACGTGATCCAGATCTTTTGTCCTGTGGCTCGCTGTGAACGTGCCGTTTGATGCAAAAAGACTTTGGCCGCTACTTACCAGTGATGATATACTTGTCTCCTTTACGAGTGGCGGTGGTCTTTAGCCTCAACGTGTCCAGGCCGGTGTTCGGCTCAGTCACGCCGAAGCATACCCTCCATTTGCCGTTGATAATGTTTGGTATTGTTGACTGCAGTTGTTCTTTATTTCCAAACTTGGCAAGCGGTTGCGTCTTGAGACTTGTTAGCAAGTATTTCTCCCTAGCGTACACGAGCAGGAGCATGAGCTGACAGCGTAGACGTTTCCGTGAATGGATTGAGCTCCAGCCATGCCAGCCCCTGACTGAGATATTGTCTGTAGCATCATAGTCGCTTCTGAGATGCCCAATCCTGCTCCTCCAAATTCTTCTGGGAGAGCAATACCAAGCCATCCGTCAGCTGCCAAAGCAGCATGTAATTCTTTGGGATCGGTCTCAGTTTGGTCATGCTGCTGCCAGTACTCGTTCGGAAATTGAGCACAAATCTTCTGGATAGCCTCGCGCACGGTCAATTGCTCTTCAGTAAAACAGCTCATCTCCATGATCCTGCGGTTTCTAGTCGCAGAAAAGTGTCTTCTTCCATGGTTCAAGAACGCCTGCTGCCATAGCCGAGGTTGAGAGGAGATAGTTGACAGCGACCTGGAGCTTAGCTGTTGTGAGAGCCGATTAACACAATGTCTGGTGGGCATGGTGCTGATCTGATCAGGGGCCAGCTACAGTTCGGGAACCGTGAACACGGTATCTGTAGAGATTGTCGTCGTTAGAAAATGACGACGCAGAATATGTACTCGATATATGGTTGGGGAAACTCCGAGATCGCTGTCTTCTCCAACTAGGCCTGGAGTGCCGGTACTCGGGAGTTCGACAATTCCGGGCCGAGCCAATCGCTGTCCAATACACGCGTCTCGAAAATATAGTTGGTGATTTCGAGACGGGGAATCTCGGAAACCCGTGCATTCTGTAAGGGCTCTGAGCATGCGGCAGCGGCCCCAGAAAGTACTACATATTACGGTGAATCATCGTATCCCGCTTTTGGCTTCCAGTAGAACAATAATGAGCATTGAACTACCTTAGTTAGGGTCTGAAAGTTTGGAAGCGACACATAGATTCCCGATCGAAAACAGACGCAATTTCAGAGGGGATTATCTGAAACTGCCCAGCGCGACATGGCATAAAATACCCAAGAACACCATGCTTGTCACGTGAGTGCGTGCCCTACGCTAGTACCAATGCGGCTGTAACCAAAACATACGAAATGTTCCGGCTTCATGGACTTGCGTCTCTCGTCTCACGATTAGTTCTTGAATGCCTGAAATCCTGCCACGACAACCATGCACCCACTCACATTCAGAGATACAACTTCGAAAAAGCCTTGACGCCACCGTCCTCAGCAATCCATTATCTCTTTCCTGCGCGTTGATATAATCGCGCACAATGGCTACCAAAGGTACAGCAGTCGGATCAGTCTCTTGGATAGCTGCCGAAAAGGAGAATGCTCTGCACTTACTCCAGAATGAGAAAGAAGAAGTCATATATCCGGCCCAGCACCAGCTCGAATGGCTTAACGAGCATATGGCCGAGATATTTAACAAGAGCTATCTGTATGTCAAATTAGGAAACTGCGGCGTACGCAGAAATGCTGACCGAAAACAGTGATGTCGCCAATGTCTTCAAAACACCAGGAAAGCTTCGAGGGAAAACTCCTCGTACTGCAAGGAAACGAAACGCCCAAGATGCACGAATAGTGAGCTGACATTTTATTACCCGCTGCGACAGTGGCTAATCCCTGTTCCGCAGCCTTTGAGCGACGTCTTCTCTTCGAAACCTTTAAAACGTCAGAGTCCCCAGAGAAAAGCAAATCAAACGAAACTACGCTTCGAAGTCTCGATCGAAACCGACCAAATACAACAACCCGTCAAATCACAGACCGATTCCGGCTACCACACTGCCAGCCAGGACGATGTGGATGTCAGCACACATCCTCACTCCGCCAATGTCCCCGAGGGAGCGCAGAAAGAATCTTCCGACAATACACAAACGATATCAGACCATAACATGGACGATGCAATGGATGAGGGCCACCGCACTACCGGGGGATCGTTCCATTCAGCAAAAGAAGACCAAACAACAAAGATAGCGGGTCCGGAGGTGGGAGTGCCGGGGACCAGGCCACAGGTTATATCCCTGCAGACTCAACAGATTGACATTTTTGACGCCGCAAACGAGCACCAAGTGGACATACACCCCGAGTTGGACGATATTGGTTCCCCTTCTGATGAATCAACTCCTGACAGACCTTTGGTGAGGAAGAGCAGCCTGACATTTGCTTCCCTGCCCGCACGGGAGCCATTGAAATCAAGTATTGGCGCCAGAATCTCACGAACAAGTCATATCGACCAAGTACATCGATCTCACTCAAGTGCATATGGGCTCCGGCCAACTGTTTCTTCCAGTCAAACCGCACAGCATCCGGTCCGTGACGACAACATGGATGTTGCGATGGATGATGTAGATGCAGATGATGACGATGATGAGAATGACGAGAATGTGCAGATTCTGGGACATGATGATTCTGAGAGCGAGAATCAAGTCACCAAAGATCACTCTAAACTTTCGACGCAGAGGCTGCATGAGAAAATTGACATGCTTGGAAAATTCCCTCCTCCACGACTCTCCAAGTCGATTCCTTCAGCTATTGTGCTGCCCGACCTAAAGCAACAAGATGAACAACGTCACGAACCCCAATCTGGGAAGCAGATACAGATCGTGACTGACGACGACGATGACTGGATCAAACCATTAACCACTCCAGATGCTGCCGGATCATCTCCTCTCAAGACTGCACATGCCACCCAATCAGATAGCGAGGAGGAATATGACCTTCGGGCTCCCGAATTGATCGCACACGACGAGCGGATGAGGACTCCCGTACGCATGCCACCGGGTCCTGGTAAAATGATGCCCGGTTATGGGCACACTAAGTCTGCCTCGACCGCCACTCTGGCTTCTCCTGCAAAGGCATCCATGGCACCGCCGGCAAGCCCTGCGAAATCCATATCAGTGTCCAATCCGGCTCAAAGCAAAACAACCCCACAAGGCTCCCCGAGGCGATACCTCGATCTAAGCGCTTCCAAGTCCAAGTTGCAATCTATCATGAAGACTGCCAAGGGTCTATTTACTAGCAGCGCAAGCGTGTCGGCCGCGGCCAAGTTGGAAACCTTGTCCCCCAATGCTCTTAAGGTCGCTTCAAATGCAATGCCTGGAATGTATCCGAATCTCAACGCACTAATCGAAGACAAGCCCTTACCCGCAAACCCCCCAAAAGAGCCAAGGAAGACCCGCAGTTCCACAGAAAGAGAAAAAGAACAGAAACGAAAGGAAAAAGAGGCTCAGCTGAAGCAACGAATGGATGATCAACTGGAGAAGGCACGAGAGGAGGAGAGGAAGAAAGTTGCAGAGCAAAAGCTCGCACGCGGACAGATGGCCAAAAAGGACTTCGAGCAGGCCCCACCTTTAAGCCCCAAGCATCAAGCTGATGAACAAGAAACGACCGAACTGGCAGCAAGACCAACTCGACCAATAAGATTGGGAAGAGAGCATCCAGTCAACAAGGCTAAGCCTGCACCAGTATCAATACGCGTCGGAACGCTCTCTCAAAGAATGCCGGTCAATTCCTCGCAAGCTGCTCCGAATGCCCAGGAAACTCTGGCTGCGGAGCCCAAACGCCCGGGCCTAAATAAAAAAGCTAGCAATGCCTCCCTGCAGTCAACGACATCGGCAACCGTGAAGTCTTCAGTCCATGCGCCTCCAAAGCCAAGGGCTTTGCTTGCAGCAGAACGCAAGAAAGAGCAGGATGAACGAGAGGCCCAGAGAAAGCTGGAGCAGAAACGAGAATTAGAACGTAAGCGAGCAGCTCAGCAGGAAGAGGCACGAAGACAGGAACAGAGGCAGCGTGCAGAAGCCGAGAAACGTGAACGAGAGCGAGTGGCGGCGGAACAAGCGAAGCGACAAGCTCAGCAGCAAGCTATTGAGCGCAAACGTCAAGAGACGGCTCGAAAGGCAGAGCAACAACGGTTGGATCGTGTGGCCCATGAAGCCGCCCAGGCTGCCCAGGTCAGACCTCCCTCGCGTCTTGGTGGTCAAACTACTGGCCGTTCATTACTCAATCATCCCTTGCCTACCAATCCCGCAAAGCCTGCGAAGCGACCACTGGAAGAAGAACAGGCTACGATTCGTCCTCAGAACTCAAAATATGGGATTCTTACGTCTCAAGGCGACGCCAAGCGACGGAAGACTGAGGAAGAAAGCGTGATTGAACCCGTTCCACGCCCCGTTGTCTCTGGTGCCCCAATCCGGCAGTCACAACTTGGCAAGAAGCCATCGATCTTTAGCCACGGCACATACACGCAAGCGCAATCCTCGACGCATGTGAGCCAATTCCCCCAACCTCCTAGCCGAACTGCCCCCCCACAGATGCAACAATATGCCACTGGCGGAAAGATTCCCTTCGCGGATGCCCCCAACCCGCCAGCACACACGAAGACCCCCGTATCGCTCATGCAGCAGAAGACGATACAGACAGTCAAGTCTTCGCCACAGTATCCGAATGGAGAGGCCATTCATCTCCCAGAAATCCCAACCGATTCGGAGGATGAAGATTCAGACGATGAGGGTAATGCATTCCCAATCCCTGACTGGGCCACACCGGGCCATCTCACGGAACAACTCATCCGGCAGGAAGGGATGGATGAGGATGCGGTTTTTGGGCCTATTGCACCATTGAAAATAGAAGAGATATTCTCTAAGGGCAACAAAGACAGACTGAAGCGTCTCAGAGACCGAACGAGCAGCGCGAATTGGGCAATTAGCGGCGATGGGTTGACGCTGGAAGAGGTGAGGGCGGATCGAGAGCAACGAGAGAGGATGAGGCTAGAGGGTGGCTGGAGGTATGGCAATTAAAAGAACCCCAAGCGGAGAGCAATGTCCACATGGTTCCCTAGGATGTGATGTTGGATGAATTGGCGGCTCTTTGGGAAAGGACATGTCAAGGATAGCATACTGCACTTTGGACGGCGTTCGTTGTCCTGCGTGGGCGACTTAAGCCGAAAGGACGTAGAGAGACCAACTGCAGTGGAAACTAGGGTGTTGATTAACTTCACCGAAGCATTGGGGGCATTTCCCGAACGGCAAGGCGAGGCACAACTGGGCAACTTAGCGCATGATATTGGTCTGCTACATACGAGGTACACACGTTGTCCCTAGTTCCCAGCTACTTTTGTGAAAAGGCACTCTCACCCGTCCTGCCGCCTCAATTTCTCGCGGATCGCACCCGTGTAATATGTATTCGGGCAAAACACCGGCGGCCCATGCACTCTCAAAGCGACCTAGCAGAACTCTGAAAGAGAACGAGGTCCATGACACCTCCAGCGGGAAGTGGCGGGCACGGCTCGCCTTCGGGACAATCGTCTGGACGCGAGACGGTTTCCAAGGCCAGTCTGCCCAGTGCACACATGCTAAGGGAAATGGCCAAAAGTTCCGCCCTTGGAGACTTGATTGACTTTGTCGATCAACCGATCAGTACGAAAAAGGCCAGCTTGCGCCCTGCTGCAGAGGGTCAATAAGGAATATGTCCACCCGTCTGGGGACGGCCTCTCTTGGTAGTTCGATCCAAGGATCACAGACGCTTATCAGGCTGAGCTAGACATCAACACCATGCATTTTAAACCCCCGGTCTTGAAAGTACTCCTCGCAATCATATGTACTGCCTTAGCTGCGCCTCTAACCCACTTTCACCACCCTGCAACTGCAGCGGTTCCCAACTACGATCATCTTGTGAACACAACTCGTCATGCCGAGGATAAACGCCAGCTTCAAGTCCTTGTCGATGCAGTTGCCATCGCCAGGGTCGTGGTAACCATCGCTGACGCCCTCTTGAAGCTGGTCGACGGCATTGAAGACCTTGTGAATCAGCACCCAATCGAAAGCAATTTCACGCAGAGCACGGTCTCAAAATTAAGGGACGTCTATCCGACGATGAATGTGATTGTCTTCCATAACAAAAAGTCTGGCTACGATTTTTACGGCGGTAACCATACACATTACGAATTGGATATCGGATGGGGCAAGACGGAAGGCTATGAGACCTGGATTTTCAACCACGGCACCTCTGAACGCGCCGGTGAGGCCCGACGTCAAGTTTTATAGCATGAACGATAACTAAACGCGAATTCATTTGCCGAGGTCGGAAAGGGCGAATGAGGAGACTAGGGCTGGTAATGTAGCGAGCCGAATCACACATTGACTTCTCCTTTCTTTTTGTCCTATGGTGACGAGTGCTAGGGTTAGACTTGTCACCTTGCAGGATTCTTGGTGCATGCTTTGTGGGGAAAAGTCCACTTTACTTTACTGCCTTTCTCGTTGATACTGCAAATATGTCCCATTCAAATACTTCCACGACGGGGAGCGTGTTTCGCACTGTCAAATTCTCAACTGTCGGTTTGACGTAACCTCTACTTCCGCCGTATACTTCCCTCGCCGATTCCGATGACCACTAACGACCTTGTGGGTTTCTACATTACATAGGTACCTAGGTACGTTGGCACCACGGTCTTTCACAGAGAGAAACCACGCGCCGAGGTTTCATCAGATCCTGCCTTATACATGCCTTGTAGATAACTGATTCGTGATATGTATGTACATATGTATGTATGTACATAGATTATGGAGTATGATAACGCTTATCTTGGGCCCTTAGAGACCTGTTTGGGGACTAGCTCTAATAGCTTGAAGATCCGATGACGCCATTTCTATTGCGTATTCAACCATGAGCTATTAATCACTTCATGATCCCCTTCTCTTCGAGTACTAGATATCCGAATCTAAGTTGGCTTTCCACGTTAATCACGGCACTTTTCTCTAAGATGGCCTCGTATGCATCCCGATCATTCGTGCACTCATTCGGTCCTACGTTTCGGGCCCGAGGCGGGCCTTCACTCAGAACAAAGCCATTTTCATTGGCAAGATACACCCGGGGGTATGCTACGTCCGCCGCGGAACAGCCTCGTCTTCGTCTTGGAAGCACAGCACCCAACTTCCTGGCCAAAACCACCCATGGCGACATTGATTTCCATAAGTTCATCGACAACTCATGGGCCATATTGTTCAGCCATCCAGCCGACTTCACCCCAGTCTGTACCACCGAGTTAGGAGCGTTTGCCAAGCTGAAAGATGAGTTCGAGAAGCGAGGAGTGAAGATGATTGGACTGAGCGCCAACGGCCTCAACAGCCACGACGAGTGGATCAAAGACATCAATGAGATCTCCAAGACGAACCTGCAGTTCCCCATCATTGCGGACTCGGACCGCAAAGTGGCATTTTTGTACGACATGGTGGATCAACAAGACCTGGACAATATTGACGAAAAGGGCGTTGCATATACCATTCGGTCTGTCTTCATCATTGACCCGGCCAAGAAGATCCGGCTGATCATGCTCTACCCTGCTTCAACGGGCCGGAATACGGCTGAGGTTCTCCGCGTCATCGACGCACTCCAGCTTGGTGACAAAAAGGGAGTGACGACCCCCATCAACTGGGAGATGGGAGATGATGTGATTGTGCCTCCTTCAGTCTCCACCGAGGACGCGAAGAAGAAGTTTGCTGATGTAAAGGAGGTCCGCCCATATCTGAGGTTTACGACCGGCAATTTGAACAATTCTCATTGAAGTATATTTTCGTGGGTGGTCAGAATTGTGTTGTGGTGATAGAAAAATGGCTAGCAACAGATGTCGTACCCGGGCTGAGTCCTCCTCCTATCACATACCTAGGTTGCTATGTAGATGAAAAGTCCTGCGCCGAGTACTCGATAAACCATCCGTTATTATTAGCGAATCTGGATTTGGTGGAAGCGATGGCCCGTAGGGACGGACAAATCGGAGCAATAACGCCACTAGCTTCCATCACATCCTTGGGCACCCAAGTACACCCCACGCTGCAAAGAAACAAGAACTCTCTCAAGGCTCTGATTATTATTTTGCAAGCAAACAGGCAAATAATTCTTTCGACACCATCACCACCTCCCTCTCCCAACCCTCCAACCCTCCAACCCTCCAACGCTCTAGACGTTCTTCCGCAAGGAAGCCGTGTTCCGGCTCACGCTCCGCCACGCCGCCCTCGAGGCTGCTCTGGTCACGCGTATAGTACCTCCTGCTGTCCCTCAGTCCAGCCTGCGCCTAGACGAAAACCGCAGTCTGTGTCAATCTGCCAGTATGGCTTCCACTTCAGCGGCTGCTGTGCTCCTTGGTAGACAATTAAAACAGATGCAGTCGGACAAAGATATACCTGGGATCAGCTGTGGGCTGGTGGACAACAACGTCTTTCAGTGGGAAGTTATGCTCATGATCAACGACGACTGCAAATACTACGGCGGTGTGGATCTATTCTCCCCCACTGATCCTGAACACATGAATAGCTGACGATGGACCAGGAGGATTCTTTCGTGCCCGCCTGTCCTTCCCTCCAGAGTACCCTTTGATGCCTCCCAAAATGAAGTTCGAAACCCCCATCTTCCATCCCAACGTCTACCCGACCGGGGAAGTCTGTATCTCCATCCTGCACCCTCCGGTAAGTTGATCTCCCATCCAACCTCACCATACCAGCGCGGGCTAATGGGTCTCTTTCCTAGGAGGATGACCAATACGGATATGAATCTGCCGCTGAGCGATGGAGTCCCGTACAAAGCCCCGAGACGATCCTGATATCGGTCATCAGTATGTTGAGTTCCCCAAACGACGAGTCTCCAGCGAATGTGGATGCAGCCAAGATGTGGCGGGAAGATCCCAAAGGTTTCCGAAGAAAGTGTCAGCGGCTCGTCCGGGAAAGCTTAGGGGACGACTAAATATCGGGATGGAGGATCTACTTGGTATGATAGCGGCGTGGATTGCATCAGCACATTGGGACGGTAACATGTGGACGAGCTGCATGAGCATTCAGACATGGGCAGTTTGAGCTATAATTTTGCTGCGGGAGTTCTGAGCGTGGGAGTTGGCGGGATCGATTGCTTCTTGTGCCTTGAGAGATGAAGACATGATTGCATTGCAACGAACATGAAGGAGGGGAATTGGATCTGATCTGACATACCCAGTATTGATATGGACTGGTCGACAGGATGTTTCGCAGGAAGCCGACGTCAGCCTAGTGGCCACGCCTCGGCGTCAACGGGAATAGCCCGTGCGTGGTGTTGTGAGCTCTGGCGCCGACTAGGCGCTGCGGACATTAAACACGTTCACAGTTTTCCCCATGACCCAGTACAAGTTGGCCGGACAGGACAGAATGACTGAGGAGCGTCAGACGCGTGTTTCACTTCATGTGGCAAGGTGGGTTTCGTCGCAGCAGCCAGCTGCCAGTATACCATTTATGGAACAAGGGAGCCTAGGGGGGGCACGGGGGAGAACAAAATGACCAGAGTAGAGGTGAATGGTGAATGGTACCCCTTATTACATGGCTGTCCCATATCATCCGCCCTCGCCGCATAGGAAGCAACAATTATGGGATAATGGTACGAGGCACCCAAAGACACCGAGTGCTTCGTACTGGCGGTGGTGGCAGTGTTTTGTCGGCCGCAGGGGAAACGCGGCAGCCTGAGTGACACTGATTTGCTGCCTGCGGGGTCGGCGGAACATCTGATCCATCGGGATTGTTTCACCTTGTTCCCTTGTTCACCTAAGACACTCCCTGCGCTGAATAAAGACCATCCCATCAGCATCAGGCACCTCACGTCTCCCTCTATTCCTTTTACTCCCTCATTCTTTCTGCCCCTTCCTCCTCCCCCTCCCCCTCCCATTGTCGCCATCTATTGCTGCTTTCCCCCCATCTTTGCTCGCCATGAGTCTGTCTACCCATTTGGTTCGCCGTGGCTTCGACGTCGCCCACCATGGCATGGTCGCAGCCACAGCTGGGCCCGAGCAGCCAGGCGAGGGCGAGTCTCCTCAAGTCTCTCCCTTGGCCGCCCTGATCTTCCTCCTTTCTGGTCTGATTTGCGTTGGCCTTCTATTTTCCGTAAGTGTCTCTGCTGCTACTCTGCCGCTGGCGTTTAGGGACAACAACTAACGAGACCGAAGGTCGGTTATACTTACGGCCACTTGCTCCCGATTCTATGCATGGTTGAGAGCCCTGAGACCGAGGCCTACGTCCCGGTTGGCACGATTGAACCGACAGACCCTCCTGCCTACTCTGCAACCCCTGCACCCAAGCCCACAAACGGACAACCCGACGACCTCGAAGCCGACACAGAGGGCGATGCCGAAGTTCTCCTTGTCCGCAACAAGCCTTTTACGGCATCGATTCGCCAGACCATTCTGCACCTTCGAGCTCGAGCTGGCTACTGGTCTCGATTCCGGGGCTTGTCCATGTTCGTCGTCTGGAATATCATCTGTGGTGTCCTCATCTCCATCATTGCAACCATCTTCCCCAACCGACTGGGAGTTGCCTTTGCCGCCATCGTCGCCGAAACTGCCCTTGCCACCTGGCATATGGCCTGGGTACACATCGTCATTTCGGAGCCCAGCGAGAAGAGATGGTATAAGCGCATTCCCTCGATTCGAACCTGGCCCAAAATAGCCCCTGCCGTTGCTTTGTGGGCAACCACCCACCAGGTTGTATCAATTCTGCCTATGCTGGTTTGCGGCTCGTTTGGGTCGCTGAAGCATATGGACAATCCGCACTACCAGCCAGGCCGGAAAGATCTGTATGCTGTCGGCGGGCAGGGATTTCTAGGATTTTCCCTCATGGTTGCTCTATTCGTGCTCCTTCAGATTCCCGCCACCGTCACCTTGGTCCGCGTCGCAGCGTCAATGCTCCCGGAAGAAGATGAAACCATTGTTCCGTTTGACCGCACATTTGGCGGAAAAACCACACCTGCCATCATTGGTGGACAAGGCAAGATCGGGTTAGTCGAGGCGTGGAGAAGTTTCCCATGGGCTAGTCGAAAGCGATTGCTCAGGTTGATGGTCAAGGTGACGCTCATCTTCCTAGCTTGCTGGCTCCTCGCCACCATTGTCTTGGTCGCTGAGGCCCACATCTTGTTCGGGGACAAATTGGGAGAGATGATGAAGACGTTGCACGGCATTGCACGTGCTCACCATTGAATAGCAGCGTGACATGGATGCAGGATCTATTGCTTGGGATTTGCACTTGGCTGTCACTTTGATCATTGCATGAAAAATATGTACACTAAAGGGAAAGAGGCGTTGTCGTTGGCTCTGGAAAGCTGGGATAGCATGATGTCGGGCGTATTATATTTTGAGAGTTGGACTTTTTACAAATTCTGATGAGGGAGAATGCGAACGTACTGTACCCGGACACCGAGATTCGTCCAGACCATTATGCTAGCATCGGCTGGAGAACGAAAACATCTCGGGGCATCCGAGGGGCCTCCATAGATACACCCCACGGCTGGAGGGCACCGAGAGGCAAACCAAGGCCGAACCTCGGCTGGTTGCCCCGTGGCTTTTGAAACCTCCACAAGCTTGTGAAGGTCGGCGTTTTCTAGAGGCATGCGACGCTTGCCGCGTCCCTAACAATTTCATTCGGAGCGTGCAAAGTTCTCTTGGGGGGAGCGAATCTATATCTTTCAGCTTCAGTGGACAAGCCGTTGAACCTTGACTCCCAACGTCCTACCATGATATCACATCGCTAAATCCAGTCCCTCGCCCTTGACGCGACTGCACCTCCACCCGCCATTGACCTGCCCCTCCGACAAGCCTCTAGCCTCGCCCTCGCCGTTGATCCTTTCAATCACTCCGTCCGCCCGTTGCCTCCTGCCGCACCACCAGAAGAATAAGACGCAAAGACGAAGACTTGCCCTTCGACACGCAGACCTCAACCTCCTGCCCGTCTCTATAGCATCCCTTCTCCTCAATGGCACCAGCCACCATGCCGACGTCAATAGAGCAACTCCCCTCCACCGAGGAGGTCAAAGAGCAAGTCAAAGAGAGCGCCAAGGGTGCCTTCTCCGGTCTCCGGTCTCTCGTTGCCGGTGGAGTCGGCGGCGTCTGTGCTGTCGTCGTCGGGCACCCTTTCGACTTGGTCAAAGTCCGCCTGCAGACCGCCGACAAGGGAGTCTATTCGGGCGCGATCGATGTTGTGAAGAAAACTGTCGCTCGCGAGGGACTGGCGAGGGGCCTCTATGCAGGTGTCTCTGCTCCATTGGTGGGTGTCACGCCCATGTTTGCCGTCAGCTTCTGGGGATACGACATGGGGAAAAGGCTCGTGGACACGGTCACTACGGTGCCCGTCAAGAATAACATGCCCCAATATTCGATCGGGCAAATTTCCGCCGCGGGATTCTTCTCAGCCATACCCATGACGCTTATTACGGCGCCGTTTGAGCGTGTTAAAGTTCTACTGCAAATCCAAGGTCAAAAACACCTCGCGCCGGGCGAAAAACCCAAATACTCGGGTGGATTGGACGTCGTGCGGCAGCTATATAAAGAAGGAGGCATAAGATCCGTATTCAGGGGTAGCGCCATGACCCTTGCCCGAGATGGCCCCGGTTCCGCTGCATACTTTGCCGTCTACGAGTACGTCAAACGCAGCCTCTCTCCCAAGGACGCCGAGGGCAACGCGACAGGGGAATTAAGTCTGACGGCTGTCATGACCGCCGGCGCCTGTGCAGGTGTGGCTATGTGGATTCCTGTCTTCCCAGTCGATACGGTCAAAAGCAGGATACAGACTGCCGAGGGGAGGCCGACTATCGGTGGTGTCATTTCCCAAGTTTATAGAAGTGGTGGCATCAAAGCTTTCTTCCCAGGTTTCGGTCCGGCGTTGGCAAGAGCTATTCCAGCAAATGCGGCCACATTTGTGGGGGTCGAGTTGGCGCATAAGGCTATGAATTCAATGTTCGGTTGAGGGGATAGACTGAACAGGGGGCACAGTTTTGGATCAACAGCTTTGTTCAGGCCGTTCCGACTACCACTGCTTCGGGTTTGGCCTTCCCTATTCTCGGTGGGATCATGCATCCCGGTGTTGGAGGAGTTCTCTTTTCATGCATACATCGAATGAGGATAACAGCAGATGGTATGTACAACAACTGGGGTTTATTTGTCTACAGTCATCTTTTAGCTAGGTCTCCATTTGCGCAGATGGTGCTTCTAGAGCCTGGACGTCGGAATGGGGAATACTCTTGACACGCAACGGTCAGAGGTGTTCCAAATCGATACTAAGGGCAATCATCACCTGCCTCGCTCGCTAGATTCCAGAGACAGATGCTATCAGCTGGGGAGCAGCGGCAACCATCCGTCCATGTTGAGCACTGTGCCCTTGCACATGATGCGACACCCAAAGTTTGACGCCCACATTCTTCACATGACGATACAGCATCTACACCATCCGTCTGACCTCTCCCAACCTTCCCGAGTGGCTCCGCCGCGCAGCTTCATCCCAACTTCATTCTTCACCCTGCTCGGCGATCGTGTGAAAGAGTCATATCTAGCGTTGAACTGAGCAGGGCCAGCATCGATCGCGCTACCGCCGGGGCGTTGGCGGTTGGGATTTTCTTTGCCGACCTCAAGGAACCGGTGTACAGCTGCCCGGAAGGAGTTGTGCATTTTTGAGATGTAAGGCAGTCCTCGTCTATAGATATGGATTCGTTGCGGATTTCGAAGTGGATATGCAATGTGGGCGCAGAATCTGAAGTGTTGTTCTGATCGTTGATAGATATGTTGTATAGGACAGGTTATGGAGCCCAAGGACAGCAAGGGAAAGGCGAAACACGAATATATATACTCACATATGGAAAGCCGTTTGCCCATAGTTTTCCACACGGCCAAGTTGTGGGAGAAGCAAAATGAGTGACCGGTTCTTTCATTGCAATGATCATCACTGTAATCATCACAGTCTCTATGCCCTAACCTACCCCCACAGAAACAGGCTGATCCAGTGAGTGGTGACGAAACAGTGTAATAGTGACCACATATAGAGAAAGCGAGCGCGAATAATCACGCTGCGATGACTTCGTCGTACGCAGTCTTGAAGGTAGTAGCTCGTAAGAGTGACTCCATGCCCGCAAACCCAGGTCGAGAAGAGCGCAAAAAGGGCATTTGATGGCAGTGGCTGGGCAGTGTCGACTTTCACGAAAACGGGAAAGTACGATCTGACTCGGACTTGGCGGCGGACTTGGCGTCGGATAAGGCTGGGGACAAGGCTGGGACACGGCGACAACACACCAAGTACGAGGTACGGCATCAATTCATTTCCAGTCAATCTGCGTCTGCTTGAGCGTTGTTTGCATCTGCCAACATGGTTCTCTCCTTCATTCTCGTCCAGAATCGTCAGGGCAAAACGAGATTAGCCAAGTGGTACGCGCCTTACACTGACGAAGAGAAGGTGAAGCTGAAGGGCGAGGTAAGACAGTGTTCAACGCCACGACTATCACATTCAGTCTGCTCCGACTCCTCGAGCATGTTCATTTCACGCTGACTCCTTTGGACATTGTAAAGGTCCATCGACTCATCGCTCCCCGTGACCAGAAGTACCAATCCAACTTCGTCGAGTTCCGATCCGCGCCCTCTTCATCTGCCTCGACTTCCCACGCCCAACCCCTCGTCCGCCAGAACCTGTCCTCCACAAAGATTGTGTACCGGCGGTATGCAGGCCTGTTCTTCTGCGTCTGCGTTGACGCCAACGACAACGAGCTCGCCTACCTCGAAGCTATCCACTTCTTCGTCGAGGTGCTGGACCAATTCTTCGGCAACGTCTGCGAATTGGACCTCGTGTTCAACTTCTACAAGGTCTACGCCATTCTCGACGAGGTCTTCTTGGCCGGTGAAATCGAGGAGACGAGCAAACAGGTTGTTTTGACGAGACTGGAGCATTTGGACAAACTGGAGTGAGAGAGCGAGATCCGAGACAAAGCTCGAGACACACACGAGGAAAGGACACCACCGGTTACCGCAAAGCACTCTCTGGTCGGTCCCTTTAATCTGATATGATGTTACGTCGGCACCCTTCGCGTACCGCCCTGAAGGCGGGTTGTCAATCACGCGCAGTTCAAGCTTGAGCATTCAGTATGCTTTGCCAATTTTCCGAGGCTGGAACATCGAGTGCCAAATATGAATACTGCACGACGAACTTCTATCCTTCGACAAGAGTGCAGCATCCGAAGCTACACAACTATGACGAGTCATTCTTGGGATCTCATCCATACAAGCCAAACAGACGCCCGATTATACGGTTACCTGCTCGCAAAAAGCTCACCAAGCGCTCAAGCGGAGGGGCGGAGGGGCGGAGCTCGAATCCTGATTGATGGCAGAGGATGCACGTACTCCCCGCGAGAAAGTGTGTCGAAGATGAAGGATATGCGGCCGTGCCGAAGAAATTTCTATCCGAGTCAGGGGAAGGAGATCGTGTAGATTGAGTCTGGGGTGTGGACAAGTTGTCGCAGGAACAGAAGATGTCATGGCAGCAGCGCAATCTGCGAGGCCTGCATGTCGAGAGAACAAAATCGTCAATGCATGAGATTCGCAGCTCTTCCGCTTAGCAGGTGCCTGATCTGCCTTTTTGTATCTCGCCGATATTAATTCATCTTCATCTCTTGAGCGCCTGAAACCTCTTTGCCAAATCGTCCACAGTCGGCACGTTTCCAGGCACCGTTCCGGCACCTCCCCCAGGGGCGGCGCTCTTCCCTTTGGCCATTCCGGCAGATGGTGTGGACTTCGCATTGTTGACGCCCTTTCTGATCTCCCCTCCTCCAGGCAATTTGACCCTCGGGCTGAGATTGTCAGATGTCGCACCCGGGGGAGCTATTGAGACAGGACTTTTGGCCCCTCCAGGCTCCAAGCTCGACGGCGGTGTCGCATTCTGTAAAGTCCCAATATCGATTTTGTTCGGTCGGGACGGCGTAGCTGGGTTCGGTGGTGGTGGTGGTGCTCCGTCTGCAAGCAAAGGCAGCTCCTTCATGCCACCCCCCACGCCGTCATCATCATCTCCAGCATCCTCACCATCGACTTCTTTACTCAGTGCCTCCACTTGCTCTCCTTCCCTCTGCGGGGGCCAGTCCACTCCATACGTCCTTGCGATCTCCTCCAGATATGCCTGCACAAGCCTCGCACTCGGCGGATCGACTTTCAACTTGTCCACTACCCGAGTGGGCACGCAGTTGTCCTGGTTCTCATTTGCGCGGATCGCAAACTCCTTCCCGAACCGTTCGATCAGCATGCTTCGCACGATGGCCAGCTCTCGCACATCCCGCGGCAGCCTCGGCGCAGAGTAGATGATACTCGCTGCCGCCTCCTCCAAACCCGTGTCATCGCCCGCCTGTGCCGTGCCTTCCTTTATGTTCTTGTCCCTGACGTCCAACAGTCCCGCCCTGGCGAGAAGTAGTTCGGCATAGAGTTCCAAGATCTCCATCAGCTCCACGGTAATGTCGGTGTGGATGATGTTCTCGACGCGTATGCGCGCGGACGCCTCGCGGGACTGGGAGAGCAGCTCGGCCATCTCGCGGCGGGCCGACACGGAGAGGGCGGTGTCTTTCTTCTGTGCATTGCGGAGACGAGGGATGAGGAGGCGAAGGGTCGACTTTAATTTTATCTGCCGTGCAAATCGGTTAGTGAGAGGGAGACCTAGGTTGTTGGTATAATAATCTGACAATGGAGATAGAACGGCCAGCCAGAGGAGCCCCAATGTGCAACACCAAATCCTGAACCGAGTCCAAGAGACCACCACCAGCACGGCTAAACCTGGATTCTGGAGTAGATCTAGCCCGGGTCTAGGTAGAGACTCACCGTTTGAGGTGATGCCGCTGGCATGTTGAGTTAGCTGCGCGACCCGGTTCTATCGGTATCTGTTGAAGGGGCCTGGCTGGGGGTTCGGATTCGAAGACCGGTGCAGTATACGAAGTATGGGGGTACACCGATTCGCTGACTGGTTCTTTTCCTGTGGATCCAGAGTCGTATGTCTGGGCGATGTACTGTAGCAAGAAGAGAGAGGGTCGTCCGGGTGTGAAAGTGGTGGACGGATGGTGCAGTCCAATATGAAAGTGGGGGTTGTGTTATACGAACGATCACCAGGGACATGGAGCGGTGTGTCTGGAGAGCTGGGTTGGGCGAACCAGGCATTGTCCGCGCTAAAATGGAGACCCTGATAGGCACCTATATAGGGACATGTGTACATACTCGGTACAGTACATCTGTTTATCAACACAATTGATTAAGATCAACTATTTATATATTTATGTTCTCTCCAACCCAACACAGCCAAAGGTCAACACATTGCGCTACTCTTGAGCGATCAACTCTCCTCAAAGCCATCTCGATACTATGTCCCAACATGAACTCGCAACAAACAGACGTGGGCATCGTTAGAACAAGGTCTCCAAACCATAGATATTCTGAGCATGCGGTACCATCAACCAAAATCTCTCCCAGATGCGCAGGTGATCCGACTGCAAAAATGCGTGGTTGACGTAGCTGCGTGCCCCTTGCCGGCATTACCAGAATGATACGGACATGAAAGTATGTTCACTCAGTGCAAAAGACAGAAAAGCTCTCGATCGAAAATATCCAGGAAGAAGTGAAAAGAATGTGATCAGGTCGTCCAGCCGAGTCAATCCTCGAATCAGGTCTGCAAGACCAGCTGCGCTAGCGTTCAAGTCCCCCATAACAAAAACTCGGAGCTCTTCTGCTTTGCGGTTCCATACCACAGATTGTCCCGAGCTATGCTGGTGTCATAGTGACAGCCACGTAAACGGCTAACGCCGAGAACAGGCTGACCACAGAGAGTTGGAATGTCGAGGCGCCACCAGTGGCGGGCGAGAGCGGAGCAAACGATGACGATGATGGCCCGGACGGTATTGCTGTGGCTTCGACGGTTGTATCGCTGGCTCCATCGCTAGCCCCTGTCGGTGCTGCGTACGTGGTGTAGTTGAACAACGAGTAATAAGGTGAGTGAGTTGGTAGTCTGTAGGGGTGATTAGTTGCGGTAGTAGACCCAGTCCATGCTGATACTGTAGGAGCAGAGCTTGTTGTTATGACCGACGACGAGGTCCAGGACCAAGTCGATTCGGTTGAAGTGGTCGGCGCTCCGCTGGATGATGACTGAGATGAAGCCGTGGGTGACTGCCACGAGCTGGTACTTTGAAAGAACTGTCCTCCATTCTTACCACCCGAGGATGATGACGATGAATAGCCGCCATTGCCGCCACTGTCGCTGCTATCGCCGCCGGCATTGAAGACCACAAAGTTGGCGCTCGAACCCTTTGCAACCGTTACGACGCAGAAAGCACCACCACCTGCCCCGATGCTCGAGTCGCCGGTCATTTCATTGACCTTGTTTTGAGACGGATCGATTGCGCACGGAAGGCCTGCGCAGCCGCCATTGGGACAGTCAATTTTCACGCCCCAATCTGGCATTTGATTGCGGAAAGGAGTGGCCGGTTCGAGGTAGATGGGATTCCACCCGAGCTTGATGAAGGTATTCCCGGAGGAATCGACGTTGGCTCCGGCAACGTATGGGGACCAATTACCATAAGGATTGGTGTTGGTACCCCATACGCAAGCTTGATCAGTATCGATACCCGGGGGGTTAATGTAATAGTGCGCAGCGGTCTCGCACCAATAGCTGGGATCTGGTACTGCGATTGTGGCGAAACCGGTGACGGACGTGGGAATCAACATGGCTTCATTTCCTGGAAGCACCGTCTGGCAGAATGCCACAACCCCGCCTGCATTGTTCTGGACGCCGATGTTGCTACTGGTGGCCTGGCAATATGGTTTGTTGGGAAATGGTTTCTGTATGTTGCCGTTTTGGTCGCAGTACAATCCGCCGTTCTGAACTTGGTCAGCACAATTGGGGGTAGTTCTCAGACGTGGGAACTAACCATTGACTTGGGATATGAGTAGGATGTCGCACTGGGATCCCATTGCACAGACACTTGACCAGCTGGGCAAGCGTACGGGCAATAGGTCCCCGGCGTGCACTGCTGGTTTGGGCTCATAGCCCACCCTCCATTCTCATCTCCTGGGGTGACCGGAACCAATCCAGCATCTGTGGGAAACGCGCATTGTGCTTGCCGCTTCTCCAAGCTGGCCGGAGGTGCTGGACTTTCCGAAACCGATCTTATTTCAATCCCTTGCTCTCCAGCTTCAATTGTTGACCTGGTGGCCAGTTCACGATTTGCGCGGTGTCGTTTGTGGAGAACTTCGAGGTGCTCATGGATGCCGTTGTGTTTTGCACTGGCGAGAGAAGCGATGAGAAGGAGTAGAGCGCTTGCGCTCGACGTGATTGTCCGTTTCCGCATGGTTCTTTGCGTTCAGCGAGTTCTGCGCTATAATTGTTGTCGCATGAGCGTCGCCTCGCGACGCTTGGGAGTGTTCTGTATCGCCAATGTGGACTCGTAAAAGAGTGACTAGGGTCAGTCAGTTGTTTTGGTAAGGAACGTGGGTGCTCGCAGAGCGTGCAACAGCGAAAGACGACAAACAACGATCCCGGCGACAACGAACGCAGAAACAAAAACAGACTGAAAGACAGAATCACTATCGAAGAGAAGGAATCCAAGGTCCAGTAAACAGTAAAGGAGATGCAGATCAAGCTCAGGAAGGGCAAATTGCCTGGTGACGATGGGCAAGCCGGGGGCAGGGCCAGTCTGGGAGCCATGCAAGGCTGGCGCATTGTTGGTCCACTGAGCAGATCCAGATAGCTTGGAGAAGGCCCACAGTTAGCACTGTTTGTTTTGTGAATGGGGAAAGGCCAGGGATGCTAACCTCCCATCGCGTCCAGCCCCAGTCCACTTTGGAACAATGTCAATCTCACAGCGCGAATCAGAAATCCTCCGACTTGAGGTTAATGCTGGGGCTCGATAGGGTAATGTCCGTGGGTGAGCTGGCTTATCGAATCGTCACAGGGAAGTCAATCAGAGGCACATCTCGCCTGTTGCCCGTTGCCGTGTGATGCAGCTCGGTTCCTGCTTGGAATGCTGGAGGGGCAATCTCGTTGAATTTTAGTCAATTCCAGTCCCAAGTAAGTCGATGCTCTCTCCCCAGTCCAGGTCTTGGAAGAAGGTCTTTGCTCAGGGACGAGACTGGTCGAGGACATGCTCGCTCTTTCGCGTAGGTAGGTAGGTAGCTCTTAGTTCCACGAAAGTTGAAACCTTCTACCTGGAGGACTGTTTGACTTTGCTACCATGGTTCTGCAGAGATTCGACGACCCACAAGTTTGATAGGTTCAGCAGCGAAAGACATGCCCCTTGTTTTGGTTGATCGTTGCCGGGGTCGGGGATTAAAATTGGAGCGTGTTTGCGCCACGGCTGTCGGTCCAGCCACCTTTGAGCCCATAAGCGTGAACAGATGATGTACTGGGCACTCGGTACGAGGGTCTCACGCAAAGTGATTCTCTAAGCGCCGCAAGATGCGCATCATTGACTGAAGATGTCGGGCCGGGCCAGATGACATGTTGGTTTTATTACCGAGCAAAAATACCGAGTAGCTGTTCGCTGTTGGGACAAATGGGCACCAAGTGGAAGAGAAAGGTCGCGTTTCGGCGTCAAACCATCAACCAGGGCACGTGACATCTCTTGTTGCTTCACCAAATGAGGGCTTAATCAGTCCATCACAATGCTGAACCACTCAAAACAGACGACATCAAGACCTCGTACAAAGCTCAAGACATGGGACCGGGCAGGTCCTTCCAAGCTGAATTGTCTCCAAACCCTTTCCAGCCCCAACAGATGCAATAATGCTTTGCAAGAAGCACAAACTCCTCTACCTCGTCCATCCACTCCAACCCTTCCACACGTTCCTTCTCCTCTGGGGCTACCCATCGTTGCCAGATGAAGTCTATGTCAGCCGCTTCTGCACCTCCGCTAGGGCCGGCCCCGTCTTCCCTAAAGCCATGCGTCCTCAACCTTGTTCTCTGTTCGTCCAGACCAGCATATTTCTCCAGAGTCCGCAGTTGGATCCCTCGACTCATCAGATTGCTTACCATGGTCTTTCCAAACGAGTCATGGGGGCGGATAGGCTCGTAGATGGCAATGGCTAGTGGCGTCGTTTCCGGAAATAGCTGTGAGAAGTAGTGCAACACCGCATCAGCGCCCTCCGGCGGCAGGTACACGAGACAGCACTCGGAAATTATCAACGTGGGAAGGGTCATGTCCACGCCGGTCAACAAGGTCTCCTTCTGTGAGAGGTGCCGGAGGTCCTGAGGATGGACGACGTAGTCGGAGGACATGAAGGCAGCCGCGTCGTGGGAAAGCTGAACGTCGGCTCCACGCATGTCGACCTCAGCAAATTGCTTCGCGGCTGCTTCAAAGCCTGGGCTGCGCAATTGGGCGATCTTTCGTCTCGTGTTCGCCTCGAAGTCGAGTTCATGGTAGATCACGTCACGTTTTCGACGTTTCTGCCTCAACCGAAAATACCTGGTGTCACTGCCGGCGCCCAGGGAGATGATCTGCTTGCGTCCCTCCCCGGCAGAAGCCAGAAAGGTATCGACGATACGATCAATGCAGGTTGTCCTGACGTAAGTTCCTGCAGACGGTAAATGGAGAACTCGGATCATTTTTGCGGACAGAGGCCTACCTCTGTTCATGAGCGGCAGCCGTCTTGACACGGGGGCTCCAGTGTGCAACAGGGCAGAGAATGGATCCTCGAGATAACCAGCATCCACAGCGCTTTGCCGAGAAGTGGCAGCATCGTTATCGGTGTGTTGAACAATTTCATCGTGATGAAGCTGGTTGCAACCACCAGCATGTGGTCCGTGATCTACTCGACCTCTCCCTCGTCCACGGTGGCCTCCTCTGCGAAGGGAGTTCAAATTTGGGATCGCTGGTGCAGACATGGTTGCAAAATGCAGCAGGGCTTTCCCGCATCAACGAGATGCAAGTGCGCGGGCAATGCATGAAAGTGTCAGGCGATCGGATGGGAACGTACTGGGTACGAGTTCCTACCTCGTCGTACAAGGGCGAGTAGGATCCGTAGGCGGTAATTTTGCCGATATGTGAAAGACTTGGCTGTGGCTGCTATGACGCCATTGCTCATCTGCTGAAAAGGGGCATAAAAGGGGCATAAAGGGGTGGCCTAAAGAGATCCATCGCCATTGATTGCTTCTATCTTCAGCTTCTCAATTCACCAGTCTCTTCGTACTGTAGCTGCAAGTAACCATGACCCTAATATGCCATGGATCATGGAGGTAGACCAAGAAGGAAGATGCAGAAATATGGCAGAGGGCGCAATTCTCACCTGCTGGACACTTCACACTTAGACGTACTGAAGAACAAGGTGCAATTTTTGTCGTCGGTATTTATCTGCGAAGCGCTCAGCCTGAGCCGGTGGAATTCTGACCATGAAATATTCGTGGCTGGCATGCGAGGTGTGTCGAAATATTTGTACATGCCAAATGCCAGTGTACTCAGTGGTGAATCCTGGCCTCTCCAAAGACCATTTCTGTTTCCAGACCCAAGCACCTAGAGCTAGCTCTGGGTGAGAGTCCTGAGTCCTGATTCTCGAGCATACTGTACTTGAAGTGGGTTCAAAGCCTAACAAGGCCCCCCGAGCCACGTTCATGTTGTGAAGATGACTTGATAAGCGAGCCAGTGTAGCATCGCACCGTGGTCGCGACAAGGCTGACCGGCACAAACGTCTTTGTCTCTTTCTTTCCGCTCTGGAAACATTCAATACGGCATTTTTTTGGGGATGATTTGGTATTCCGTTCCCCACGATGTTCAGGACAGAAGAAGCAACACGGGAGCACGCGTGGGCCTGGACTTCCCTCCCATATTCTACAGCAAAACCAAAAATCCATTAGAACCTGAGCACACGACGGACGGACGGACAGCCGATGGGTTCGTTGAAAACACCGTCGACTTGCCGGATTTCGGGTGTTCGACTCAAAAGCCATCATGTTGACCCCGTTCAAGTTCGAGGAGTCCGAGCCGCTGGTCATGTACCGCGATGCGTAAGTGATAAAACTTCCAACTCTGCCGCTTCAAACTATGATCCTTCATATTTTGCCTTTGGCTGAACATCGGTTTCCAGTCCTTCGGTAAGAGATCCCGCCGCGGTGGCCGTGGGTTCAAGACCGGCTTTCCATACTTCGCTCACGGGGCAACCTGAGATCGTTTTCCCAAGCAAGTCTAAAGTCAACAGCCGATTGATCCAGAGAGAAAAAAACTCCCAATCGGATTTAACCGATGGATCACATAGTTGGCCGACTCGGTGTCAAATCTTTGTCAGCGGCGTAGAAGAGTACTACAAAGTCATGGCCTCGATTATTGGCCGGAGAGGTAATTGGGCTTGCGCCGCCCAAAAGTTCTGATTTTAACAGGGAAATCCCCCTGAGACTACCTTGCTTGGGGATGTCTGTGCTGGCATATGATTTAGCTTTCTCTATATTTTATAGACACGGATGCAGAGATCACCAAGATTACCTAAGAGATCCTCGTCAAAGCCGATATCCCGAACGTGGTCAAAACCGGCCGTGTTCACTACGCTTCCACAGATTTTACCCTAGTTCCTCGTGCTCCGAGGCAGCTGAGGTTGTTTGTCCACATTACCATCATCAGGAGATCTCTCTTCTCGCTTGTCATAATGCTATCAGTCCCAAAAACCTGGATCTGGGAAGCGCAATGCTATTGAAGAATATTCCCGACCGGGCCGTAATAGCCGAGTCGGATCGAAATAAATCATGAGATGGTACCTTAATATCTCCTTTTACAAGGTATTGCGGTGTCTTGATTCCCAGCATCCGTAGGAATCCGCAGGTATTTATTCGCAATTAGATTGTTGTGTTCATCGTCTCTCGTTCTGAAATCAACTATAGATAAAATAATTCCTGGATTCGTTTGAAGCTATGACGACTTTGCTAACATCTGTTACAGCCTCTCAACGGCTAGACTCCCGAGGAAAGCCTACTGTTCAGGTCGAAGTACGAACCGTCGATGGGACATTCCGCGCGATTGTGCCGTCAGGGGCGTCCAAAGGAGATTACGAAGCAGTCGAAAAACGAGATGGCGGCAAGGCATTTGGAGGAAATGGTGTGCTCGAGGCAGTAAAGAACGTCGGGGAAATCATTGGCCCTGCGCTCATAGCTCAAAGATTTGATCTGGGAATGGGATTGAAAGAGTTAGACTACTTCATGGTCGGCCTGGATGGGTCCTCGGACAAAAGTAACTTGGGTGCGAATGCTATCCTTGGTGTTAGTATGGCCTGTGCGAGGGCATGTGCGGCGGCAAAGGTAGGCCATGAGGATGATTGTTCCTTTCGAATAATACCTAACAGATCTCTGTTAAGAATATTCCTCTGTACGAATTTCTGGCACGCGAAACTCGATTACGCCGGCAGGGTTTTGTTATGCCGGTACCATTCTTGAATGTTCTCAACGGAGGCGTCCACTCTGGGAATCCGATGGCATTCCAGGAATTTATGATTGCACCAACGGGAGCCTCCTCCTTCGCTCAAGGTATCCAGTGGGCGGCTGAGGTGTATCAAGAATTGAAATCAATCGTCGCCAAAACTTTCGGCAAAGCCGCAATTGGCATTGGCGACGAGGGGGGATTCGCACCGCCTATTTCTCAGCCTCATGAAGCGTTGGATCTTATAATGGCCGCTGTCAAGTCCGCTGGGTACGAGGGACGTTTCAAGATTGGAATCGACCCAGCCTCAACGGAGTTTTTCACGGAGGGTGAATATGACCTGGGCTTCAAATCTGGCGAGCCTAGGAAGCTATCCAGCACACAATTGATGGAGTTGTTCCAGGGTCTGGTTGGCAAATATCCCATTGCGCTGTTGGAAGACCCTTTTGCCCAAGATGACTGGGATTCCTGGAGCGCTTTTAACAAGATCTGCAAAGGCAGTGCTGTCGAGCTTGTGGGTGACGACCTCCTGGCCACCAACATCAGGCGTATAGATAAGGCTTCAAAGGCTGATGCATGCAATTCGCTGCTCCTGAAGGTGAACCAGATCGGAACAGTGAGTGAAGCCATCTCCGCTGCAGAAAGAGCATACGAGCTCGGGTGGTCTGTTTTTGTGTCTCATCGATCCGGAGAGACCACGGACGATTTTATCGCTGACCTGGCAGTCGGCATCGGCTGTGGCCACTTGAAATCTGGTGCACCATGTCGAGGAGAAAGGGTGGCGAAGTACAATCGCCTTATGGATATCGAAGAGGAGTTGGAGGCGAAGAAGACGAGCTGTTCGTATGCTGGAGAGGCATTCAGGTATGCTCATACCAACACCAAGGGCTGAACCTTTCTCCCTGTAGAGATGAGATTAGTGGATTGCCATGCCTTCCAATGTCTTTGTTGGATGGGAATAGTGGTTATGGGATAGTTCAATCCAGACAATTCGACGAAAGAAAGGAGCGGATGAAAAGATAATCGAAGAGTTGAATGTGCTTCTCTCTCGGTACGCTAGATAGCATTCGCACCGAACGTTAGCTTTGGAATCGCAAAATAAAGCTACCAACACCCACAATCTTTCTACAGCATTTGCAAATAGACATCTGCGGCGGCTTGTATCGAGACGATCTAGGAATGGAATGTCTGACACGATGATCAGGACGCTGATATCGCAGTAAAAGCCGATGCCGTCTGAAACGGGCGGATTAAACTTCGTTTTCTTGGCGCGGGGATCGAAGTGGATCTAACCCTAATATGGTATAGGGCAGCACCTTCGCTTGGCATTGTTCTCCAAAGTCAGGACATGAAGGCAAGTGAGGGCACGCTCCATCCATGGAACCGCCATAGCAAAGGGTGACTTGATCCTCAGTCCCCAATTCAGGAAGTAAACAAGTGAGTATGGCTTCCTAGGACAATTGATACAGCCAGCCTGCGTACAAGTACTCACATAGCGGCGTTCATCCCTCGCCTGATCAACCACCACTATCATCCACTGGCTTCCGAAACTCCGCAAGATTCTGCTGTGTCCATTGGAGGTTCGTGATGCTCGCAATGGTGGCAAGAATACCATGTCAAGGCCCTTCCATATTCTTGGTCGCTGTGAACTTGTTCTGCACGGTATTGCTGGCCTATATCGTTGGTCCCGCTGTCGAAATCGAGCTCCAACAGGGCGGTTCAGACTTTCATCGCCATGTCACAAGTAACGTATCCATCATTGGCAGATGTGGACAAGCGAACTTCTCCCTCTTCTAAACGTAGTGAACGGTTATCCCGGCTGACATCGAACAAATCCAAGTGGTGAGCCTTTCCCGGCGACACTATTCCTTCCCACCGCACCGGAGGGTCGATCAATAGCCTCAAGAGAGGTCTTGCCGACCCGGATTCGTCGCTGTGGCTAGCAATATTTCACTACCCTGGAAGCAACTCGAGGTCAGCTGGCACCCATGACGTCGAGGTTGATCAAAGTCCATCATCAGCAATCGTCTTTCACTAGGCAATCGTTGCAAGATACCTGGTGGTCAGTGGAAAGGACGGAATATAAAGTCCCTCCCGTGACCAATGTCTTCTGAATATTGTTTCGTTGGTTCCGTTTTCCTGCCTTCTGCAAGCAAAATTTTGTGCCGACGCTTTTCACGACGCTCGAAGCATAGGATTGAATCAACATGGAGTCGAACGTACCGCGATATGATGGAACTGAGAACACCTTGCCGGGTGGCGGGACATCTGCAGAAGGCAAAGCTCTCGACCAACAGAATGAGTATTTGACTCGCTACCAGACCGCTTCCAGCGTGGTCATACCAAGAGAAGTCTTCGAATCGATGTACCTTAGCCCGTTTATGCAGAGGCCTGGACATCTCCGCAGCACATTTGCAAACCCTACTCCTATGTAAGCGAACTGAAATGGATGCAGGATTGTCTTGACAGTATGAGGACTGACTTGCCCTTTTATGGGCTTTTTAATCGCCTCCATGCCCCTAGGATGTAATCTCATGGGTTGGCGAGGCTCTGGCGGTGGCGGCGCTGCTCTTATGTGAGTTCTGGGTGCTCTTTCTGTGCCTTCTTGGCCTATTTACTGACTCTATGCGTCTCTATAGTGGGCTGTTCTTTTTCTTTGGCGGCATGCTCCAAGTTCTAGGCTGTGTGCTAGAGCTCATCATTGGCAATACCTTTCCATTCGTCGTTTTCGCATGTTATGGTGAGTCGACTGGCCCCAGAGGTATTTTCAGATAACCTGTTTCCAAAAGACGACCCGTTTGACAACCAATCTCTCCCAAGGTGCCTTCTGGCTCGCAATGGGCGCTACGCTCCAGCCCGATTTCAATGCCCAGGCTTACTACACTACTCACCCTGGTGGTCCTGAACAGTTCTACTCAAGTTTCGGTACGAATAACCTTGTCTCGACGTATAGCAGCTACAAATATGCTAACAGTCACTTCCATGCAGCATTCTTCTTCATGGTTATGGCGCTCGTGACATTCTTCTTCCTAATTGCTTCTCTCCGGACAAATGTCACGTTTGTATTGGTGTTCTTCTTCATCGATCTCGCGTTCATCATGCTGATGGCCACCTATTGGACCCTGGCGGAAGGCAAGACAGCTATTTTGCTGGAAAATGTCAAAAGGCAAGTGAATCATTTCCGTGTCGAATATCCTCACAAAGCTGCGAGAGTTGTGGGTGTAAGCAATGATGTTACAGTTTGCGTCTTTGGGGCTACCTAGATAAGTCTCGCTGGCCAAGAGAGTCTGACTGATAGGCAGGCTGCGGGAGCATTCGTCTTTGTGTTCTGCGTGTTTGGCTGGTATTTATTCTTCACAATGATCCTGCTCGCGGTGGATTTTCCCCTTAATCTCCCAACTGGAGATCTGAGCACCAAGATCAGGGGCGCATCAGAGAAGAAGAAGACATCCAAAGCGGATGCATAGCACCCTCCAGTGGACGAAGCAGTCTGAAAAATTGTCGCTGAATTTCGAGTTGCGGTGCGCTTGATACGAGTAGAGGAATGTGTGGTCTCACATGGGGTTGAGAGGGTTACTTACGTCTATGATACAGGCGCAATCTATCGACCACTTTGGGCCTGTTTTAAGGGTGGATCTGGCCCAGATTGGAAGCAAATCGGTTGGGGAAGAGTGTCTTGCAGATTTGTCTCGGAAATACCCCCTTTTACAGCTAAAAATAATGGGATTCTACTAGTACCCCGGATGAAAGATAGTTAGCACAGCCTGGTGGCCCCTTTCCCCCCCAAATAATTGCTAGTCAAAACTTTGGATCTGCTTAAAATGGGATAGATACAAACGTTTGACGACGGTGACAGCACTTCTCGTGATCTGTAGATGGTAAGCTGAGTCGATCATTTACATTTTGTGTTGCGAAGTTCGCACGACTCTTATGCCAAGTCGCCCGGGCTCTAGGTATGTATGTTTATGTGCATATACACACCCTGCATCTGGATCACCAACAGTTGTCGGTCCTGGCAAGGTTGGACAAGACTGGGGGTCTTCCCGGCCCCTAGGCTCCTTTGAATGTATACCCCATGTCGATACGTTCTCCAGAGCTTCTTGTCTCCGCCTGGAAGCCATCACATACGGCCGTACGAGCTATGCCCTCGCATAGCAAAGGTTGGTTGGTCTCATTGCGTTCTGTCTCGATCCACGGGGTATGGCTTCTGGCTTTACGGGGCTTCTCTGATTGCGGCACCGCTAATTTCATGGCGTCGAAGGGACTTAAATGAATGGCGGTCTTTAGCCTACTATGAGGACCTCTCCATCGAGGTGTTGATCTCTTCCCACGTGATGCTCCATGTCCCAGACCTCGGTATCTGTGTCTTCATACTCCTCACTTGAATTCTCCATTGCTAGAATGAGAATGATATAAACCGGGGTAGTTATCTCCTGCACATCAGATGGTGGAACTCGTCTCTCATCAGTTGCCACGAATACGCTGCTTTGGGTGCTACTAGCCACAACCTGCCAGCGCACGTCGCTAAGCCGCCCGCGATACTCCACCAGCGTCCCCAGAGCCCTGGTGTAACCGGTCCCGTCATACCTTCAAGATGGCTCCCATCCACTCTCCACCGCCGACACAGTTTGCGAAGCTCTCCTTCCCTGCTCCGGGTGTGGTGGTCGTCACGTTGTCACGACCTGAGAAGCTAAACTGCATGTCTGCCGCAGATGTCGTCGAATTAACCAAGGTCTTCCGCTGGCTTGACGATGAGCCTTCTCTTCTGGTGGCTGTACTTACTGGTGCTGGTGAGAAGGCGTTTTCTACCGGAGCAGACTTGAAGGAATGGCAAGAGAAAGCATCTGCCAGAGGTGCAAACCCCGGTGCAGGTCCCGGCGACGTACCTGGAGCAGTTCCGCTGTCCAACCGTGTTGGGAAAAAGCCAGTGATCGCTGCCGTTAATGGCATGGCCCTAGGAGGGGGCTGCGAAATGGTTGTGAACTGCGACCTAGTCATTGCCGCCAATACAGCTACGTTTGGCTTGGTGGAGGTCAAGCGAGGTGTTGCACCATATGCTGGTGTTCTTCCTCGGTTGATCAGAACGCTGGGCCTCCAGCGGGCAAGCGAAATGGCCTTGACGGGGAATTACTTGACTGCTCAGAAAGCGATGGAGTGGGGTTTGGTCAACAAGGTGGTTCCGCAACAAGATGTGGTGAAGGAGGCGGTAAAATATGCGAAGGTCATCGCGGAAAATAGCCCTGACTCGGTTATTTGTACAAGAGCTGGGCTGAGGCAGGGGTGGGAGACTGCAAGTGTCGTGGAAGCAACTGCTATAACAAGAGGAAAAGAATGGGCTGAATTGCAGAAAGGTGATAATATCCTCGAGGGCCTGAGGGCGTTCAAAGAGAAAAGGCCACCTGTGTGGTCACCCTCCAAGTTATGATGTATCGTAACTGTCATGATGGAAGATCAACGCAGCAGATCTCAAGACATCTGCAGCTGGAGCATGCAGGAACAGGCAGGAGAGAATCGACCGAGATACCAAGAGATTGGGAGCATAAAGAATATTGCAGCTCACTTCAACCAATTTTTCTTTCGACAATCACCAGCTTTGTCGAGATACTTCGGGCCAATTGCTCTTGAGATGTAGTTGCCACTGTTCTTTGATTCTGGACACATTTAGGATTGGCCCTTACTACTTGATCGCGTTCTTGACAACGCAACTATGAAGGACAACCTCCCTCATATGTGCCCATAGCAGCTTGTCCAGACCACCTTGCTCGATCAACCCACTGAGCTTGGCTTTCTTTCAGCTTTCCATCTGCCCAAGCCTGCATGGCGACACCTGGTAACGCACGACCGAAGGAGAATGTCAAAGCCCAAGGAACCGCATTTGGGTTGGAGTGCTTCTTTTTGTTGATGGCGTTGAGGAACGAGATTGAGTCCGAGTCGCAAAGACCGCCAGAAAGGAAGACGATGGTGGGTACAAGTGGCGGGACGGTCTTGCTCAGCACATGCACAGTGGCTTCTGCGACCTGTGCCGGAGTCGCTTTCTGGCCAGATTTGTCCCCCGGGACAACCATGGAAGCTTTCAAGACCAGACCAGCAAAGTCGACCTTGTGCAGAGATAACCTCTCAAATATTGCAGAGTAGGCAGCAATGTGAGCTTCCATAGAACGTTCCAGCGGCTGATCGTGCGTCATTAACACTTCAGGCTCGACGATGGGAATGAGACCGGCCTGCTGCGAGATGGCAGCATATCTTGCCCGCACCTCGGCGTTGTCCATGATAGAAAGTGGTGACGGCGTGGAAGGAGAGACAAGATAAGTACAGCGCCATTTACTGAAGCGAGCGCCTCGCTCATAGTACCGCTCGCAGCTGTCGAGCAGGCCATCTAATCCTTGGGTTGTTGTTTCCTCGGGGGACGTACGTGGCAGTGCCACAGTGCCCCTGTCGACTTTGGTGCCAGGGATGATGCCGCGTTCCTTGATGATGCTTACGAAGGATTTGCCTTTGTACTTGGAATCCAGCTGAGCATTGTGTTTCATGAGCGTCTCTTCGAATGTGATTATCCCAGAAATGGAGTTCTCAAACGACCCTTCCTTCGGCTGTGAACACGACATCCCGCCACTCACGGCGATTGTCTTCCGTGTTCTCTCTCCCTACTTTTTCTAGCCTCTTCTTGATGCTCCCTATAGACTCATCCGCAGCCAATAAGCCCTTGCCTTTAGCGCCTATAGCCAGCGCTGTCTTGTGGAGTTCTTCAGCATGCTCGAGTGGTAGCGGCGGTTGAAAATGCTGAGGTAGGAGAGGCGTGGATCCGTGACCAGACATCTTCGTTTCTCGTCAGGGAGGTGCAATGTTTTGACGATGCCGAGTGAAGGCAAATTGGGAAAGCCGCCGAGTTTGAACACCATGTACCCTTCACAAGTTTGATTCTCCATGGCATTCGGCAATCATTTTTGGTCATAATGACGTTTATGCTCCATATCCGCATCGAAGCATATCCACATCTTCCCCGCAAAATGATTAGACGAATGAGGCTCTTGTGGTGTTTGTAGTCTCTCTTGACGCAAGTCGTGCGGAGAGTTTTGCCCACCGTTCGAACGGCACTGGGGTGACGTCCAATGGGATGCCTCTCACAGTGCTCTTCATTGTGGATTAAGAATTACTGTTATCGGATCAATTCATTGTAATCTCCGTGGCCTTTCACGCATGGGAGTGGTGAGACAATCTACAAGAGGATTTGTCCATTGATTACGACTCCATGGACGGATTTCGAAACCATCTGTCTCTGAATTTCCAGGCTTTGACGGCCTCGGATGCGTTTGGAATAAATGTCTCTAGTTATGTATGGATTGCCGTAAGTCTACATTCTTGCAAAATAGCATTGTTTGAATGTTTCTACCGGAATGAATCTAGGAGACTACCTATCTCGCCGATCTTCATGTCCAGTTTCTGACCCATGACCGTGCATTGACCATAGACAAACATTCTAAGAGAAAGAAGAAATAGATGCGGTGTTCGCCGTCCTCGGTTGTTATCAGCGGCATAGTGCGTCCTTCGCGTCACCTGAAACTATCATTAGAGGAAGTGACAATCATGCATACCGAGGAGCAATACTGGGATATCCTCCGCTTCACCATGCCAATGCTCAAAGCCCAGCAGCTTTTTTCAAAAGCTCGTCAGAGGCATACTTGGCAACGAGCTCCTGCTTTGCGGTTTCAATCTCCGAGCCTTTGGCAGCGACCAACGCATCGATTCTTGCCTTTGCTTCTCCGATATACAGAGTGTTGGTGAGATCTCCAAGTACCGAAAAGAATGTTGCGCCACTCTCGGTCACCGGCGAGCTGAACTGAGTGTAAACACCGTCGGCTTGTGTGCCGCGCATTATGAGAATCATCTTCTCGAAACCAATGGTGCCGGGACTCATCACGACGTGGACCCGTGACTGTTCGTTCACGAGGAATTTGTGAAGAGTGTTTGGTGGAACTGAGACCGCCTTCCCCACTTTGAGCTCGATCGGCTTGAGGCTCTCCTCGTTCATATCTTCTGAACTCCAAACGGTCATTGAACCACTGACGAGGGTGAATGTCTCGGTAAAGTCAGTATGATAATGCGATGGAGCTTTGGCACCAGGAGCTAGGTCGGCATCGATAACTGTACGTTTGCCCCCATTTGTCAAGGATGACTCGACGATAGTTGGTACTTTATCGGCATCCATTTTGTGTCTTGCACTCGCTGCTCTGGGCGGGTATCGGTGGAAATCTCCTTCAAGAGTTGGAATGAAACCCAGGGAGACCTAAGGCTCTGATTTCAGTTGACACAGACTTGATGGAGAGAAGCCGCTAGCGGCCGAGAGAGTGAAGCCCTTTATAAGCGCATCCGGAGGGTGACCCGAGTTGCTTCCACCCACCTCAGCACGTAGTATCGTGCCGAGTGGGTGCAAGCATTCCCTGGGAATAGATCGCTTGTATTGGAGCCAGTGGAAAGATGAGAAAGTATGGAGCTCAGTAAAGGCATCCCCTCCTTCCTCGTATATTGCAGCTAAAATCTGACCAGGCATGAAGTAGACAAACGACGAATGCCACAAAGGTTGATTCCACGACGGCTCTGGGGGAAGAGAGGCATCATGAAACGCGGAACGAACCATGGCGGAATTTCATCACTCATACGATGTAACACCTCCAAACTACTAACGGTGCGCAAGGAGTCGCGGAGTGTTGATTGCAAGCATTCGAAAATGATCTCTTGAGAGGTACTAGAACTGGCATTAGGCAATGTGGAAGAAGAACCTGGGGTGGCTGGATCGGTGACTCGTTCGGTACCCGATGGCTGCGAGGTTGACGCCTAACGGAGGTTGTACAGCAATGCGAGAGCAAAGGGTGTATCTACGTAGACGGTGGTTGGCGGCCATATGGATTTTGCAGCGACACTGATGTTGGGCGGGCGAACAGTGGGCGAAAAGATGGGCCATCAGCCGAGTCCCCTAGTCTCCCCCCGCCGGTCCCGGCCCGATGGTCGACCTATGACAGCCCGATCTCACAGCACCTTCTTGACCTTGGGGGTAGCAGGATGCCTAGTAGGTATCTTGGATATCATAAGCCACCGGTAGACGAAATTCGGCATGAGGGACGACCGGGCTGAGCGATGCCATATGGATTGGCTGACTCAATATGCTTGTCGCGCTCTTCGCTCCTACTCGTACCTCTAGCTGGATCCTAGTGGCTGGTGAGGCCTGGTAGCCTAGGTGGGAAGCCAAATCTCACCTCCTGGCAAGCTCGATTATGAACCTGGCAGGATCTAGACCGTACCATGGCTGGCTCATAGTATGCCCGTGGCTTATTCCCCCTCCCTGCTGAGCCTAGTCCGAACTCCGGCAGCCTTCACTGTCATCAAGAGCAGCTATCTCCTCTAATCATGTTCAAGGGAGCATCTCACCGGCGTTTGCCCCTGATGGCGGATGTTGATCGTGACGGGCACCACCCCCTGCAGCTCCTCGTGAATAAGGTAACATTGATATACTCGTAGCATTCGGCTCATGGCGTGCTAAATTTTGCCGATGGCGCGATCTGATTGAACGGCTCGACGGTACCTGGAACGGACAAGCTTTGGGCTGCATGTGGATGTTTGACTTGCGGCAAAGGTAAAAATCACCCAGAATATTCCAACGCTTGAATCCCCAAACCTATTGTGACATTTTTAGATGTTGGTAGACTTGGGCATCTTCGATAACGGCTATGGCTGAGTTCTCGAGGGACAGACTTGTCCGACACTGATACGTTGACAGGTCCGATGATCCAGTCGGCTTTCAATGCTCGCATCAGAGGTAAATGGCAGTGTCGGACAAACTACCCAGTATCTACTGGTATTGTTGACCCGCAACTTCAGGGTACGGAAAAAGATAACCTTCACTTAGAATATTGGGTAACTCTGAGCTTTGGAGATAATCAACTACCTCTGCCTCTCAGGTTATTACTTCCTCCTCAGGGACATCAGGGACATCAGGGACATCAAACTTCTCCTTCAATCGACTCGGGTTGACTGGCACCGAACAGGCTCGCAGGTACCAAGTACCGAGTACTGTACCCCTGCTCCTCGATATGGTTAGTGTCTTGGCGGGGATTTGCATTCCCCAGAGTTGCATCTTACACCGTCTTTGTTTTCGACTTTGACCTGTGCCAAGTTGGATACGATGTGAGACGTCTGCTGGCGGCAAAGAATTGTCTTCGATTCATATACATACCCGCAGAATGATCTCCGAGAAGTAGCGGCCCGTGGTTTCCATCAAAGAGCTGTTCAACATATTCGCTGCCTCGAAGACGGACTTGTGCGTGGCTGGAGCCTCTTGGCCTAGCTTCCCCGTGGCTTGCTCAACCACCATGCCCTCCATATCGAACAATGCAATCTCAAGATTTGGCCTCCTATGGCCAGGACCCTTCATCCAAGAGCCTGTTGACGTCCTCGACATCGAACCAAAAGGCTCGCCAACAGCATGGAGCACACTATGCCTCTTCGCACTCTCAGCGCTCGGACTGGCAGCTCAACTTGTTGTGGCAATGAATGCGCCGTGGGCAATCCTCGCTACCGGGCTTTGGGTTGCCGCAGCCCTTCATATTGCAGCATGGCGCCCGAGGACTGCCTCGATACTTTTGTTTTTCGATTTCTTCGCCATCTTTGCGCTGGGAGCATGCATGGTTGCCGCTCAGTTTCACGAACACATGGGTAGCAAGAACGCAATTCTTACATTTTGCAGTGCGGGACTGGCTGCCGCTGCCATTATTGTCGTTATCAACATGCCGCTTCGTGACCCGGCTTTGAGTCGCGCCGAGATCAGTCGTCCTTTCGCAACACCATCCCACGCATTCCGATCTCCTGAGGACAACCTTACACTCCTGCAATGGATGACAGTGTCTTGGCTATCACCCTTGATCAAGATCGGGAACAGGAGACAGCTCCACGACGAAGATGTCTGGGCCCTCGCCTATGAGTTTCAGCATCGACATCTGCACGATGCCTTCCGCGAGCTCAAGGGCACCGTTGTCCGAAGGTTGCTGAAAGCAAACTGGATTGACCTGCTTCTTCTCACAGCTCTGGCAATCCTGGAACTAGCTGCCAATTACTCCGCTCCCATGATTCTCCAAAAGCTCCTGCAGGCCATGGAAAGAATAGCCGTTGACAAGCGACCAGCGATCGTGTATGCAATCCTCATACTTGTGGTCAGAGTTGTCTCGGCTCAGAGTGCAGTCTTCAGCTTGTGGTTTGGACGACGATGTTATGAACGGTCTCGCGGCGAGATGATCACCATGTTATATGAAAAGACGTTGAATCGGAAAATCCTGAGTAGTTTGCCCCAACAAGCTGAGAGCCACGCTGAGTCCGCCATGGAAGGCTCCGCTGATGCTTCCAACCTGGGAGAGACGGGCCCATTGCCCGAGACAGAAGGTCTCATCAGCGGGCAACTCAAACGACCCAAAAGCTTTGCAAACCTGGCCAGTGGGGCAATCCACAAAGCTAGATCCTTCTTCCTCCCCAAAAATGGTGCGATGACTGAGAAAAAACCACCAGCGTCGATGGGAAAGATCCTCAACTTGATGCGGAATGATGTTTACGAGGTCGCGCAACGCTTTTGGGAATTCCAAACTCTGATTAACAAGCCACTCGGTCTCATCGTCTCCATCTTTCTCATCTGGCAAATGCTTGGATGGTCATGCTTCGTTGGTGTCGCAGTAGTAGTTGTCGCACAGATCTTTAACTATGTTCTCGCCCGCATCCTCATCGGCTGGGAAAAGGAACGCCGGAAAGTCACAGACATCAAATTACAAAAGATCAGTCAGTACGTCGAGGCTATAAGGCATCTGCGATGGTATGGGTGGCACTTTACGTGGCTTGATGGTGTTATGGCTGCCCGGCAGAAAGAACTCAACCTGAGAATCATTACCTTTTTGTTGAATTCTGCCATCAAGTTTCTGAACTCATTTGCAAGCGGCATGCTCCCGGTCGCCACATTTTATGCTTACACTATTGCGGCAGGACATGAGCTGCGTATTGACATTGCTTTTCCAGCACTGCAGCTTTTCTCCCTTTTGCAGAGCAATATTCGGGAGCTACCAACGCTGATCACAGTCTTACTGAACGCTTCAGTGGCAGTTGGACGAATCTCAGAATTCATTGCCGAACCGGATAAGTTTGATGAAGCGGACAGTCGAGAGTATACGGACGACCGACTGGAGCTGCAAAATGCCTCCTTCTCATGGCCCGGTCTCTCGCGGACAGTGCTCCGAGATCTCAATCTCGCATTCTCTCCGGGATTGACTGTAGTCTTCGGCCCGGTGGCAGCAGGCAAAACAGCCTTGCTGCAAGCGCTTCTCGGGGAGCTTGATCTGCGCGGGGGGAAATTAATGAAGCCAGAAGCCCCAATCGGCTATTGTGCACAAACACCGTGGCTTCAAAGCATGAGCGTCCGGGAAAACATCCTTTTCAATTCGCAATATGACGATGCTCGCTACAAGAGGACGTTAGAAGCATGCGGGCTTCTGCCGGACCTTGCAAATTTCAAATTTGGTGACCTTTCCAATATCGGCGAGAACGGCATTGGTCTATCCGGTGGTCAAAAGGCCAGAGTCGCTCTTGCACGGGCAGTTTACAGTCGAGCAAAAATACTCTTGCTCGACGATCCTCTTAGCGCCTTGGACCAACAAACGGCGGAATGGATTGTCGCGAGATGTTTCTGCGGCAGTCTGATGGAAGGTCGTATTATCGTCCTTGTGACTCACCGAACTGATCTTTGTCAACATCTGGCGTCACAGCTAATCGAGATCTTTGACGGTACAGCTTTGCTGCATCGAAATGATGAGGACCTATCAAAATCCCTATCGGCCACTGGACCAGAGGTAGATCCGATGGAAGCCGAAGGCAGTGTCGAACCCATCGACAAATCTGCCGCGGTTCCAGACAAATTCGTGGAAGAAGAACACCGAGCCCATGGTGGAGTGCAGCTTCAAGTTTACTGGGAATACATCAAAGCTGGGACGCTGAGATGGTGGTGCATAGTAATCTTGACGGCCGTAATTTGTCGCGTCACTTATGTCAGTGAAAGCTGGTTCCTGAAAGAATGGGGAGAAGCATACAACAAAGCGAAACTCCGGTTTCTGACTCTCGAGGGATTTGACTTTGAAATCCACCTTCTTCAAAATCCGATCTCCGGTCTGTTCGACAAGTTTCCCGATCCAGCTGTCAATGTCCGGCCGTGGCTTCTCGGCTTTCTTGTTATCGTGGCGTGCGAGACCGTGGGACTGATGCTTTCCCAGATGTCCATGCTGGTCGTTACATACTCGGCTGCGCGTCGGATGTTCAAGGTTGTCATGGATCGTATAAGCAACGCCAACTTCCAATTTTATGATGTAACACCGGTTGGGAGATTGATGAATCGATTGACGTCAGATATGGGAACCATCGATGGCAATATCGCCGAGCTGTTCCTCACAGTCATATGGTATGCCGTTGCCTGGATCTCCTCCATGGTCGTGATTGCCAGCATCACGCCGACATTTCTGGCATTCGCCGTTTGCTTGACGCTGGCGTTTGTACTGATCTTCCTGCGATTTCTACCCACGTCACAAAGCCTGAGGCGCCTTGAGATGGTCTCTCTCACCCCTTTGATGTCTAATTTTGGTGCATTGCTGAACGGGCTGATGACCGTTAGAGCTTTCTGTGCACAATCACAATTTCAGGAGAGAAACATCCGGGTCACAGATGCATTCCAGAAGATGGATCATTTCTACTGGAGTCTGCAGGGCTGGCTGATGTATCGTTTTGACACGCTCTCAGCAGTGTCCACATTTCTCCTGACTGTCCTAGCAATTTTTTCCAACCTCTCGGCTGGTTTGACTGCGTTTCTCTTAATCTCTGCGAATAAGTTTGTCCAATCGACCCATGCCATTTGCAAATCATATGGCCAACTCCAACTCAACTTTGTGTCTGTTGAGCGAGTGGTTGAACTGGTCCACATTGAACAGGAGCCCCCGAGCTCGATCCAGCCGCCAGCCGCTTGGCCCACGTATGGAAGCGAGGTTGTCTTCGAGGATGTCACTATTCGATATCAGCCTCATCTTGACCCGGCACTGACAAATGTTTCTCTTCGGTTCAAGGGAGGATCGACAAATGCCATCACCGGCAGAACAGGGTCCGGCAAGTCCACTCTTGCGATGGCATTGTTAGCAACAATCACTCCAGAGTCCGGGCGTATCTTGGTTGATGGGGTCGACATCGCCAAAATTGACAAGCAGGCACTAAGAAGCAGAATAACCTTTCTAGCACAAGAACCTGTCCTCTTCCCGGGGTCCTTGCGTCACAATCTTGATCCAATGGAGGAACATTCTGACTTTGCCTGTGAATCTGTGTTGTCAAGGGTTTGCGGGAAGTATGGGTGGACGCTGCAGACACAGATCGATACTGGAGGACGAAATTTGAGTCAGGGGCAGCGACAATTGGTTGGACTCGCCCGAGCAATATTGCGGAGAAGCGCAATTGTCATCATGGACGAAGCAACGGCCAGCATTGACTTGGACACGGCTGCCGAAATACAACGTGTGTTGAGGGAGGAGTTGCGGGAAAGCACAATCATCACCATTGCCCACCGAGTCGCAGCTGTGGAAAATGCCGACTTCTGTGTTGTGCTTTCGGCTGGTCGTGTTGTACACCAGGGCCAGACTAATGAGACCGGGTTCTAGATCAGTTATTGCGGGCGTTCAGGTCATAAGGTAGCTCAGCACCACGGATGGACGTAATAGAGCATATAGATTGATACAGGACTTGGACGGAAGGAGTCGTCGCGCAACAATGCCATTCGGGACACAGGAGAGCGAACCCACAGAAAGCCGCCGGTCGTACACCTCTTTTCATTCATCCAGCTCTTAGACGCAGAACCCTGTTATTCCCCCGAGGGTGCATCCGGCGCTTCAGCCCTGGGTCGAGTCAGCGAATGTTGGGATTGCAGAGAAACTGCACCTTTCTCTCCCATGGTGGCTAGGAATTGATGTCCATTGTCTTGAGGCCCCTCGCAACCTTGCCACCCTCGGACGCGACTTTCTCGTGGTATTGATGTTGTGAGAGAGCACGGCAGGAAGGGACAGGAGGAGAAAGGCGGAAGGAATTCCAAGTGCTCTTGATACTGTAGCCCAGCTACCTGGGCACCGAGCATTAGCAGGGAGCGACAGGGGGACACCTTCTCTTGCTTCTCCAACCTGCCCCCGCCTAGATCATGAACTACGAGGAGTTCGGCAACGTTCGTGTGAAGAGTGAGCCATGGTTTTGGCTGGTAGAATGCGAGGAGACGGTTATTGCAACGCATGCAGCAGACGTAGTTGGACTTTGGACAATGGAAACATCCAGAACGTTTTTTGGCTGCTCGCTGTGGTTTGTCGTCTCACAGTGTGGCTTTGCCAAGCACAGCGTTTGGCAAAATGACGTTTCGAGTTTCTGCTTCCTCAGCTTCAACTTCATTCAAATACCTCGACAAACGCCTTCTGCCAAGTTTTACACCTTCTAGGTAGTTCTTGTGAAGCTCATTTATGCAGTAGTGAAGAAATGTTCCTTCATATCTAGGTAGGGACAATCTTTGTTCAATCCGCATCCGAATAGACACTCGTTTCCTCCCTGTGTTGTGGCGTCAAGCTCGGCCTTTTCTGCCACCATGTCAGACCCTCCAAATTCTACCGACGACAACCGAGCAGCACGTGTCATCGCTGGGCATCTCCCTTCAGGGTACACTGCAGGCCTCGATAGTGTGCATGCTGGTGGCGGTGACCCAAGAGAGCCCGGAGAGCCTGAGCCGGAATCATCTCTAAAACTCCAAGGGGGCGACATACACCGCGATCTGTACAAAATTCAACAGCCGAACAGATTGCAGCGGGCTGCTACCTTTTCCCATCCCAATGAGTCCTCCACCGCAATGGAAAACGAGACATCGGTCGCAGAGCAACTTGCCCCCGGTGGCTTCCGTCGAGAGTTCGTCCGCAAAAAGTACGGTCGTTTCAATCCCGCTGTCATTCCCGTCACCCGGAACTTCGTCGAGTTTCTCTCACTGTATGGCTCCTTTGCTGGTGAGGACCTGGAAGACTCGGAGGAGGAATCAGCGCTTGAAGATGAAGAAGGAGCGCCTTCGGAGAGGAGACCACTCCTCCCTCGGCGGCGGACCGCTCTAGCAAAACCAGGAGACGCCGGCACGATCAAGACCTTCTTCACCTTGCTCAAGGCCTTTATCGGTACTGGAATCATGTTCTTACCAAAGGCGTTCAACAATGGCGGCATCCTGTTCTCGTCCATGGCCCTGTTGACGGTTTCGCTCGCCACCACATGGGCGTTCCATCTCTTGCTGCGGTGTCGACAAATACACAAGAAGTGCGGTTATGGCGAGCTTGGTGAAGTAATTGGTGGTCCTAGAATGCGGGCTATCATTCTCGGATCTGTCACGATCTCGCAACTCGGATTCGTCTGTGCTGGGACGGTTTTTGTGGCACAAAATTTGTATTCCTTCCAAGATGCAGTCACCAAAGGTCCATCCCCAGTGTCGACCAATATCCTGATTGCCTTACAGCTGATCGCCTTGGTCCCACTGGCATTCATTCGAAACATCTCTAAGCTTGGTCCTGCGGCGCTGGTGGCGGACGTCTTCATCCTGCTCGGGCTAGCTTACATTTACTACTACGACATTTCCAGCTTGGTCGACCACGGACTCAATTCAACTGTTCAATTCTTCAATCCGCAGCACTACACGCTGACCATCGGGTCAGCCATATTCACTTTTGAAGGGATTGGTCTCATTCTTCCCATTCAGTCGTCCATGCGAGACCCTGACAAGTTCGAGCCCCTTCTCTGGGTCATAATGCTCATCATTACTGTCATCTTCACCTCGATAGGAGCGCTTTGCTACGCGACATTTGGGTCTGCGACGAAAATTGAAGTCATCTCCAACTTCCCACAGGGGAGCAGGCTGGTTAATGCGGTCCAACTTTTGTACGCCCTCGCCGTTATGGCCGGCACACCCGTCCAACTATTTCCAGCCCTTCGAATCCTGGAGGGAAAGATGTTTGGCCACCGTTCTGGCAAGCGGAACACGTCCATCAAGTGGAAGAAGAACGGCTTCAGAACCGTTCTCATTGTTCTTTGTGCTTTGGTGGCAATTTTGGGATCCAGCAACCTTGACACGTTTGTGGCCCTTATTGGTTCGATCTGTTGCGTTCCGCTTGTATACATATACCCTCCGCTCCTCCACTACAAAGGAGTGGCAAAGTCAAGCTGGGAGAAGGCCGGAGATGTCGTCCTGATGATATTGGGGGTTGTTTGCATGATTTACACGGCTACCATTACTATTGCGACTAGCTTCATGTAGTAACTGGGAATTCTGGTACCAAAAGTTGAGACCATTCTTTAGTGTTAAGAGACAATGCTGGCGGACATCCCAAAATTTGCTGGACTTGCAGAAATGACCAATTCGTCTTCACCCACACGTTCTTGTTCTGCTGCCTCCAACTCTTGTCGGAGCACTTTAATGTTGCTTCTTCAAGGCTTATCGCTCGGTTGAATTGAACAATGGATCTGCATCGTGTATAGAGTTTCAAGCCATCTCTCCCTAACACTGTGGCTGCCACGCCGGCTTTGACAAAGTATCCCGTCTGCACAGGAACAATACCTAAATACCCTGGGCGGAGCCCATGTAGGATTAGCCTGGTTGCCCGGTACGTTCATTGCAGGAGTTGTTTTATTGAACAAGTACAGCTTTTGCCAGAGAAGGCCTATCGAAGTCAGGATGGATGTTCTGCGAGCTACATAGGAGAAGCCAAGAAAGAGGCAGAGAGACAGCTGACGGTTATTAACCCCAATGGTGTTGGTGTCGATTAGTTCCAGAGTGCGCCCTACGCGCCCAAAGCAATCTGTCTGCAACTTCAACCCGGAATCCTTGCAAATGCCAGCATGGGGGTTCCCTGACTCCCATGCTCCCGGAAGTGAGATGAACACGGTTGGATTCTCTCCGACAAGCGGCAAGAGACTCATCAAATCATATTCTCCATTTTGGGGCCACTGTGACAGGGGCTCATCAAAGCTCGTATTTAGATACGGGGACCAAAAGAGAATCCAGGTAGAGGTAACTTGCAGGTTTGTTTCTGGTGAACTCTGGTAGACCATTCCCTGCATCGCCAAGAACAAGCGGCTATATCTACCTCCTACGGTAGGAGGCCTTAAGACAGGAGTTGTCGTTCTGCCCAAGACTATTGGCTGGGTATTTGAACCGCAATAGGGACATGCAGGGACGTGCCAAGCACATCCGCTCCTTTAATTTCAAACTTCACACAAGAGCGTGGAAAGAAGTCCAGACCTGCTGAACTCAGACACAGTTCGGGCGGTCCAAACATAACACGAGGCACACTTCCGCTTCCAACAGGATCTTATCCCCCTGCGATGATTCTCTTGGATCGACCTCGAAATGGCGACCTCAGCTACCCAGCAACTCGAAGAGGCTGTGATTTGCAACGATACCCGGTCTGTTCGTAGCACAACAGCGCTCCTGGGAAATTGCAAGACTCTGGGGCGAGCTCCCTCGGGCAAAAGTTTCAACCTTGCAAGCCCTCAAGCTTTGCGCTTCAGCTAATCATCAAACCTAAGCATCAACATGGCCTTCACGGAGGTTGAGCATCAGAATCGACCGACACCCACAGATCGAAGACACGACCTTCACCGACATCCGGACTTGGCAAAACCTAAGGCGTCTGGCGTCAGACGATCGCTGGCAAAGCTCGTGCAGGTCTGACCAACTGTTCCAGGCGTGGCTTAGACAAGGCTACGGGATAAGGCGCGACCATGCTTCACTGGGGTGATTGAGAGAGATTACGCCAATCTTCCTCTTCATGCATATGAGAAACTCTATCTTGAACGCCCTGGTGGCTGGAGATACAAAAGCCTCCTCTGATCTCTGGCGCGAGAGAGATAGACAGCAGCAAAGCTCATGTCACTCTCTTACAAGGTACACCTCATTCGTGTCCAGTCACTCGTTTCAACTCGCTCAAGTCACTCGCTTTTTGTATCGTCCTTCTACCGGTTTTGCTCTGTCCAATTTCGCATCTTATCGATCTTCGCCAACCTCAAATCACCATGAAGTTCTCCAGCATTTTTGCGCCTCTCGTTCTGGCCTCGGCCGTCACCGCTGCTCCCGGCTGGAGAGACTGGCACGGCGCAGGTCCAAAATGCCCTGAGAGCACTTGCCTGTCTCAAGCCGACGCGGATGACATTGTTGCCAAGTTCATCAGCATTCTTGATCATCCAGACGTTGCTGCTTCGAATGTCACTGCTCAAGCCTTGCTGGGGGACAATTTCTTCGAGAAGTCTGACTCCATCAATATGCTTGCTGGTCACCCGGTATGGATGCACCGTTACTATTAGTACTGATTCTCTGCCGTTACTAATGCAATGTAGATTGGCGCTACCACATTCTCTGGCAAGACTCAGTACATTCAAGGTGTTCTCCTCGCTCCATCTATCACCAACATCACGACGTACAAGACCATGGTCGCTGGCTGCACCAACGTTCTATGGTACTGGAACATGGCGGGCATTGGAAGCAAAAAGATCCCAGTTAATGGATTCAACCTCTTTGAGATCACCCCTGAGAAGCAGATCGCCGACATGTTCGTTGAATTCAACAACATTGGATGGGGCATCGACACTGGCTTCACCGTCACCAGCCGCAATGGCACGAAGCTTCCCTTGGCATAAAGCACTTGTGGCGGAGCGGCGCTGGGTATGATGCCAAATTCTCTTCTCGACGAGGATTACGGCTGCATTTTCATCATGATACCAATGTTTTATTCTGTTTCTGGATACTATTGGCTTGCCGCCTCTTCAGCGGCTAGGAACCTGCAATGGATCACAGGAACTTGGATTATGCAGAAGTGGATGTTCATTTCGTCGCAAAACACATGCTTTTCTCCCGGAAAAACTACATCAATCTCTATCTTTGTGCGGCCCAGTCTAAACCCTGTGATTTCTCATGATGTCCCTCGTGACAGCACACTGTGCCCGAAACAGTTGAAAGCGGGAAGCTGACTGTGGGGACTACTGGAAGCAAGAGCCTGAGGCCAGAATTTACGTGTCCGACTTGTGGAACCATATACAGTTTGCAACCTGCGTCGCTGTTTTAAGTAGAATTTGATTCAGCCCCCCCCGATTTCCATGATTTGGAATGCTTAAATCGCACCCGATACCTATGCATGCAAGAACCCGTGTTCAAGCTACAGCGCCAGCCAGCATTTAGAGGACCTCCAAGGTCGCTACAGTCTGGTTCAAGTCCCCAAACCACATGAGCAAAAAGAGACGTTGGACATCGAGAAAGATGCCCCCAGAGGATACCCCTTTTGGTCAGCCTCGAGCATAATACCACGAGGTCTTACGGGTTGACCTCGATAATGATCTGCCCTTCGCCTCCCAGGTCCTTCTCGACCTTTGTTCCAAACCGATGACACAATTTTCTGAGAATACGCTCCACCCATTCATGGTCCGGGTCGTCTTTCTGCAGTAACTGTGCGTGGAATCGCTCGATTCTGTTTGGAAAGACCTCTAGCCTCCTTACCTCGAGCTCGCTTTCTCCCTCCTTCTTCTCTGTCTTCTCACCAAGAGAGACCTTCCACGCCGCACTCAAGTCATTCCTGAATTTGGGGTCGACAGCATAATCATCCACGAAGTCTCCACACCCATAGACTGCCAACTTCCCTTTGTATATCTCCACACCTTGAACATGGTGGCTGCTGTGCCCGTGGATTATGTCCACGCCGCACTCGTCGATCATCCAATGCGCCAAGTCAACGATCTCCCTGGCGGGATGCCAGCGGTAGTTTGGGCCCCAGTGCATCGACACGACTTTCAAGCCCAACTTTCTCTGTCCCTCACTATGATCCTTCGCCAGAAGCTGCCCTTTGATCATCTCTCTCCCCTTTGCCGTGTAGTCGATGAGGTTGAAGGTGTCCACGGCCTTCCACTCGCTCGGGTGATCCGCGAAACTCCAGCACTTGATATCCCACCCGTCTTCACCGCCAAGCCGCAATGTGGCGGGCCTGCTGGCCTCCTCCTTTGTTCTACCCGCCCCTGCAAACTCGACGCCATTCTCGTCCAACGTCTTGACTGTTTCTTGCAGTCCTTCGACGTCCCAGTCCAGCGTATGGTTGTTCGCCAAACTCACGCAGCCCCTCTTCGTCCCACCGCCCATGCCGACGTCTGTCAAACATCGGACGTTCCCTGGATGAGTGCGGTAATTGAACACCTTGCTCGGCCACTTCTTCTCGCTTGTCGTCACGGCTGTTTCAAGGTTTGCAAGCACAACATCAGACTTTCGGATCAAGTCAGTACTATTTCCCCAAGGCGACAGATAGTCGTATGACTTGAGTTGGGGATAACGTGGGAGAATGTGCTTGTCAACTGTCCATGCGGCCGATTCGGGGTCGGAATGTGATGATTGTCGAGCTATACTGGTGGGCAGCAGGGCGTCGATGAGTCGGCCAATCATTACATCACCGAGGAGAAGGAGAGTGTATGTTTTGGGTGTAGTTGACATTATGAAAGGAGAGGCTTTTCAAGTTCTACTATGTGACGCGACGGCGGCGTTTAGATCCTGACAGTCAGTGATAGAGGTTCTCAAAAGAGACGCCTGTGGAAAAAAAATGCTCCTCGTAGATTATGGAGGATTTTTTCTTGCATCAGGGATCAATGCTACATAGTTTAGTCGATGGTGAGGAAATGCGAGGGTATCGCGGTTGATGAAATATCTTATAGGGGAGTATTTGCAGAGACATAGAGTGTAGCAATGGTGTGAGAATGGTATGACGCAGCTGCATGGCTTTGGCGACCTTTCACCAAGATATTATTCGATAGACCGCCTCTAACTTTAGTCCGTGACTGCCAGATACACCAAATGCTGCCCCGTAGGATAAAGACACAAGTGGAGTGTTGAGGAGGGGGGATGGGGAGGAGGGGGGAAGATAGACGCTGCATGTGCGATATCTAGGGCAGATCACCTTGGTCATGGTATGTACATAGTTGATCCTCGGTAGAATTCCTTGGACGGACTGGCTGTTATCTACCACTTGGCGGGACCAGGCCTGGCTATACCTCCATTCCTTTTAATTTCCAAACAATGCTGGTCCTGAAAGAGCGTGATGTGCACTCTTTGCTTTCCAACATCTCCGTCTCGGAATGTCATCGTCTGCTTAGCAACTTGCACGATATTCTCCGTGCATACTCCTCGACGAAGAATGCCCCTCAATCCGAGCAAATGATCCATCAACCGGAGAGGGAGTCAATCGTTACACGAATCGGCAACACCTCGTTGTTCATGCCATCTTCCATCACAACCTCCACGGGCATTAAGACCGTCACCATTAGTCCCAAGGGGTTGAAAGGATGCATCAATGTCTTCGCGCCAGACGGGGAATTGTTAGGTGTCTTGAATGCTGAAGAAGTCACTGCATTCCGGACCTCGCTAGCTGTCATGATCCCTTACGTTCGATGGCCGAATATCAAGAGGAACCTCGTGATCTTTGGAGCTGGTCGGCAAGCAGAATGGCACTTGAAACTTGCCCTTTTGCTAAGCGACGTGAAGCATGTCACCGTCGTCAACAGGAGCAGTCCCCGGAGGATGGAGAGGCTCTTCGCAGACCTGCAGCAAAAGAATGCCGACCTTGTCTGCCGGGTGCTTCTGAAGACGGCCGAGACTTTCGATTCGCAGCTACGAGAATGTCTTATGGCTTCGGATATCATCTTCTGCTGCACCCCGTCTGTAACACCGCATTTCTCATTCAGCTATCTTGACAAGAAGCCTCGGTTCATTTCTCTGATAGGATCCTACAAGCCGTCAATGCAGGAGATTGATTCCGAAACTCTCTTGTCCGCTGAACGCATCTATGTGGATACAAAAGAAGGATGCCTTGTTGAAGCGGGAGAACTAATCAAGGCTAATGTCAAGGGAGATGAGCTGATTGAGATTGGGGAATTACAGGACAACGAAAGCCTAAAGACTGGAGGGAACCTCATCTTCAAGTGCGTGGGCATGGGTATCATGGACTTAGTCATGGCAGGGAATCTGCTTGAGATGGCTCGAGAGAAAGGTATGGGCTTGACTGTCGACGAGTTCTGATTCTGAGGCGAGCAACTTTTGTCTGACATGCTGTCGGCGCCAAGTCGAAGAGCTCCTGCCATAGGCCCATAGCGGTTGACGGGCCTGTAGTTTCAAACACCATCGCCGAAAGTGTAATCGTTCGCCCATCGGGTGTCCCATGGACGAGACTGATTGACGAATCTAAGATCCGTACCTAATCGGATTCTGTTCTCAAGGTCGTGATTAATTGTCGAGGCGTGAATCTGCATCCTAGATCAGCAAGGATGACTACAGAAAGGATCTCATCCTTACAGCATATGCGTTATGAAGCACCACATCACCAGCCTCGTATGCTGTCAACAGCCAGCGGCGATTCCATTGCTTCCCAAATTCCGCAGGGCCGTCCGCAAGCAACCCTCCGCTCATCATATTCTGGTTGAACGCGCTTTTGGCCTCGTCGTCTGTCAATCCTGTGGCCTTCGCTTTTGTGGTGAAGTCATGCTCCATCTCTGCACCCAAGGTGTGGCCTTTGTCGAGGTAGATCAATCCACCGCCCGGTCTTGAGATATCTCCCATAGGTACCCAAGCAGTGACTGCGGTGTCCTCACCATGTCTTAGAAAAATCTGGTCATAATGTACTCCGATGGCCTTGTTTCCGGGAGTGTTATTCCGCAAGAGCGTCCTTCTGATTCCCAGTGTATCATCGCCCCAACCCGTTAGTTTTGCGATGTAGTTCCGCAAAGCTGGGTGTTTGCAGAAGTCTTCCTTGTACCAGTCCTCGGTGTGCGCTTTCAGAGCCAGTTCCACAAACAACGTAGCCACTTCGGGGTGCGGTCCTGTTGGCCGGCCGTTGGCATCTGCAAAACCAGCTCCAATGCCGGGAAAATCAAGCTTGTCCTTGGTTTCATCAAAGATGCCATCGACGGGCTTAGTGCCTGGTTTGAGTACACCGCTGGGGGACAGAAGCTTGAAATATTCCTCTCTCGCTTTGAGAACATCCTCTCTCGGCAAAAGACCTTTTATGAAAAGGTATCCATCTTCTTCATACCGCTTGCGAGCCTCCTCGATTGGAATGTCTAGCGTTGTCGGCCGTAAATCGGCGTACTGATCGGGAGTCAAGGGCCCATCATTGACGAACAATTGTTCTTCCCATGGCAGTAGAGGTTCAGGGGATTCCGCATGGGGCATCTTGACAAAGTCAGAGGGACTGCTTTAAAAGCTAAGGGGATTGATGCGAACTACGAGTAGATTCTGGTGGCATGTTGGCACTGGCAAGTTGAGATATAAACCTCGAAGCTGGGATATACTTGTGATTGATTGATGTCCATGGCAAATGCACGCAGTACCGTGGCCACTCCATAACCAACGGCTCACCTCGCCACAAACCGGTCTTCCTTCGACCTGCAGGATCGACACCGGAAAACTCCCAATCTGGCCGAAGGAGAGGAAGTCGCTGTTCAAGAAAGGAAATCTCGGCCCGGGACCTCTCAAAGCGATCGCGGCAAGACAGAATAGGCAAAGATTCCCGAAGGCGGGCTCCCCACAAAACCGGAATAGGCAACGAACCCCGGTGCCCAGTTCCCCGCAAAACCCCTTTTACGGGAAATCAAGCTCTCGCTCTCTCCCTGGGCTTCTCCCTCGTCCTCATTCTTGCCTTCAAGCGGCATGTCCTGTGATTTCTGCCGCAAGAAACATACCAGATGTGCAACTCACCCCCATGTTTGCGGTTCTGCAGAATTCAGACATCATGCTGACTTGCCTCAGGCGACAACCAGCATCCACGATGTGGACACTGTGTGAAAGCTGATCAGCAGTGTATCCGCAACCCAAGGCCATCTCGACACACTCCCAGACCTCGAAGTTTTGGTCTACAGCAGATTTGGGTGCCCGTTCCCCCGAAAGGTAGACGATGAAGCCCCGTAGCGATTCAATTGGTAGTAATTTTTGCAGTTGACTTCGTGGATGAGACCCCTTTGCTGCAGCATGGCAAGGCCTCTGACAATCGCTCAAGTGCTGTTCAGCTGGAATCTCCCCATCAGGCGCAGCTTTGCCAGCCGTCGAATGACGCCCCATTGAATGTCACATCACCGTTGCTGGCTGAACAAACATTCTCCAACGAACATATCGAGCTATCACTGCGTCATGCACCGAGGACGCCTCAGGACGACTCGCCCTTTCCCACCAAAGAATCCGCTGAATTGATGAGATACTTCGTCGATAATTGTGCTTGCTTCTTCGATTTTAGCGACGCTGAGAGACATTTCGCGTACCATGTTCCGCTTCGAGCTCGCCGAAATGCGACCTTGGCGAATGCTATGCTGGCGCTGGCTGCTCGACATCGGAGTCGGACAGGCGATTTCGAACCTTTCGCTGCCGACCGATACTACAACGCCTGCCTTCAAACAATGATTCCTAGGCTTGGAGATAGCACCGCGATCCAGGACGATGAGCTGCTCGCGGCCATAGTCATTCTACGATTGCTGGAAGAGATGGATGGTCAGTGCTCCAAGACGCCATTCCACTCCCTCGCTGACACTAATTAGTGCCGATAGTGGGATTGGATCCTCAAAAACACCTCTTCGGAACCCAAGCAATCATCGCAGCGTCCCAGGCTCACTCTCCATCACCGATGACAGCTCTGAGAAAGGCGTGTTACTGGGCGGCTTTTCGCCAGGAAATATTCATGTCCCTGTCTACACAGAGGCCATTTAAACTCATTTTGCCCGAGATGAAGCCGCCTCCAAGCCCGTCTGATGACTGGTCATGGACGCTCCAAGCGACATATCAATGTGGCAAAGTGCAAGCGTTCGTCTTTGACGAAAAATCTGCCACCGTATCAAGATATCTTCAATTGATGGAGGAGATCGAGAAATGGCAAAGAGAGTGTCCGATGTCCTTTGATCCTGTCTATCAGGAAGCCAGTAGGCTGGGGGGCTCTTTTCCAGACATTCGACTCCAGTCAGATTGCCACGGTGAGTGCCATGGCAGGCTACAATGAATGAAAACAAATTTGATGACAAAGTACAGTGATGGGTTGGCAATACATAATCATGGCACATTTGCTGCTAAACGCCCATCGACCGTTGCCGCGAGTTGGTCCATCTCATAAACAAAAAATGATGGACATGGAAAAGGTCGTTAAGAAAGGTGTAAGGACATTATGCGGAATAGCTCGATCAAATCCACAAACTCCTCCGGCAAGCCTGGTGGCTTGCATGGGTATTGCACTATGCAAGTTTGTTCCCTGCAGATATTGTGTCCTAGACCGCTGACATCTTCAAGTTGGAGATCGCTTCGATTCCGAGCCTGAGCAGGCGCTCCTCCGAGATCTCCTCCTTCAGACTGAACTCTCCACAGGGTGGCCGACTTGCATGGCGCGGGTGCAGCTCGAACAGACCTGGAATTGGACGCGGGACACCCCGCACTATCCAAATTGACATGCTTGGTCTTTCAAACCCGACGGAGACAAGAGTTTGGGCTCTGGGGCATTGCCGGGATGTGCGCGAAGGCCCATTGTTTACCTCAGACGCTAACTATTTTGAAATCATTTGTGGTTAGCCACTCCGATGATCCACGTCGACAAGTCCGGAAGCGAGCACAGCAGGACTGGACGACTCCACAGTGAGGTACCACGAGGATTCTTGCTCATAAGAACTCTTTGCTTGCCCGTCTTCGCCTTGAAACCTGTTCAAGGCTGCAGTCTCCTTAACTCGTTCCATCTTTGGTGCATCCCGCAAGATGTTCTCAATCAAACAGACCAGAGTCATTGAGCGTCCTCTGGACTATGACACCGCCAATCCTCGTCCAGCAAACCTCCCATATGTCTACCTCGTGACTGCTTTTGTGTCCTTAGGAGCCCTGCTCTTCGGTTACGACCAAGGAGTCATGGGCATTATCGTGGCCGATGAACGGTGGATTCATCTCATGAAGCCCGCCAATTCCTGGGTCACTGGTGCTGTGGTTTCTTTGTACGACGTCGGCTGCTTCATGGGTGCTATGAGCATCGGATATCTCGCAGATCATTGTGGCCGCGAGCGAACCTTGTCCATCGCCAGCATTGTATTTAGCGTTGGAGCCGTCATTCAGGCTGCGTCTTACGACGTTCCGACCATTACTGTCGGGCGTGTCATTCTTGGTTACGGAGTGGGAGCTTGCGCGGCCGGAGTCCCGCTATATGTTTCAGAGATTGCTCCGGCAGGCTTGCGTGGCCGGATCATCGGTATCGAGCAGATGATCTTGTGTCTGGGGGAGCTCATAGCGTTCTGGCTGGACTATGGCTTTGCATATTTGGACACTCCCGACTGGTGGCGTATTCCCCTGGCCATCCAAATTGTCCCTGCTGTTATCCTTGCTGTCGGATGCTGGTTCTGGGTCCCTCAGAGCCCACGTTGGCTTGTACAACAAGATCGACACGCTTGCGCTCGTGAGGTGCTGGCGAGGCTGCATGGAGACCAAGCCGCGGAAATTGAAATGCAAGAGATTGCAGAAAGGGTAGCCTTTGAAAAGACTGTTGCGGTCACCGCTTGGAAAGATATATTTACGTGGCCCATCCTGCGGGTAACGCTGATTGGAACCGGTGTGCAGTTCTTCCAGCAGATAACGGGTACAAATTCCATTGTGAGATTATGGCCCTTCCTAGAACACGTGTCAAGAAGAGAAGAATTGACAGTTTGGACCTTGCAGTTATATTATACACCGAGCTTGTATGAGCGTGGCGGGATAAGCTCTGCTCACACTCGCAACTTGGCGACAGGGGGTGTTGGAATTGTCCTGTTTGTCTTCGCTTGGATCCCCATCTTTGTCTTCGACAGACTCGGACGGAAGACCTGGCTTCAGATTGGTGTGATTGGGATGATGGGCGGCATGATCGGGATTACAGGTAATGGTCCTCAAAAGGCTTCCAGGACCGCCCAACCCTGACGAAAAGCAGTCCTCCAGTGGCACGCTGAGAGATATCCGGGTGCGAGCGGCAATTATGCCATTGTCGTGTTCCCGTATTTGTTTTATGTCTTTTTCAACATCAGCTGGGGAGTCGGCAGTTGGACATATGCGAGCGAGATATGGCCTGTGGCGTTGCGGGCAAAGGGGAACGCGCTGAGCACTATGAGTTTGTGGGCAGGGTGTTATATGGTTGCCCAAGCGAGTCCTCCAATTGGTGACGCCATCGGCTGGGGCTTGTATATCATTTACTCTGGAATCTGTGTGTTCGCATTCCTGTTTGTCCGGTACGCCATGGTCGAAACGCGAGGGCGTACCTTGGAGGAAATGAGCCGCTTTTTTGGGACTGAAGACAAGTTCGTGGTTCGGAGGGACATCGATCCAGTGACAGCATTCGAAGCGAAGAACATGGGCATCGTGCATGAGCAGGTGGAGGAAGTCGGCAAATAAACGACGCAGTTGTATGGGGCAGAGTCCCCAGGAGCAGTGACGGCATTCCTTGAGGGCGACTCTCTGCGAGGCTGCGAGGCTGCGAGGCTGAAGGAATTGTCAATCCTGCGTCCCGCGTACAAGTACAAACACCAGCAAGATGCGGGGCTGATCACAAGAAGCAAAGACGCTTTGCCCTATAAAGGGAACTTTGGCCGAAGCTCGGGAATTCCAGTTCATCATACACGTTCTGTTTGCAGGGCATTGAGAAGACTTATAAACCCGTCAATGGCCATAAATAACCATGACTTGCTTCTTTCTTCTTCATCAACTCGAAATATCCATTGCTGGCCCACGGTGGTTGCTTCTCAAAAATCAGCATGACATTCCTCTTCGGTCTGGCTCGTCGGACACCAGGCCTTATCCCCACCAACGGCGTCCGGGCTTTCTCAACCTCAGTGCCACTCCTTGCACAGCCTGTATCTGTCTATGCCACCTTGGCAGAGAGAGACCAGGGCAAACTTAATGAACAAAACCTGGAGAGGGCAGTCCGGCAAGTCCGCCATGACGGCCTTGTGATCGTCCAGAACGCCATTGACACAGATCTTCTCAACAAGCTGAACAAGAAAATGGTGAAGGATGCATTGGAGTTGCGGTCGAGAGGAGAGAACAGTCCGTTCAACTATAACCAAGGAAATCTGCAGCAGGATGCGCCTCCTGTGAGGGAATACTTCCAGCCAGAAATATTCCTGAGTGAGTATTGAATGCAATCTTCACTGGTTTCGCGTCAATAACAAGCGACATTGAAGATCCTATCGCAACCCAGATAACATCAGCAGTGCTCGGCCCCCGTCCTAAATTGACATTTTGCTCTGGCAATTCAGCGATGCCCCCGAGGCCGGATTCTCTTCCGGAGAGACAGCCAGTGCATTCGGATGCGGACTTTGCACACCCTGACCATCCCTTCGCGTTGGTTGTCAACGTCCCGCTGATTGATATGAATCCCGAGAACGGTTCGACTGAAATCTGGCTAGGAACGCACAATGCCTTCGGAATTGAGGCACAGGAAGGAGCGCACGGCGAGCGAGCCTCGGGAAGAATTCGTCCTTCGTTGTTGGAAGAAAGGTCGAGAACGAACCCACCCGTTCAGCCCTACGTCCCCAGGGGCAGCATCATCATCCGTGATCTCAGGCTTTGGCACGCTGGCATGCCAAACACAACTCCAGACGTCAGAATCATGCTGGCGATGAGTATGCAGCGTCCTGTCCCATTTGAGCACTTGCACTGATCAGTGACAGTCCACTTCGCCCCTTGGTATCGTAATCAAATGAGACTGGAGCTCGCTGAAGAGATAAAGCCGCTGGTGGAGAGCGCACGAGATCTCGACATCCGGGCAAACTTCGTAAGCGAAAGTGAGGCGTTGAAAAGATACCTCAATCGAGGGTTTGGAAACAGCTATGACTTTGGCCAAAGTCCATAGACATGGAGCGGCGTGGCTGTTCTCGGGTATCCATAGCTTGTATACAAACCTTTGCAAAATCCGCGTTACGATGCATGTGTCGACCAACCTTTAGAACGAATGTCACCCGCTGATCGAACGACAAAGGAGCTGCCAAACCACGGTAAATGTGTCGTTATCCGGAAGAGATCTGTTCATGGAGCGTCTTTTGGAGATTGCGCGATGGCTTCCGTGTTCTGCCCGGAAAGCGCCCCATGATGTGTTTAAGTGATGCCTGGGGGGAGGCTAGTGGCCATGGGAACCTAGGTAACGTCCCAATACTTGGCCCAAGTCATTCCTCCAGGGGAAACTTAATATGTAGCTGGTGTCCCTCGCAAAAAGGATGTTGCGCCTCGGTGCCCCTCTTTCTGCAAACCAATCTCTCCTCCCTGGCACATACCTAGGCAGTTACCTCGATCATTCAACACCAACGATGATTGCGCCACACATCTCCTCGACCGCTCGTCAATGAAACACGAAACATGGCCAAAGCGGCGAGCAAAAACTGTAAGTGGAACCATCTTAGTCCCGCTTGCCTGGGAGCTTGAGCCTGATTTGGTACGATAGCATGGTGAGGCCCAATACTCGTCGACGCGGGTGTCGAATACTCATGGACCTGCTGTAGTAGAACGTGTCGACTAAGGAAGTTGAAATGTGAGAGGGACCTGCACTGACGGTTAGTATGTATCTGACTGTGATACAAGGCGACGAAAAGCTGCCGACATGTCACCGCTGCGAAAGAAGCGGCCGCTGGTGTGACCGGACAGCCCCATTGAAGATCCATGCCCAAAAGAATGGTGGCAGGAGGGCGACCAACGGAGATGTCACGGACAGCATGGGGCAAGCTTCTGCTGAGCGATTTGACGAACCTCGTGTACGACTTCAGGACGAGGAGATTGCCCATTACTTTGGACACTACCTCAAGACACTAGCTCCGTGGTATGACCTCAACGACCTTGGGCAAGCCTTTAGAGGAATTGTAGGGAGCAGAGCTCAGCAGAGCTCCTTACTTCTCAGTGCCGTCATTGCATTTGCAGCCATGCACAAAAGTCGAACGTGTCACGCTGTGCCCAAGTTGTTGGCAGAGAGACATCATGCGCACTGCTTGCGGCTCTTGATCGGAATCACCGAGTCCGCCCCAGCGATAAAGGACGGGACAGCCTTGGCCGCGACGTGTTTGCTGCGATCGTATGAAATTCTAGGAGGTGAGAGTGAGGAGAATGGAGGGTCGAGACGAATGCTTGCTGATCTACATCAGAGGAGGAAGATCCGAATCGCCATCTTTTTGGGGCATTCTCACTCATACCGTCCCTGTCTTGTGTCCTTCCAGAGGAACCACTTCTCAGAGCCGGTGTATGGAATTACCTCCGCGAAGACATCACATTCTCACTCATCAATCGGTGTCCTTTGAAGATCGAAGTCGGAGCGTTAGACATCGTGCTGCGTCGCGATGATGACTATGCAAACCAAATCACGCTCCTGTTGGCCCGTGTCATAAATGCCGCCTTTGCAGATGGCTCGAGCCTTCTCGTCGAGTTGCAATCAGCCGTCAGTGATTGGAATTTGTCCGTACCGTTCCAGCCTTACCATGAGTCCCATGACGGCGTATTTCCGAAGATCCAGATGGTTGAGGATTGTCATGGTGAGTTTGTCAATGCTATTTTTGGTCCAAACCTAACCAATATAGTCGCTGCAATGCAATATTGGCATGTCGCCCAAATCCTGCTAGGTCTGAACTCTGGAAACACAGTGAACTTTGAAGCGCACGCCCGGAGCATATGTGGCATGGCTTTCTCTGCCTACAGTGACCCTGTCATTGTAAACTCATATGGCCCAATCTGCTACAGTGAGTCAATTGGGCCCCTGGAGAACGGAGCTGATTTGTGTGAAATTGCAGGCGCACAATGGCTGTCGAGAGACGACGCTAGACGGGAATTGGTCGATCGACTGCTAGACAGTCAGAAAAGAACTGGGTGGCCCGTTGAAACCATTATCAAGAAGCTGAAGCTATGTTGGGCTGAAAAAGCAAAGAAATGACTCGACCAATTTGCAGTCTGGACAAGAAACTCCGTCGTTCTCTCTATTCCACGAACACCCCCTCGGCCATAAATAGTTCCTCGTCAGCAATAACCTCATCAAACTCGTCCATGCCATCGACATGACCATTGGTGCCATTGTGCCTTGGCCTTGCGGCGTGCACCATAAAGTTGCAACTTCTTTCCTACGTCATTTGCGACATCCTCAGTAACCGGTGATAACCCAAAGTCTTCTCTGGGTGTGGGACGGTTTGCTGAGAGCAGAGAAAACGGCCATAGACCCAGACCGCCTATTACCCCAAGTTGTACTGTCTGCGTTTTGCAATGAAAGTGTTTCAGACCCAGCTCTCAAAGCATTCGATGAAGCTACAATGAGACCATGTTCTCACTGCATGCCAGCCTTGGTTCTCCCATACAGCGCTGCTGATCCGCCATTTACCATGGCACCTCCACGCTTTCAAATGGCAGTGTCAATAACTGAAATTCCCGAATCGATCTTGACTGGTGTTGGCGACGGGAGCAAAGCACAATTTTCGCTTCTACTACTGCTATCGATCACCGATACTGCTGCTTGTTCGGTAGGTTCGCCGCTTCGTATATGAGTAGCTACTGGCTCCAACGACTTTGGCTCGATCGAGCTCGGGGTTTCGATGTGATTGTCAATCTGCATCTGCATCACTTCCGTAAGGATTATAATAATCCACTTCAGCACCTCCAGGTCTTCACGGGGGTCCGGTTTTGGCATGACTGGAAGATAACGTTCATTCTCATCGGTTTCTTCCCCGGCCTCCTCTATTGCCAGCTGTTTCTCTTTCATCAATCTCTCTGCCGCTGCCAGAGGGGTTTCGCCATCGTTGTCCGCTGCGAAGGGGTCAGCTCCTGCTTCTAATAGAAACAGTACCATCGCAGGCTGCACAGATGTCACGGCTTCGTGTAGTGGCGTCTTCCCTTGCTCGTCTATAATGTCTATTCGAGCTCCATACTCTCGCAATTGCCGGACAGCGCTGAAGTTTCTGGATTCCACCGCGGAAAAAAAAGGGGTCCTTTTCTTGTGGTCGCTTGCCTCAATGTCCGCCCCTGCACCCAAGAGCACGTTTGCAGTCTCCAGTCCACCCATCGCCGCATGTATCCGGAGATCAATCTCAAGTATAGACTTTCCTTGGGACATCTGATCCCGCATGGATTTGAATTCATTCATGGGCTCAGGATACGGAGATTGTATATTCGCGAGACTCGCTTTGTGGAGAGCAGTTTGTTTGCAGAAATTGCAAGCATTGACATCACTGCCTGCCTCTAAAAGTGCTCTCACAGCAACTGCATTTCCGATTCGAGCTGCCATATGAAGTACGGTATCGCCGTACTCGTCCTGAGCAGCAATGTTTGCTCCACTTTTGAGCAATAGTGTGAGGATATCAGGGCTAGGCCAAGCTTTATGTAGGGGCGCGCAGCCCCAGCGATCCTTCGCCTCTATATCTGCGTGATTTGCCACTAAAGCTGCCACAATTTCTTTTTGGCGGTCACAGACAGCTGTGTGCAAGAGTGTGTTCTGATAGCGATCTCGGGCATTGACGTCTTGCCCAAGATCTATTAAAAGCTGCAAAGTGGCTGTGTCTCCTGCATCAACAGCAGCCCATAGACCCAAAGTAAGACAATCCGAATTCTTCTTGCGATCTTCTTCGGAATGTGACTCTGGTAGAAGCTCCTTGGCCAAACTTGAGAGACCAAGAGCCGCTGCTGCGACGAAGTCTGCACCACGGCGCAGTTCTGTCAATTTTTGGTGTTCCAGTAAATCGCCTTCTAATAACTCTAGCGTGGAAGAATACAAAATATTGTCTTCGCAGTAACATTTAAGCCAGAGGTATCCAAGAGAAGTGGAACTGTCGAAGAACGCACTGAAGAGTTTGGAACCATTTGTCCCGAAAGTTCGTGATCTTCGTGCATGATATAGCCAATTGAAGGCCGCATACCTTTCGAAAAGGTATTTGGCAGGCTCATCAGGAACTGACTCGTATATGTCATTTTCGTTGTCTGTGGCAGGGATATCTTCTTCGGGTTCATCAGGAACCGACTCATAAATGTTATCTTCGCCATCTGTGTCATCTGTGGTAGGGAAACCTTGTTCTTCCATTTCTTGAAATATTTCGTCGTCAAAATTATCCACGTTCATGACTTCAATACACCTTTTGGCAATGTTGCAGTTTCCTTCATCTGCATCGATTCGGAATGGCCTCAAGCCGTCTTCGGACTCAAGATCATTCTGCAAGAGGTAGTCTTTCAGGGAGACATGCACGAGCGCAACAAAGCCCTTGTTGATCAAAAGGAGGCCTTGGGACAACTTAACCTTGGCCTCTGTCACCACATCCAGCTCCAACTTCGGGGTTGGACCCAGCTTGAGAGCAAAACCCAGCTGGGCAAGCGACAGAGGTTCTCGGGCAAGTGCGACCCACATGAGCATGGTTCCAATAAGAGCTGAGTTCTCCTTGCTAATTGAGAATATTATACGGCGGTAGAGGGCGTCAAGTCCGGGTGGGAGATCATTGAGGGCCGCTTCAGTGGCGGAAAGGTCCACCTCGCGCAGGAAGCTGACAGCAAGGCCCACCCAGAGGAATGTCCCGTGTGCGCGTTGTTGTAAAGTCCTAAAGACATGTGTTTTCAATTCCTCTGGGTAGTGCTTGATTCGAGACAACTTGTTGACTTCAGTCCTGATCAATGTTTTAACGTCGTTCTCAATTTGTTTGCTGAAGTTTAAATCTGTGCTGGACTCCGAATATAGCTGGATCTTGGGATAAGCCGACAAGGCGGCATTGATGCGTGGCGGAAAGTCTCTGCTGAAAACCATTAGCTTTAGCTTTGGAGGCACGGTGTCCTCAAGCCGCTCCAGTTTCGAAAGCAGACACTTCAAAGACTCTGACTCCAGTTCATCGATCCCATCCAGTACACAATAGACAGTCGTATTGGTTTCATCTATCATCGTTCGAAAGATTTCCCACAAGCTCTCGAAATATTTCGGCTCAAATAGGCTCGAATGGTGAATCTGCCACTCAGGTAGGATGCATCGAATCAGCTCTGGCTTCTTGCCGAGCAACTGGTACATCATCCCTCGAAGAAGCGCAGAGACGCTCGTTTGATTCTTTTGTTTGTAGTCACAAAAGAAGTAGGTCAACAACTGAGCTCGTGAATTTGCAACCGCCTCGAGATGTTCAGTGACAAAGATTGACAGTGCTGTCTTCCCTTGTCCAGCTCGCCCGCATACCCAAAGGAGTCGGGACTGAGAGCCCGGATCTTGCCATTGCTGGTATTGAGAGGTTTGTATGATCCATGTGCAGGTGCCGGCACACTGTTGAAGCCTTTCTGTCTTCATTCTTTCGCGATCGCCTTTCGGGCTCGAAATACCCAGTTCCCCGAGACAGGTATCTCGTTCAACCTCAGGCGCAATGCAGTCATTGGGAGATGATGCAAGACGTTCAGCATTTGAGCTTCGGCTTTGAATTAATTGTTCGAGATGTTTTCTGCATGCCTCAGTCTTTTTTGATCCTTCCACGTCTAGGCTCGGTACTTACGTGTTGAGTTGAGCAAGGAGCGTATCCAAAGAGCTTTTGTCGAAGCTGATTTGGGCCAGTTTCCCGTCAATTTTGGAACTTAGCAAAGCAGCTCTCATAGCCTTTGTGGCTTTCCTGAATGGTGAGTCTTGTGGGCTTTTTGAGGCCTTGTTCAGTGCACACGAAAGTTTCTCGATCTGATCGATCAGCAGTTGGAGCCGTTTCGCGACTTCCTCTTGCTGGTAGGCCGGATCTGCTTTGATATTTGACATTACACCGTTCAAGTTTTCCAGAGAGCTGATGAGCTCACGGACTTTCTTAGGAGCACCTTTGACTTCCGCGAAAAGTTTGAGGGCATCATTAAGCTGCACCACAAGTGTAGTTGCGCTTATTCCTATGCCCAGAACTTCCGCCATCGTGAGTTACCAACGAGCGGAAACACGGCAGAAATAAAGGTCAGAGAGATGCTTCGCACTCTGGGAACAGCTTGTGGTTTTGGAAAGAGGAGAACGAACATCTAACGGAGGAAAAGAGGTGGCTGGGATCATTCCCTGGTCAAATCTGCCTTGCCTACTGAACTAGTTGCAGGTAGCCTCTGAGTGTCGTGACGGCAGCTATCCGACCAACCTGGTCTCTCGCGCAGCGCTTCGGTTACAGTGATGCAGGCCCCTGTCTCTTCGTACAAGTGATATCTGACAGCGGCTGCAGCAGCCACTCAATTTGGTTCATGCATCGGCGTGGTTGCCGAGAGCACGGCGATTAACGACAAGCCCGAGTCACAACAAACCGACATGTCTTGTTATCTTCAATGGCTATGTACAATCGTGATATTTTGGTTTAGTGTCGAGCCACAGCCAGGGCACATTGAGACATGTTTCATTGCTCCGTGCATGCTTGATCTCTCGGTTTACTGCTCGAGGTAATAGCTGATGCTATAGTTGAGCCACGCACATTGGGGCAAATCAACGAAGACACCGCTCGCCGCGGGGTAGTCTAGGTGCTTAATGGGCCCTGTGGCATTCGACACTTTCTCCCAAGGTCCCGATGCCTGGACGCCTTGTAAGGTCTTGGTATATCCTCTCGCTTGAAGGTAAGGAATTGGCGGATTAGGCTGGCCGCTTCTCACAAATTCTGCAAAGTATGCGCTGACCAATTGTACGGAATAAAGATCATTGGCATCTCTTAGGGGAACGTAGAAGTTGCCAAACGCCCAGTCCATATCGGCGCCATGGAGCTTGAAGTAGGGCAAGTTTGGATTGCCGTGAGGATAGTCGGGCGTGACCGGCGCGCCGGAGACATTCTCCGGGTTGTATCCGTTGATCGTTCGTTCGAACTGGTAGTAGTAGGCTGCAGGAAACGCCCCAGTTTCTGCGCCAGCATATACTGTTGCTTGATCGATGCAGCGGAAAGTGGTGTCGGTCGCGACACGCTGTGATACATTGAAGGAATCAAAGGTCATATTGCCAGTGCTGTAATAGGGGAACAAGCCGGAGCGAATGATCGCTTGTGCATAAGACGCATTGATCCTCAGACCAGCCATCAGCCCCTGTGTTTCGTTGTGCACCAGTGTCGGAGATATCGTAGAAAAGGAGGCGCCATCGTTTGCGGCATTGCCAAACATGATCGGGACATATGCGCTTCCCGCATTCTTCTTGACCACATTAAGTTCAGAGGAATTGACAATGGTACCGTCTTGGACGACATATCTTGCAACCGTCCCTAGATTCACTAGGGCTGTGGCATTGACCTTCTTGAGACACGCGATCTTGCCACTCAATGTCTGCTGGGTACAATTTGACGCATTAAAGATCTGGGGCCCGGCGACTGTATACGACTCGTTGACTGTGTAGTAAGACGAGTAAGGGGTGCCATAGTTGCTGTCAAGGCCAAGGGTCACTCCGCCGCCTAAGTTGGACATAGCTACTGCGCCCTGGAACAATCCAATAGCAGGGGGACTCCCGAGAAGAGTTCGGACCGAGCCAGCTCCGGCAGATTCACCCATGATGGTAATTTTCGTTGGATCTCCGCCAAACTTGGCAATATTCTGAACGGTCCAATTTAAGGCGACGATCTGATCTCCGATACCGAAGTTACCTTTGATATTAGTGCCAGGGATAGCCAAAAATCCCAGAGTTGACAGCCGATAATTGATGGTTACGACAACAATATCTTCTCGAGAAGCTAGGTTACCACCATCGCTTAACGGGTCGGCCCCAGTGCCGCCAGTGAATCCTCCACCGTGGATCCAAACTGGTTCAGTTAGCCTCGCTGGACCATGGGAAACACTCAACCTATAGGGGACTCACACAAGACGGGTCGCAGGTTCTTGGATGATCCAGATTTGGGAATGTAGGGCGTCTGGATGTTGAGGAACAAGCAATCCTCACTCGTGCCGTTGACAGATGGCTGAGAACATTGCGCACCATAAGCGGTTGCATTCACTGTTTTGCCAGTCCCAGTGTATAGATGAGAGTATACCCATCGCTGGGGCGGATCAGCATATCGGAGGCCCAGGAAACGAAACGATTTCTGATTCCGATAGCCGACATATGTGTTGCCTGCTACCGCCACGATAATTTGATTTGAAGCGCTCACGGTCGAGTTTGAAGGCTGGCTTACGTTGCTTGATTGAGTGCAAAGGACAGGCAAAGCAGTGTTGCCCTGTTGCACCGCGGGAAAAGAGAGCTGCGCTTGAGGGGACACTTGCAGGCTGCCGTCGGCAATGTGATACACCTGGTTAGGGGACACTCTTCCGGAGTATGCCAAGTATGACAATGCGGACGAGAAGTCACTGCTGTAATTCTGAATGGTAGCTTGAGTCAAAAGTGTCTCGCTCAAAGCCTGACAAGCAGCCGATCCGGCAGATGCTGACATAGGGTCAAGCAGAATTGCCCCGACATGGTTGGCGTCGTCCGAGGCATTTAGATTGTTTTGGAAGACATATGTCAGTGAACTTCCAGTATTGGACACGGCGACGTTGGCCCGGCGAACTGCATCCTGGGGATGGGCAAGGGTATGCCCAAGGAGTACAGCCAAAGGCGCCAGGACCCGAAGCAATGAAGCCATAGTCACAGGATGTCGGTTCGATTCGAAAAGTAGCTAGAGGAGGTACAAGGTAGAGAGATGGCCCAGCGCATCTGGGCAGCATGGCCTTCTTACCATTGTCATACTCAGTTCAACCACAGCACATTCCATCATCGTCTTAAAAACAGCTTCCGCCAGGCCGTAGGCACAATTCCAACAATTCATCCTATTTCAGGACGGACTCCGGTAGCGAAGAAAAGCTCCTCACAGTGCCAATCCAAGTCAGGAAGGCAGATATTGTATCATACAGTGTGTCGACGAGGCCTGGGTCGAACTGCGGAGGTGGTCGCGTCGATGCCGGTTGAATGCAGACAAGCTCATCGCCCTTGACTGGTGAACTTGACTGGTGAATCGACAGGCCCGTTTGGTAGGAAGTAATCTGGTATATTACTGCGGAGGGGCTTCAACCTGTTAAAAGAGCAGTCGATGACGACGACACCATGCAAGGTCGACAACCAACAATCGAGCACACCGAGAATTAGGCTGAATTGAGCTGGCAGCTCATTGGCCATAGCGATGATCAGCCATTTGCCAAAAAGAGACAAAGGGCTGTACTGGAGATTTGGTCCGCTCCAGAACCAAGCTGCTCGCTTCGAAAACCACAGGTTGTTTGCTCCAGAGTGTCTCGAATCTCCAGACATCTTTGCCGCCTCCGCATTTTTGTGAAGCTTGAAAGAATGTTTTGAGGCTCTCCTGACCATGGCAGCCCTCACCATCATCTTCTTGCTTCTCTTTCTCTTTGGCTAGGGTTAGACGGCATAAACGTTCCAAACCCTCATCGCATTCAATCAATCTTCCACTGCTCTTCTACTCGCGAACGCTTAGACTGCCTTGACAATCCTAGCCAGTCAAGATGAAATGGGCCGGCGTACATCGAGCAGCAGGTGATTTTGCTGAATATGTTGGACTGGTTACAATCCTCATTGGTACCGTCATGACGTTCGACTCCAGCTTCAGTTCTCAGTCTGCCTCGCCGGTTGTTATTGCAGGAACGGTTGGCAAACCGAGCCCGATACAAGCCCTCATTCAAGCGGGAAAGATCAAAGCGGATGCCATCAAGGAATGCGAGAGAGCTATCAAATACAGATGTTACCAGAGCTCTTAGCGGCATCAGCAATGCAGTTGTCATTGTTGGTGCTGACAAGCGAGGATCCGTATATGGCATTTATGATGTTTCAGAGCAAATATGGATACCGTATTAGGCGAGTCTATCTACCTTGAAAGGCGGCTTTGTCTTAAAGGCCATCGATATCAAATTTGTCAAACAAGTACCCGCGAACGAATATTTGTAATGAGCAGACGTTCCCATAGCGACACAGGAGTCTGTTTATGTACGAAATGTCACGGAAGCACAGCCGTCTCCTTCAGTCAAATATTGCGGCTTCTCCTTCAATGACAAACAGCCTGGCCTCACTATATGGCTCAACACATGTCACCTTCCCGGGAAATATGGTCCTGGCTTCAACCATCTTTTCTACTATATAATTTTCGAGTTCCCCCTGCGACAAGGAGCCAATTAGTCTCGGCCGGCTTGATAGAGTGTGTATGTGCCCATTTCCACGGTGTCAAGTCTCTGACGGAACCTCAACCTCCATGTTCTTCCTTGATGATACTCTGAGCCCCTTTAGGTGATGTGGGACGGGATGGTAGCTAACGCAGCCATGGCCAACACGACGACCTACAATGTCACAGAAGCAGGCGCCCACATCTAGAATCTGTGGTTACTGAAACCACGCCTTGTAGCGCAGAAGCTCCTGCTAGATATCGGAGGGGTGAAGAATAGCTATCTCGATTCCCCTGAAGGTACTATTATCTGAGACCAAGAGAGGGGTTTGTCTGCGTCACCAACCCACCTTGCAAAAAGGCCGCAGCAGAGAAATATAGTCTATAATATCCATACACCATTGGCAGGCAAAGGATACCCAGGCCGAATGAAAAGAGTGCTTCTCAAAGCAGAAACTAGAGTCGTTCTTGTTTTGGACAGTCTTAGCCCGTGGCGACAACTCAATGCGCGCTCTCTTTGTGATGGGCCATGGATCCTTCCTCGAACCCGGGCGGATCGATGGGCGCGCCACTTTCGCCATCGCAAGCGTACTCTGTATTCGTACGAGTTCGATCGTATGTCTCTCTTCCCTGTTTCTTCATTTTCCATGCGTGCCGACTAACGAGCCAGCTCTAATCATGTGCTGCATATACGAAGAAAGCTTGTTCAGACCAGTCCGTCAGGTTACCAGCCTTCGGAGGAATGGGGGCCTGGACCCCAGACCACGAGAGGCGTTGAATATTTTGGCTGAATTCGCCCTTTTGTCTGATCCTGGGCCCTGAGTTCCCACCCTCCCAACCCCCCCTCTGATGTGAATCCCCCGCGGGTCCTCGCCTCTGGTTGCTCGAAAAATCTCAAACGCATCTTCGTCGCGCGAAAGAGCGCGGATCACACCATCGCATAGATTATGGATCTCACTCCTCTTTAGGATTTGAAATTCTGAGGGGGTGGGTGAAGGGGGAAGAGAGACTGACTTGCGCCATTTTCTTTTGGGGTATTGCAGAATGACAGGACGGATGTTCGAATGTTTCGTGGTCATCAATCAATCGACTTGAGCGCATTCATTGATGTGCTCCAAGGTCCACGGCTGTGAGTGATAACGCATAGAGGTTCCGAAGGGCATGGTTCTGCTCACAAGGACACCACAGCCCCGTGATAGGCCCAAGGTAATGCAATGCAATGCAATGCAATGCATCTTTCGATTCATGTTTTGTTCCTTATTCTTTCTGCTGATGCGAATCGAAGCTGTGCGACTCGTCGTCTCCGTGTTCAGCAGATCATCCAGGACCGGAGCTGTGCAGCGACGTCTAGGTCGGCCCCGGACTAATCAGCTAACTTCCAAGTTAGCTTCCTGACCATGTAGGAGGTAGAACTAGCCGAGGTGGTCTGGGGGGAGCGGAGGAGGATCAGACATCTTTCCACCCTTTCCCACGCCTCGGCTTGCGGATATCAATGGCTGGTGCCCCATTTTTGAAGTCCGCCCTGCAGTGCAGAAGTCCCTAGTAGCTACAAGCGACACTCACTGGCGCGGTGTGGTGCAATACGTCGTGGTGTAACAAGGAAATTCGCGGTTGAACTTCGGCATCAACCGCTACTTTGCTGGTAACAAAATCCGTGGTTCAGGCGGATTGGCGAGATCACGTAAGGAACAGATGGAGAATCCACCAAGTCCCTTCTTTAGTGACGGCGTTTGGTGGCGTCGACATCTAAGACATGGTTCGATCGTTATTGGACAGAAAACCGGTCAGATGGGATGGACAGGATGGGCTGCAGCCCCGCGTCCCAAGCTCGTGCTCGTGCAATGCCGGGATACCGATCCAGCTGGAAATTAGTTAAGAGTGGTGTGTTTTGTATGTACGGAGCACGTATCTGCTACAAGAGAATCGCCTTTTATCTCGTCACGTCCAATCCCAGGCGGTCGTCGTAGGTATATTCTGAACTCGAGCAGAAGTCACCCCAAGCATCATATCCCCATCCAACCGAACATCCCTCCCGTATGAGACGCTAAGATACAGCCTTTCCCCTCATCTTCGTGGGAAAGATCAAGCGGTACACACAGAACACGGAACACCTTGGAGTGCATCGCCTACAGCATAGTATGCCGGTTTCCGCTATGCCGTCGCTTGTTAGCCACCAGAGAACAGCACCGGGAGGGGCACATCAGTGGAGTAAATCCTTCCAATGCTCGGAACTGGTGGATTCTAGGGGTGGTTGCTTACCCTGAAGTCAGCGTTGTAGAGGTCGGCCAAACCTTGTCCTGGAAAGCTCGAGGGAATCCAGCTTGCAGGTGGAGTCAGCCATCGCCATGCGTCGCTTGGGAACATGTACGGAGCACGGAGTACATCTAACATACCTGTACTGGTCGTCAAAATCCCAGACTGTAATACCGACACACCCTCCCACTTGGACACAGCTGGCCGTTGAGTTGTAATACTCTTCTGCTTGGAGGGCAAAGGCCGTGGCGTTTGTAAGGTTAGCTTGTGGGAAACGGATATCCAATTCTGTGATTGCCACTTCGACACCCGCCGCGATGTAGGCCTGTTTCGTGGCGATTTGGTCTTGCAACGAGGGCGTCTCGCCGAGGACGAAGTGGCTCTCGAGGCCGACGCCATCAATGCGGATGTTTCGACTTTGCAACTCTTGAATCAGACCCAGTACGGCCACTGACTTGTTCCCGGATTCGATCCCGAAATCGTTATAGTACAGCTTCGGCTTGCGTATGCCCGCCGGCAGGGAGTCCACTGCTTCCTCTGGCTCGCTGTCAGTACTTGCAGGTCATGGAACGGATAGAAAGATCCTGGATCTCCTTTGCAGTTTCTTAATTCCTGCTTCATTTCTAGGGCGACTCACGAGCAAATTGAAATGCCAGAAAGAAGTACTCCGGCCCGATCACATCGAACTGGGAAGAATCAGCCAGAGATCAAGTTACAAAGTGGATACCAATACTGACCCAGATACTTGAAGAAAACGACCCATTAGCAGCTACGGCCTCGTTGACGACATCCCACGAGTAACAAGCATCTCCAAAATGGGTGATCATTGTCTGGATATGGTTTTGCATGACCGCTATGAGTGAATCTTCGGTCCAGTTCCCGTTCAAGACCCAGTCGCTAACCTGGCTGACCCAGACCAGGTTATGGCATCTCAGATATTTTCCGTGGTCTCGGGCAATCGCCACATCAATGTCCCCGCCCGTGAAGTTGAAGACGCCCGGCTCCGGCTCGCTCAGCTCGAATTTCATCATGTTGGCCGGTGTGATCTGGCCAAAGATGTGCGTGTTGTTCAAGATCTCCTGATAGAGGATGCTCGTGTCCTCCCCGGTTCCCTGTGTGTTCCTTTTTAGTTTCCAGACTCCGTCGTCCGCCAACGTTGGCACCTACAGGTTGATCAGTTGCACTGCCAAACCACAGCTTGCCGGCTGCCTGCGCCAGATCATTAAGGAAAGGCGGCGAAAGGGGCTCAAAGTATCCGGAGCACGAAGCTGGAGCAGAGGATGCCGGCGCCAGTGAAGCTGAGGAGGTAGCGGTCGCTGGGGTGAGAGGAGGCGGCGGCGGCGGCGGCGGCGGCGGCGGATAGTGACCATGCGGTGGCCATCCTGGGCCCGCCGGGCTCGCAAGACCAAGAGCAGCAAGGGCGGACACGACAGAGGCAAGCCTGGCTAAGGACATGTTGAATTCACGTATAAACGAAGGACAAGCAGGATGAAACACAGCAGCACAACAACGTGAAGCTCCTTACACTTGCTCTTCCGCCGCATCGACACGACCTTTCCACTCTCCCGCATCTATATATATATATATATTCCATGGCGGCAAATAACCGCGAGAGTGCTCACCAAGATTCGAAATTTGCGTATACTCACGCAGACCAAATTCGCGTCATACACATGGCCGGATGGAAGACTGCCGACATTGTCAATTTCTGATATTTCAACCGGACCCCGCAATAGAATGAGAATTGACCAGCATGAGATCTAGTCGACATGAAGGACGATTATAGACCTTCCTTGTTTGGCGACGATGGCATGGAGTTAGGTAGATGCAGGTGAGTTAGCGAATCCGGGCACGATTGACATGGAAGCACCTAGGCAGCCAACATACTCTCTTTCCCCGGCGCAGGTTCACCATCTCCAATGCCCCAGTCTGGGATGTGGAGACAGGGAGACCTAGCTAGTCTGCTGTGCGAGTAGATAGAGTATATGCAGCTCATTTGTTTTTGGGACTGGGGTTGTGCTGTGGGTGCCTGGAGAGTCGACCCGCGAGCCTTGCTTCTCTTCTTCCTCCTCTGCCTTCCTGTCGCATGTAGCCTCGCAAATACGGCTATGTTAGTCATTGTTTCTCTCGTGGCGCACCTGTGGCTGTCTCTCCGTGTTGTCTTGGCCTCTCTTTTGCCGGCATGCACATTGATGATCCAGAATCCATATTTTCCCGGGCGGAGGATGTGACCCGAATTGGCTATACTTAGGGGGTCCAGTATGTAATAAACAACAAAACTAGGGGCGCCCCGGCGATGGCGTCGAATCGAACCCCGTCGATCTGGATGCGTTCTCTCTTCCTCCTTCCCAGAACGTGGCGATCGTACAACCATCGGCTGACCATGGAGAAAAGAAAAAAGGTCTGATCCAGTCCCTATCCCGGAGGACAAAGCCCCTTCAAGCAGGTGGCAATTGGAATCCCTTCTCTTCTTCCCTCCCTCCCTCGCCGGGTAATAGGATAAATTGCTGCTGGCTGTTTTCTTTGTCCCGAAGATCCTCCACCGCCCCTTTTCAGGAATAGCTGAATCCGTGCTTGATCCGTCCTTTTCCCTGGTAATACGGCATGGGGTCTGTCTCCCGGAAATCCCACATTCTCTCCTCCCTCCACATTCTCATCCACAAATCTGCATGCATGTGCACTAGAATTTGACCATACTTTTGCCGCTAGATCAATCAGAAGAGTGGAGGTTGTGCCCAGAGGTCACACACCCGTGTGTTCCTCTTTCCCGGCCTGGGTCTGATCTCTCTTTTCTTTCATTCCGAGAGGTTGCTCCTGCTGCCGGCCGGTAAAACTCCCTGGGCGTTTTTCGGTCTCCAGACTCGGGTTTTCCTGTCGACATAGACTGGTAGTCGTGATCCAAGCTTTCAGGCCATGACTGTTACACTAGTGGGCAGTCTGTTTACCCAGCCTTTCGCCTCGGATTGATCGTCCAATCCAGACCGCTTGAGTCCACCGGTATGGCACGAGTTGTGTGCTTGTCGACGCCCTCATTGGCTCATGCAGTCCTGGTCAGCTGTGAATGCAGACTTTCTAGAACGCTATCACCGAAATGCACGCGGTAGCATTTCCACCACGACCCTGAGTGAGATAAACAGGCACCGCAACGATGCCACCTTGTATAAAGCACTTGGCTTGCTCCCTCTTCTTCTCCCTCTCTTCTCTTCTTCATCAAGACTTCACGTAGGCACAGTCTCTACGCTCTTTGTCCCATTCTGCCCAGAGCTCATCAGCGATCAGTATCTTCTTGTCAGTATGGGTAAAGGATACTTCGAGCTGGCAGGCCGCCAGTTCCCTGCCGTGACATGGTATAGGGATCCCGCGCTGAGGAAGACCTATATCTGTCTTATGTTCGTGGTTCTTACCAGTGCCACCAATGGGTGAGTCTGCGCGAGTTCCCTGGCCTCACACAAGAAGTAGATTTGCTGACTTGTTATGCTCAGTTATGACGGCTCCATGATGAATGGTCTCCAGACTCTTCCCGCCTGGCAACAGCATTTCAACCACCCCAAGGGCGGTAAGATTGGCATCTTGAACGCTATCATGTCGATTGGTTCCCTGTCCGCCATTCCCTTTGTGCCATACGCAGCCGATATCCTCGGCCGTCGAATGGGTATCCTCGTGGGCTGCGCCATCATGATGGTCGGTGTTGTCCTGCAGTCTATCTCTGCAGGGTTTGGCATGTTCTTGGGAGCCCGATTCCTCCTCGGTTTCGGAATAGCTATTGCCCACGGTTCATCTCCTCTGCTGATCACGGAATTGGTGCACCCTCAACATCGTGCTATCTTCACAACTATTTACAACACAACGTGGTACGCTGGTAGCATTGTCGCTGCTTGGCTCACCTATGGAACCGATCACATCAACAACAACTGGTCCTGGCGCATTCCCACCATTGTCCAGGCCGCTCCCTCGTTGATCCAGCTCCTTTTCATCTGGTTTGTGCCAGAGTCTCCTAGATGGCTCATCGCGCACGGCAAAGAGGAGAAAGGTTTGGATATCCTCTACGATGTGCACGCCAATGGCAACCGCAACGATGAGATGGTTCAATTGGAGTTCGTTGAAATCCGCGACACCATCAAACTCGAGAAGGAAGTCGAAGGAAACCAGTGGCTCGAGCTGATCAAGACCCGTGGCAACCGCCGCAGACTCATCATCTTGTTGTCTGCTGGTCTCTTCTCCCAGTGGTCTGGCAATGGTCTCGTGTCATACTATATCACCAAGGTAAGCTGATTGTGCCATTGCTTCGCAAGGTTCCTGGCTAATGATCGTTAGATTCTCAACAATATCGGCTACACTGATACCTTGACCCAGAACTTGATCAATGGCGTTCTACAAATCTTCAACCTCTTTATCGCCGTCGGTGCTTGCTTCTTCGTCGACAAGGTCGGCCGTCGCAAGCTCTTCCTGATCTCCACTACCGGCATGTTGATTACCTTCATCGTCTGGACTATCTGCTCAGCCAGATACGCCATCTCTGGCTCTAAAGGGGCAGCTAACGCTGTTGTTGGGTAAGTTGCCAGGTCTCTGTATGAAACTCGGTGAACAACCGCTGACCATTTCGAATAGAATGATCTACATCTACTACTTCTGGTACAACATTGCCTGGTCTGGCATGTTGGTCGGCTACACCGCCGAAATTCTGCCATACAACATCCGCGCAAAGGGCTTGACAGTCATGTTCCTCATGGTTGACATTGCTCTATTCTTCAACCAATATATCAACCCCATCGCCCTGGACCACATTGGCTGGAAGTACTACATCTTCTATTGCGTGTGGCTTGGCTTTGAGCTTGCCATTGTCTACTTCTTCTATGTTGAAACCCGCAACACACCTCGTAAGTATCTTCAGACCGAGTTTTTTGGCCCTCACGCTAACTTGCATTCTACAGTGGAAGAAATCGCCAAGCACTTTGATGGCGACCAAGCATTGGTTGCTGGTGCCGCTGCTTCGAACAAGGGTCTCACCCTGGCGGCTGAGATGGGTCTCGAAGCAACCATGACTCAACACCACGATCTGGATGAGAAGAGACACTCCGTGCAGGTCGAAAACGCTCAAACAAAGAGCGAGCTGTAGAGGTTTGAGCGTGTTTGTATGAAATTTTGCTCTAGTTGAAAGTTAGTTCTTGTTTGGGACCAGTCCTCCATGTGGTGATGGTTGCAGCTGGTTGCAGTGGGATATGGTATCATCTCGCAAGTGATAGATGCTTTCCTCGAAGAAGAACAGTATTCATCAAACATACTAATACAATGACATCAATTCGTCACAGACTTCTAGCGTTTTGGGTGAACTTGGACACGTCCTGCTTTGCTTCCTCCACTTGTCGTGACCTGGAAATGCGAGCTTTTGACATCTATGACATCTCGTGGATCACGTCAGCAGCATCATTCACCTGGGTGGTCCAGTCTCACGCCCTCCAATACTTTCAGGTCGCATTCGACCCAGAGGCTATTGTCGATAGAAATTGCACATCTGCTATGTCGGTGGGCAGCATAAGGGCGCCCGAAAAGCAACAAAATAGTTCCTTGTAAATTCATCTTTGTAAATTCAATGTCGCATCAAGGAGTTTTGTCTGCACGGCGAGACGGTTCCAATCAGCGTAGAGAACGGAGCCTTGCGCGCAAGGCTGAGGTCACGGGCGATAAGATAAGCATTGGCCCAGCGAAATTTCCGACCCGCCGCCTGCGCCTCAAAAAGTCCCACAGAAACTTTTCCTTCCTGTCTGTTGAACTGCCAACTATTGTCTCCTTTCCGCCAGGAAAAAAAAAAATGCCACCGCTTAAGAAACGAAAATTGAGCCATGACGGGCCCTCCAGTGATGATTCTCAATCTGCAAATTCGCCGACCGGATCAGAGACCGCTCCCACTAGTGATGCTGAAGACGAGGTGCGAGCAAAGTCCACCAAGCCGACAACCTTCAAAGAGCTAGGAATTATTGACTCCCTGTGCGAAGCATGCGAGTCTCTTGGGTACAAAGCGCCTACGCCGATTCAAGCTGAAGCAATACCGTTGGCCTTACAGGGTCGGGATATAATTGGACTGGCAGAGACCGGGAGCGGCAAGACGGCTGCATTCGTTCTTCCTATTCTGCAGGCACTTATGGATAAACCGCAACTGCTCCATTCATTGATCTTGGCCCCAACAAGAGAGTTGGCATATCAGATATCACAGGCTGTGGAGGCTCTTGGTTCCCTGATCGCAGTGCGCTGTGCCGTGTTGGTTGGTGGCATGGACATGATTCCGCAAGCAATTGCTCTGGGAAAGAAGCCTCACGTTATTGTTGCGACACCCGGACGTCTCCTAGATCATTTGGAGAACACAAAGGGATTTTCACTGCGCCAGTTGAAGTATCTTGTCATGGACGAAGCCGACCGACTGCTCGATTTGGACTTTGGGCCAATCCTGGACAAGATTCTGAAGATACTACCAAGAGAAGGCAGAAAGACATATCTCTTTTCTGCTACAATGTCGAGCAAAGTCGAATCCTTACAACGAGCATCGTTGTCAAACCCCCTCCGAGTGGCGGTTTCCCAAGACAAATACCAAACTGTGTCGACGCTGATCCAGTCATACCTCTTCATCCCTCACAAGCACAAAGATCTCTACCTCGTTCATGTTTTGAACGAACTTGCTGGTCAGACAGGCATCATCTTTACACGGACAGTCAACGAGGCACAGCGGATCTCGATCCTCCTCCGGACCCTTGGTTTCTCTGCCATACCGATCCATGGTCAGCTGTCTCAACAAGCGCGACTGGCTGCCCTGAACAAATTCCGAGCAAAGTCCCGCAATCTGTTAGTTGCTTCTGATGTGGCGTCACGAGGCCTCGACATTCCTTCTGTTGATCTCGTGATCAACTTTGATCTTCCCCACGATAGCAAAACATACATCCACCGAGTCGGGCGTACTGCGAGAGCGGGTAAGAGCGGAAAGGCCATTTCTTTTGTCACTCAGTATGACGTGGAGTTGTGGATGAGAATCGAGGGTGCGTTAGGTAAGAAATTGAAGGAGTACGAGACGGTCAAGGAAGAGGTGATGATATTGGCGGAGCGGGTGGGAGACGCCCAACGAGCTGCAGCATTGGAGATGAAGGAGCTGCATGAGAACAGGGGCAAGAAAGGCGCGACGCTGCGACACAAGCGCACGGCAAAAGGCGTGGGCGGAAAGCGGAGGCGAGACGATATGGACCAGGATGAAGGGTAGATGTTGTTGGACTCGCATTAGTAAATGAGTTTCGTTTTCCCCCTTCGTGTCCTCTGACTCGGCCCCCAGCGTTCGCGGCCTCTTGTAGGGGGTACGACGGGGGTACCTACGCAGATATGATACCCTCGGGACATAATGGTTGTATATGTAACGCGGTCTCTAGGTCGAAAAAGTACTAGAGCAGCCTTGCGGTCAGGAAGCGCAAACGGCGGATCAATTCAACTTCCAGGCGACTTGTAGCGTCTGGCTCGCCTGGTTCGAGACGCAAATTCAGCACCTGTACCTCGAAACTGTCTGAATTTGCCCTCTCGCCCCGTAGCTTGCCAATCATGCTGGGCATGTGCGGATCGACTCCATGTCGCCAACTAAACCCCGATCAGCGAATTAGCGGCGTCTATCAACCCATCGCGAAAACTTCAAAGATGACGTCTTCTGGATCCTGCGGTTCCATTGGTCAAGGGCCGGGAAAGCGTGGGAGAAGTTTCCACAGGGGGCCACAGGCCAACACCGACCAACACAAGGCCCTCAACAGAATCAAGTTGGTCCATCGGAAAAAGCCTCTGACGTCCAGGAGGCCAAGTTTCTTTTCTTTTGCATCCCATTCACAAGAATAAAAAACATGGGGACTGTTCAGTGTTAGTCGGGTCGGAGATCTACCCCCTAAAACACTGCCAAAGGAACATCAAAGATGCCTGTCATCGACATCAACAAGGACCTGTCGGCCCTTTTCCGCCAACAGGTCTGGGTGACGCCTGATGCTGTGGCGTTGGAGGATGATTCAACGACATATACTTATGTCGAGCTCGATCGAAAGGTCGAGGCTCTCTCCAATCGCCTTCGCAAGCACCGAGTCGGCCGAGACAGCCTCGTTGGCGTGCTCCTACCACGCAGTGCCAACTATGTGATCGCCTGTCTCGCTGCGCTCCGGGCAGGCGGGGCTTTTCTCGTCCTCGAACTCGCGTACCCTCCTGAACTCCTGGCAGACGTGATCGACGATGCCAAACCAGCTGTAGTGGTCACATACAAGGCCGAGGTTGGTAAGATCAAGGATGGAATCCCTCTCATCACCCTTGATGAAGAGCAGACAAATACCAATGGAGATGTGAAAGACCTACCTCCGCTGCCTGCTGATGATGACTTGGACAGACTTGCTTTCGTCTCTTATTCTTCAGGTACGACGGGCAAGCCGAAGGGCATCGCAAACCCTCATCGAGCGCCAGTCCTTTCGTATGATCTGCGATTCGGTGTTTGCGATCTTCAACCTGGTGACCGTGTCGCCTGCAATGTCTTCTTCATCTGGGAGATCCTCCGTCCGTTGCTGCGAGGAGCGACTGTCGTTGCAGTACCAGACGAGGCAAGTTATGACCCCCCTGCGCTCGTGGACCTTCTATCTTCAAAGAATATCACCGAGACTCTCATGACGCCGACGCTCTTGGCTGCAGTGCTGTCACGCCACCCAAAGATTGGGTCTCGACTGCCAAAGCTGCGGACTTTATGGCTGAATGGCGAAGTCGTGACCACCGACTTGGCACGTCGAGCCATGAAAGCTCTTCCCAACACAACCCTGCTCAACTGTTACAGCGCCTGCGAGACCCACGAGATTGCCTGTGGGGATATTGGAGAGATGCTGGACGACGAAGCACACTACTGTCCCGTCGGCCCTCCGCTGGATCCAGAACACACCTACATCCTCGATGAGAGCGGCCAAAGGGTGGAAGGGGGAGAAAGCGGAGAACTTTTCGTTGGTGGATCACTCCTTGCTCGCGGGTACATCAATCGCCCTGAGACAACCGCCAGAGCCTTCACACCGGACCCATTCAATCCAGCGCCGGGAGCGCGCATGTACAGAACCGGAGATCAGGCGCGAATACTTCCATCAGGACTTCTCGAAATTACTGGTCGTGTGGGTGCCATGATCAAGCTTCGTGGCTATTCTGTCGTACCTGGAAAGGTCGAGCACGCCATTGTCCAACACCTCGCTGTTCGACATTGTGCTGTCACAGCTCATGGTGATGCCTTGGAACGACAGCTGGTTGCGTATGTCGTCCGGGACAAGGACAGCTCTGCAGATCATCCGGTGCTGGAGATTAATGAAATAGGTCACAGTCCCACTGCAAGACGGACGCTTTCACCATACCTAGCTCACTACATGATTCCAGCTCTCTGGGTTGAAGTTGAGGAACTGCCTACCAATGCAGTATCTGGCAAGGTGGATCTCAAGCGCCTCCCTAGACCTCCAAGTCCCACAACTGTCAACGGCAATGTGGTCTTGAATGGGCACAAGGGAGACCAAGATCCAATCGACATTGACGCCATAGCTGAAATCTGGGCTGCAAGTCTCAAGATCTCCCGTAGTACGATAACGCCGGAGCACAGTTTTTTCGATCTTGGAGGACATTCCCTGACGCTTGCCGACTTGTCTGCACGGTTCTCTCGAGTTCTCGGAGTCAAGGTGCCGCTCGCGCGTCTCGTCGACCCTGCCACTCTCAACGGCCACCTGGAGACACTGCGATCTGTGAGAGACGGCCACGCCGCAGCGGTACAAGCACATCTGCCTGATGTTCTACGCAAAGACTCGACCCTTGAGGAGAACATCCGACCAATAAATGTTAAAATCTGCGCGGCCAGCAAAGCAAGTACGATCCTTTTGACTGGTGCTACTGGCTTCTTGGGTGCGTTCTTGCTGAACGATCTTTTGGAAAGCACATCGGCCAAGATAGTGTGCCTTGTACGTTTTAGTGACCCTTCAGAAGCCGAAATACCGGAAGGAATTGCAAGGTTGCGGCGGCACCTCCTCGATTTGGGATTGTGGAGGGACTCGATCATGGAGCGCGTCGAGATCCTGCCAGGCAATCTATCCCGGCCACGCCTGGGCCTCTCCCCAGACGCCTTCGAAGAACTTAGTTGCCGTGTCCAAGTTATTTTCCACGCCGCCGCCAGTGTCAACCTTGTGTACCCGTACGCTGCCCTCCGGGATGCTAATGTAGGGGGAACAAGGGAAATTTTGCGTCTAGCATGTCGCGCGGGAGCCACGGTACAGTACATCTCCACGAATGGAGTGTTGCCCCCATCTCAGGATGGCTGGGAAGAGGATGCCATGCTGGGGATGGACGCTGTCCCAGAGAAGCTAACAGACGGATATGGCCAGACAAAGTGGGTGGCAGAGAAACTCGTGCATGAAGCTGGCCGTCGAGGCCTGCCAGTGAAGGTTCATCGAGCAGGTACAATTAGCGGCCACAGCACCACAGGCGCAGGAAACCTGTGGGATCTTCTTAACGCGATCATTGTCGAATCCATCAACCTTGGCTATGCCCCAGACGTGGAAGGCTGGCGTGCAGAGATGACCCCGGTGGACTTTGTTAGTAAAGCTATTGTCCATCTCTCAAATCAGACCGACACCACCCAGTTTGTTTTTCACCTGGGTGATCCTGATCCGGTCCACACTCGATCAGTCTTCAAAGACCTCGAAGAGCTCGGATATCCGACAAAACCACTCCCTTGGGACGACTGGGTTGTGCAGTGGCAAGAAAACAGGGGTGTTCTGCAAGGTGGAGATGGTGCATTTACTATCGATATCCTGCGCAGCGGCATGCCGAGCGTCGAGTTTTTGAGGGGCATTGTTGTGTTAAACAATGCCGCTACTCGGCCTTTGCGGGCTGTTGTTGAACGACCCAAGGTCGACAGCATATTGCTCGAAACGTATGCTCGCAATTGGTTTGCCCGAGGATGGCTGCCTCGTCCACCATCGCGCCAACATGCTCTTGGCGGAACTGCACAGCCCATACGAAGGGGGCCACTGAGCGGGCGAGTGGCTGTCATCACTGGGGCTTCGTCTGGAATTGGTGCTGCAGTTGCTGCTGCTTTGGCACGGGAGGGCCTACATCTGGCTCTAGGCGCTCGCCGCACCGAGGCACTCGAAGCTGTTAAAAACAGATTGGTAGTCCGTGAGGGCAAGGTCATAGTTCGACAGACGGACGTGACAGACAGCAAGCAAGTCGAGAGCCTCATCCGAGCAGCAAATGATGAGCTTGGGCCGGTCGATATCCTCATCTCTTGCGCCGGTGTCATGTATTACACCATGATGGCAAATGCGCATACAGAAGATTGGGATCGCACTGTCGACGTAAATTGCAAGGGTCTTCTGCACTGCCTTGCTTCGGTTGTGCCATCAATGATCTCGCGTAGAAGCGGGCACATTGTCGCCATATCGTCGGACGCAGGTCGAAAGGTCTTCCCTGGCCTGGGCGTCTATTCGGCTAGCAAGTTCTTTGTCGAAGCCACGCTGCAGAGTTTGCGTTTGGAGACAGCGGGGACGGGGTTACGTGTCACAAGTGTGCAGCCCGGCAACACAGCGACTGACCTCCTAGGCATGTCGACGGACACTGAGGCAATCAAGAAATATGGTGAGCCGACTGGTGCACAGATCTTGGATCCAGAAGATGTGGCCAACTCGATTGTCTATGCATTGAGACAGCCGCAGCATGTTGCTGTGAACGAAATTTTGATCGAGCCGAGGGAGGAGCCGATCTGATTGAACCGCCTTATGTGCGCCTTGACACGCATCATTGCTCAATTCCCTTAATGATGTTTGGAGACCAGTACCATATCCATGAAAGAACAGCCTCGAGAAGCGAAGGCGGCAAGTCATCCTTTTCGTTTCCTACCAAGGCCTGCCAGGTCCAAGACTCGGGTTATTAGTGTCTGCTAGCTTTGGTTATGGGAAGATGTGAAGAGACCGGCAACGATGAGAAGACACACGGATGGTATAATAAAAGTAGCGGCCTAAGGGCAGCGACCTGTAATCATTTCGATATGGAAGTGGTCTATGAGATAACTCTTATGATGAGGGAAGCATATTTCTTCCACGGCATGATCAGGGATCGGTCGGTGTACTCGGTGCGTGGTAGCAGAATGTTCCGCTACTGCCACTGGTAAAATGGCAAGGCTGAACTACATGCAAGAGTAGACTAGCGCAGCCTCGCCGCTTGTAAAAAAAGTTGGAGATCACCCCATTTTGCCCATCCTGCAACCACACAGGGCTTCAATTACACACAGGTTCCACACAACCATCTCTTTAAGCCTTGAGTTATCAGAGTTCTACAAGCCCTTTAGACTGCGCAATTTACTTCCTCCTCTTCATATTTCTCCCCAGGACTGCAGGTGGAACTCCTTGGAAATCTGTACCCGGGCCATAGGCCTAGACCGCAGGCAGGATGCAGGCGCCTGTGGTGGTTATGAGTGAGCGATCCAGGACTTCTTGATGAGCTGACACTGACGCTTTTGACAGACACGGCGAATGGCGAAAGACAAGTTGGTCGAAAAGCGCAAATATCGAACATTACCGCTGCGAAAACGTGAGAGACAGCCAGCAACCCGCAAAATCTGTCTGATGACTGACGAACGCAGGGTGGCTGATATCATAAGATCATGTCTCGGGCCCAAAGCAATGCTGAAGATGCTGCTTGATCCTATGGGCGGGATTGTCCTAACGAATGACGGCCACGCTATCCTCCGAGAGATCGAGGTTGCCCATCCTGCGGCAAAGAGTATGATTGAGTTGAGTCGGACGCAGGATGAAGAAGTCGGTGATGGCACAACCACGGTGATAATATTAGGTATAAATCCGCTACAGTGTCGAATGGCGGGATAAGAATTGACCAGGTGGATAGCTGGCGAGATCCTTGCACAAGCTCTGCCCCAACTCGAACGAAATATCCATCCCGTGGTAATTATCCAGGCCTTCAAAAAAGCCTTGACAGACGCGCTTGCGATTGTTGAGGAAATCTCAATCCCGGTCGACACATCAAGCGACAAGGCTATGATATCACTGATTGAATCCTCCATCGGTACCAAAACAATCTCCCGCCACGCGGAACTCATGTGCTCCCTTGCGCTGAAAGCTGTACGAACCGTGTCTCAGGATCAAATATACGTCTCCAATGCGTCGCAGGCGAACGGCACAGCGAAATCGGCATCTTCGGTGGCGCCTTCGAAACCCGTGGAGATTGATATTAAACGATACGCTCGAATCGAAAAGATCCCCGGTGGAGAAATCGAGGAGTCACAAGTCTTGGACGGAGTCATGTTGAACAAGGACATTACACACGCCTCGATGCGCAGACGGATAGAGAATCCCAGGATTGTGTTATTGGATTGCCCTCTGGAATACAAAAAAGGCGAATCTCAAACGAACATTGAGATTACGGATGAAGACTCGTGGAATAAGATTCTACAGATTGAAGAAGAGCAAGTCAAGAAGATGTGTGACGCCGTTTTGGCGGTCAAGCCTGATCTTGTCATCACCGAGAAGGGTGTATCGGACCTGGCGCAGCATTACTTCCAAAAGGCCAATGTCACGGCACTGCGAAGAGTGCGAAAGACAGACAACAACCGCATTGCCCGAGCTGTGGGAGCTACCATCGTGAACCGCGTCGACGACCTTGTGGAGTCGGATGTGGGCACTGGCTGCGGTCTGTTTGAAATTGAAAAGATTGGCGATGAGTATTTCACATTCCTCACGAAATGCAAGAACCCCAAGGCTTGTACGATCTTGCTCCGGGGACCCTCGAAGGACATCCTGAACGAGATTGAACGAAATCTCCAAGACGCCATGTCTGTGGCTCGCAACGTCATGTTCCACCCGCGCCTCTCCCCCGGCGGAGGAGCCACCGAGATGGCCGTCTCGGTGCGCCTCGCTCAAAAATCCAAGTCCATCGAGGGCGTGATGCAATGGCCTTACCGTGCCGTCGCAGACGCCATGGAAGTCATCCCCCGGACGCTCATCCAGAACGCCGGCGCCAGCCCCATACGGATCTTGACACAACTCCGGGCGAAGCAGGCCGAAGGCAAATCCACATTCGGCGTCGATGGTGATACCGGGAATGTGGTGGACATGAAGGACTACGGTGTTTGGGAGCCCCAGGCAGTCAAGCTGCAGAGTATCAAGACGGCGGTCGAAAGTGCATGTTTGCTGTTGAGAGTAGATGATATCTGTGGAGCGAAGAGCGCGAAGCAGGTTGGCGGCAGTGGGTTGGCCGCGGGTGCAGGAGGAGAAGAGTAGATCCAGATAAAGAGGGGAGGAGAAGGGCGATGGGACGTAAAGGGTGGCACCGTTCCTATGCCTCTGGGATCACGATGTGAAATGAAAGGAGCAAATGGATGAGATGAACATGATCAGACCGAAAAGTCTGCATATGACGAGGAAGCCATCACCCTCAAACAGAATATACAGTCATACAGCCATCCGGCCATGGTATGTGCAATCCATCGTCCTGCACGACTATCCACAAGATTGACAGTGCAGATTGTCTTCCTCTGCCTTGCCCTTCCCTTCCCTTTCCTTCTCTTCTCTTTACTTCCCTCCCCGGTTTTCAACCGCGACACAAGTAACCACTGCTCGACAGCTCTCTCGTATCCAAATCTTGGTTTCAGTTTGACTTCTTAACCGCCCGTTTGATTTTCACTTTCAACCGCGGAAGTTCCACCCAGTACCTGTGAGAAGAATGATTTCCTATGTCGATGCCACTACCGCTCTGCTGCTTTGAAAAGTGACATGTTTGCCCCGCTCTTTGAGTCACCGCGGTACGTTCACTCATGATCACGGCTGTTGAAATGGAAAGTTAAGTCCTCACATGACGAGGATTTGAGAATTTGAATCACGCATTCAATATCGAGAGTCCACGCGGAGGCGGCTCGGCGTCAAAGGTACGTGCACGCCCGTTTTCCCTCAGGGTATTTAAACCTCATTCTCCCTCCAGATTCTGTCTTCTTTTGTCTTCCATGGTTCACAAAACATTTGGTCGTTGCTCCCCTTCAGGGGTCTTCGTGCCTCTTCCAGGCCGGAAAGGAAGCACAACGGTTTGTGCTCCCTTTCTGGCATAATGGCGTCTTTCATATATATATATTTACCTAACCCCTCTTCCCCTGCGCGTCCTCCGATCCTCGCCCACAAGATCAAATGCCACACTCCAAGCTCGAAGCGAAAGACGGCCCCGCCGGGACTCGCGGTGTCAGGCTCCCATGTTCATCAATGGCGCCCGTGCCGATTCTATCAGCTCCTCCGGTGGTCTACAAATTGGGCCTTTGGGACGACGGAGGAGTGACGGTGGTGGACAGCCTCTGCCGCTCACATAGATTACGGGTCCGTCCCCAGGTCGGACGATCACGCGAGCACCAGACAGTTCCAGCAAACTACATCTTTTCTCCGCAAGATGTTAGATCGGGCACAGGGCTCAACTCAGAAGGAGCGTGTTATCATTTGGAGTTAACGAAGACAGCAAGAGAGCCCCTAATTATCATCGAGAGGGAAAGAGGCAGAAGACACAGAGGTGACCCAGTCTTCCTATCAAAATTCAAGCCTCCCAACAAGACTTGCGCTGAACGTTACGGATCCTTCCATCTATCCTGAGCATCCTGCACGTCTCGATCCTGGGGACGACACGCATTTCCCAGGTCCGCTACTTCAAATATCCGCTCTCTACCTATTCCTTTGAGAGCGCTTGCAACACCGGATGACGATTGACTTCTCTATTGACGCGGACAGTGCTGATGCATCGGATATGCTTTATCCACGTCCCAACCTCCTTCTCTCGGCGGTCTGGAGTCTCCGTTCGAAGTCAAACCGAGCAGCCCTAGGCGAAAGAAGACGGTTTCCACGATCTTATTTCACAACCGAGACCATCAATGTGCCTCCTTGTCGAAGCCCAGAGAGTGCTAAAGCTCCACTAGGAAGCACCGTTCCGTACAGTCCGGGTTCTGCGATCACGCAAGGAAAACAGCTCATCCACTGAGTATACGACGACAGTGGACGAATACTGAGATATAGTCGTCATCCCGGTGCCAATAGCTATCCCAGCGGAGGTTTAGACGTCGAAGACCACCAGGTAGGTGGTCTAGGGCTTGACGAAGCGTCTAGAGACGCCGCATCGGCGTGTTGGAGCAGTGCGCTGATATCCAGAAAGTCAAGAATTGGTGTTGATCCTCTACCGAGAATTCCACGCCAAATTCCACACAGATCTCCAGCGTCACCTCTTTACTTTCCCTTGCGCTTTATGTCACCGGACTCTCCAATTTCACCTCGACCAGCGACTTAACAGCCGCCCTCCCACTCGACTCAATATGTCGGACTATCTCGACGTACTTTCGATAAAGAACAGTCTTGATATGTACGAGTTTGATGGCCAGCCTCTCGGCGCCGATGACAATACATTCCTTCTCCCGACGATAGTTGCAGGCCGTGAAGCCATCGAAAGATTTCGATCATCCTTGTGGAAGGAGAGGGTGATGGAGGAGTTGGATTGAGAATGGACACACAGCTACAACAAGGAGATGCAAGCCCGGGCGGAGCGAGACGCTGAGGAGAGGGGCGTTAAGGATCAAGACGCTGACCCTCTGTTTGTGGCGACACATATCGAGAGAAGATGGTCGTTCTCATCCCGATTGAGAGCAGAGTGAATCGTCTCAACCTCGAACTGTACAAGCGTAACGCGCAGCCTTGGTTCCTCGCCGACGACAAAAATCTACAAATTTCCCGCACTGTTCACACGAACTCCTCCGCGGGCAGACGAGACGAGGTGGTTCTCTCCGATCTAACCAACTCTGAGGCAAAACTTCTACTGTGTGCTAAGGCCGGCGTGTTCTCCATGCCCCCCTTCCACGAACTGCGCGTCGGTTCGAATGCGGCCATCACCGCCAGTACTGTCGCTCCAGAGATGGCCACTACTCTAGAAGCCGCGAGCTACTAGTTCGAGAACCGGTATTTAAGTCCTTAGGAGCAGCCTCAACTTCTATCAAGAGGCTACCCACCACTGGGACCGCCACGGTTTAATTGCAATCACCTTTTGTGATGAAGGGGAGAAGTCAAACAGGATGAGGGTGAAGCACGGTCGAAGCGGGATAAAGAACTCCCACTGACTCAAGTGGTCCAATTCTATCGGAGGCACTCCTGGGGAACAATATACGAGCGAGCATTTCCCACACCTGGCGCCCGTCCATTTCAAGTACTTCGTCTCTGCCGTTTGTATGTCTAGTGTTCAGGGATCCTCCGCGAATGGGGTCCCATTGGTGGATTTAGATAATTTGACATGACGGACTTGCAGTACAAGCTCCGTTGTCGGTGTCATCTACTTTCTCGTCAATGAAAAGACCCGAGCCAGTCTAGAGAATAAGACAGAAATCCTTAAGTCAGACATGCCAATCCTCCAATCAAACATAGCTCGCTTATTTTAGGTGGACCATGTGGCAAGAGGCCGAGTTTAAAGCCACTTTTCCAAACTTGAAGTGACCCTACAGCCATCAAACTAAGGGGACAAACACCTGTGGCTACTCGATCCGATTGAGAAACATATCATCCACCGTCTTCGTAATCGTGATGGAGGGAACCCCAGATGAGGAAAGTCACCTTTTTGTTCTTGTCATATCCTTCCTTGAGAAGACAACAAGATCATCCCGGCGTGCCTGTTTAAGACCTTAGCCTGCGTAAGACTCTTTCTCGCACATCTTCGGTCATTTTGTCCGGAGCAGATGCGTCAGAAACTTGGTGACGCCTGCACTCCAAAACCCCAATGATCTGGCATGATTTGTACAAGCAAACATGACGCCTGGCAATCTCTCAAAGTAAGCGAGCATGAGTCCAGACGAGGAACTCGTCAGTGGACTTATTACCGCCGGGATCGTGTGCCAACTTTGCGTACTATTCTTGAGGGTGGCTCCTCGCGAAGATTTTGATGTATTTGTTCCATTAGTCGGTCAATATTCCACTTGGTATACGTCAATATTCCTCGCAGGAACAGATGTTTGACACAATTTCATCTTTCTAACAGCGACTGCCCACAAGTATTGGTCCAACGCTTACTATGCCCTGAAATCGATCAAACTCTCAAATGACAAAAAAAGCCTCCAGGTAAAATTCTATTGGCTGTTCAAAAATCCTTACATTCCGTTGGTCGAAGGCGAAGGTGGGTATTTGGGGTCTGGGGGCAATGAGTATGGAGAAGGATTAAAGGACAAAAAATATGGCTCGGGCACGGGCATGGGAGAGTCAGTGCAGCCGGAAGAAGGGAACACATCGATGGCCAGCTACCGACTGCCAGACGACAATAACCTTCAGCCAGGTCACCGGTACCATCATCCGCGACTTCTGGATGGGCTTCCCACTGAGCAATACAATCTGTTTGATCAACTCCGCCCAAGGCCTTCCCCACCCCCAGCGAGCGTGGAGGGGACACTCGCCTGGCCTTTGACACCAAAAAAGACGAAATCAAGCGCTCGAAAAGAGCTACACAACTTGGCCAGAGTCCTCTAAGAGGTGAGGCATGACAATCATTTAAGATCATATGCGACGGACAACCAGCTCGATTGTCACTTCGACCGATGTGTGTCAAAGTCTTTTTAGCTGCGTGTAACGGGTTATAACAAGCGACCACTGAATCGTTCCTTTTTGGAGCTCCCGTTGTTGGTCAAGGGCGACCTCAGTCGCTACCCCGCCGAAGGTGGGACCTCGCATTCTAACACCCGTCGGATACACCCATTGCTAACATTCTCTCAGCAGCTGGCCACCCCGGCCACGTAGCAAGGCATTCTGAAGCCGGACATACAAAAAAACATCTTCCAAGTGATTTGGAAGACCAAGTAGGCCCATTCCCTCTTCGAGTGAATGCTCAAGAAATGGCACCTGGAGAGCATGACTGGGATCGGGGCCTCCTTCCGAACACTCTGGCATAGCAATATTAAGGTCTTCGTGAGTCTCCTTTGTCTCTCTACCAGCTTTCTCCTCTGACACCTCATCCTCCAGGCCCCGAGCTTCCACTAGCTCAATCGACTGAACTTGCTTGGGAGCGATCTTGTTCCCAAGTTCGAAGTCGAATGACGAGTTGTATTCGTGACTGCGAGAGTACCCATGATTCTCCTAGTGGAGTACCGGAGGATAGGACTATGTCCGATTTCGTGATAAGATGTGGCTTGTTGCCTTTGGAGGCTTGGTGTTAAACCTCGGAATTTTTGTGGGCGTCTTGACGTTGCCGATCGAGGAGAAGAAAGAGGGCAGCTCACTCAGTCACGCTA